ACATCCATGCACAGGTGGCAAGGTTTGGTTTGGATTGCTGTTTTACATTGCATTTAGCAATAATTCAGCTACATATATATATGACGGCGGTCTGTAAATAATCCAGTCTGGACCAGACAATCCAGTGATTGATATCATGAGCATCGACCCACGCAATTGGGATCGATGACATGCTTCAACTAAGTCAGCGAGCCTGACCACCCGATCCCGTTAGTCGCCTCTTACAACAAGCATAGTCGCCTTGTACGGCAAGCACGGGTTGCTGAAGACCCATGCTTGCCGGATCTTCACGGGTGTCAAGGTAGTCTAAGGCGTTGTTAGTCGGTATGGAAAGTTTATCAGTAATGTGAGGATTGGCAGATCTCGGTCAGAATCCTAGGCCTAGACACTGCCGTATTGTGATTCTGGTGCTTTTGATAGCACCATACCCTCTCATGGGTTTCACAAAAGTGGATCTGAGTCACTTTGGACTTGCCTGCTATATTTAACTGACAACTCATAATTGATAATTGAGTTAAATTTCAAAGCGGAGAGGCGAGGAGTCCAAGCAGTTAAAGTATAACGGAATCACCGACAACAGCAACACCAACAAAATATGACGCTCCATATGCTCTAGACCCGTGAAGATCCGGGATAGAATAGGTCTTCAGCAATCCATGCTTGCCGTAAAAGGCAACTAACGGGATCGGTTGGTCTGACTCGCTGACTTGGTTGATACATGTCATCGATCCCAATTGCGTAAATCGATGCACATGGTGTCATTCACTGGATTGTCTGGTCCAAGCTCGATTATTTGAAGACCGCCGTCATATAGCTGCAATATTGCTGAGAGGTGCGTTAAACAACAAACAAACAAAGAAACAAAACTTCGTAACCTACATGAGGTGGGCATCCCTGAAGAAAACTAAGCAAGCCTTGCAAAGTTTCGTTCTACTACACTTCACCATTATGGCGTCACATCGCTCATTGTGACGGCAGATTTGTTTCAACCAAGTCAGTGACCACCCGATCCCGTTAGTCTCCTTTTACGACAAGCATAGTCGCCTTTTAATGTGACTGAAGAGATGACTTCACAAACGAATATAGAATAGCGCCAAATTCCCAGTTCTCTGCTGTCCCAAAAACCTAAAATACATTCTTTTTATAGATTTCTATCGTGTTTCTCCACGAAATGTATTGCCACACATTCTTTGAATATTGCAGTAACTGGAACATTGCATTTTGTTACTTATAATTGTAGACATATTATTTAAATACTCTAGCGACAATGACTGATAAAATATGAATATTAGCTTCCGCGATAAGGCCGTCAAATCACCTGTTTCAATCAGAGGTGATTTATTGTGATTTGACAACCTCTGATTGACCAATCACAATGGAGTCATTTCCAATTCATGGTTAAATCATATAAACCCTTTTATAATGGATAAATGAGTTTCTGATTTTCAGTAATCCATTCATATAATTATCACTGTGTTGCCTTTTACGATTAATTGAATCTGTTTCAGCAGATAATCGAGACTGGTTATTCTCTGGCGTTGATGTTATATAATTATTTTCTCAGTACAAACGGTATAATAAATAGAGGATTCATCACGAGTGTTTTTTAATATGGGAAATATCAACCGAGTCTTAGTTAATCGGTATTTGCCTCGCCAAAGGCTCGGCAAATACCGATTAACGGGACGAGGTTGATATTTCCCATATTAAAAAACACGAGTGATAAATTCTATTTATCATTTTCACATTTTTGCTTCCCAATTAAGGAATAATTGCATTAAACATTAACATCAGCAACTTGTCGAAATCTTCCGTATAGATCGTGCGTAGTGATACATGTTTTCCATAGCCGTGTAAACCAAAATAAACAACCTCTTAACTCCTTTATGGCAAATTCCTTCGCTGAGAAAAAAGTTCCTAGGATTATTTTAAACAAAATACTTGAACAGACTTTTGCAGAATAATTGAAATAATGTCTCCAAACATCAAAGGTATCCATGTTGTTTGTAAACACCTACTCACGTGCACCGGCGAAAAAAGTCCCACTTCCGGTTATCTAATTTGCATATCTAATTTGCATACTTATGTCATTGGGGTATGACATACATGTTCTTATGTCATAAGCTTATGTCATGGATAAATGTTTTAGTTAAATGATATAATCTATTCTTGCTGATAACACAATCAATTACCATATGACACATGTAGAAGAAACACACAACCCTAACGTTTGAATACATACTTTTCCCGAAACACCATTGCCATAACATGATATAGTGAGTGAGTATGGTGTTACGCCGCTTTTAGCAATATTCCAGCAATATCACGGCGGGGAACTCCAGAAATGGGCTTCACACATTGTACCCATGTCGGGAATCGACCCCGGGTCTTCGGCGTGACGAGCGAACGCGTACGCTTTAACCACTAGGCTACCCGACCGCCCAATTACATGATGTAACAAGTTATTGACAATGCAAATGTAGGCATTTATTTAATTATTCAAAGAACATCAGCATTCATCAATACATACATTGAATCTTTATACCCATGAAGATTCCGGGGTAGAATAGGTCTTCGGCAACCCATACTTGCCGTAAAAGGCGACTATGCTTGTGGTACGAGGCGATTAACGGGATCGGGTGGTCAGGCTCGCTGACTTGGTTAAAGCATGTCATCGATCCCAATTGCGTGGATCGATGCTCATGATATCAATAATGTTTTTTGGATAGTCTGGCCCAGACTCGATTATTTACAGACCGCCGTCATAAAGCTAGATTTCTGAGTGCGGCGTTAAAAAACTAACCAACCATTATGGTGTCATATCGGTCATTGTGAGGAAAGATCTAGCGTCAAATCAGCAAACAACCTTAACGAAACACCATTGCCATTACATGATGTAACAAGTTATTGACAATGCAAATGTAGGCATTTATTTCATTATTCAAAGAACATTGATCAGCATGTATCAGTACATACGTTGAATACTGTGAAGATTCGGGGTAGAATAGGTCTTCAACAACCCATTCTTGCCGTAAAAGGCGACTATGCTTGTGGTACTAGGCGACTAACGGGATCGGGTGGTCAGGCTCGCTGACTTGGTTGATGCATGTCATCGATCCCAATTGCGTAGATCGATATTACTGTTGTCAATCACTGGATTGTCAGGTCCAGACTCGATTAATTACAGACCGCCGTCATATAGCTGGATTGCTGAGTGCGGCGTTAAACGTTGAATCTTTATTCAATGATTTCCTGTGTAGTGTATGATTTCCTGTGTAACTCGGTGAAACACAAAGGATTAAACTGTACACATTTTTCAACTTCCTTGTTAACACATGATATATAAATATCACTTGTCAAGTAGTAACCTACCAGTGGCTGCTCTCTCCGGGTCGGTTAGGGAAGGGACGCTTGGTATCGATCGAGTGATTTACAAGACTACGTCTACAAACAGTGATACCAATGTTATCTTCAACACACATGATGTAAACGTGAGTATGCTTGTCAACAATACATTGTTTCTAACATAGGAAAGAATATTACTCTAAAATAGCACAGAAATTCATTGTTGTGTCCGGCGGATGCTCAAATCGACACATTCTGTCCACATTACTCATGTTACACTTGGCCGTGAAGATCCGGGGTAGAATAGGTCTTCAGCAACCCATGCTTGCCGCAAAAGGCGACTTTGCTTGTCGTAAGAGGCGACTAACGGGATCGGGTGGTCAGGCTCGCTGACAAGGTTGATGCATGTCATCGATCCCAATTGCGTGGATCGATATTACTGTTGTCAATCACTGGATTGTCTGGTCCAGACTGGATTATTTACAGTCCGCCGTCATATAGCTGGAATATTGCTGAGTGCGGCGTTAAACAACAAACAAATAAACAAAACATGTTATACTTAAATCGGTGTTATACAGATGTCTATAACGTATACGGAGATAATTCGTTATTACCTCCATCCACAGTCCTGTAAGTTGGATCACTTATTTAAATGGGAAATGGTAAATTTGCATGCTGATGTAATTTTAACAATGGAGGGAACAGTCGTATCCAGTTAATGACATACTGTTTCGTATGCCCCAAGTAGCTTGTGATTCGCATATGTAACAAACCGGAAGTTTGTATACACGGGACTATTTCACTTTCTGCGAAAATTACGTCACATCAGCATTAACTATACATGTATGTTCCCTGTTACAACAAAACGCTGCCCCAGATAAGTCTATGTACTGTGGCCCTAGTAGAAATGATTGTTTGTTTGTTATATAACTCCGCCCTCAGCAGTATTCCAATATCCGAGTCTGGACACGCAATACAGTGATTGACATCATGAGCATCAACCAACATGCATCAACCAAGTCAGCGAGCCTGACCACTCGACCCTATTACCCGCCTGGAATATTGCTGAGTGCGGCGTTAAACAACAAACACACTGTATATCAAATGACATCAGTTCGAAGAGACAAACATATTTAAAAAAGAATTTACCTTCAGAATAGCTATATTCACAATTTGAAAAATTACACATTTTTCTTTCAGAAAAATATGTCATGCAAGTGTAGTACCTGCAAGAAGGTTGTTGACCTGTACAAAAAATCACAGAAAAAGGTGCCAAATCTGTTCTGTGATCACATTGACATTCGCGATTTAAAAGGTAAAAGGAAATATAAAGAGCAAAAGAAAACAAAATACCTGTATTCACAATTTGAACAAATAAACACTTTTTTCTTTCAGAAAAGAATGTCATGCGAATGCAGTACCTGCAAGGAGGTTAAAGGCCTTTACAAAAAATCACAGAAAAAGGTGCCAAATTTGTTCGTTGAACACATTGACATAGACGATTTAAAGGGGAAAAGGAAACATAAAGATAAAAAGAAAATAAAACTGAGACAAATCGAGATCAAGTTGTCTGCACTCAGAAACACAGCAGGTGGCATCATCATTCTTCATGTCAGCGGGACAGCATGTGGTGACCGTTTCTTGGGAAGCGTGGATGAGTTTCTGGAAGAAAGTTTGAACAATTTCATATGTGATGGAACTTTGTTTGTAGATACATACAAACGGAAATGGCTCTGTGAAATACGTACGTTTGAGAAATTCACAGACTGCATCCTTATATCGGTTGAGAAAACCAAAGGTGTTGCTACTGTAGATTTCAAAACTAAGGTCTGCTCGGATTTACAGGTCGAAAGACCATCAACGCTTAACATCGTGTCTCTCTTGTCTCACAGGAAAAGGTCCTCCGAGAAAGCTGCGGAATTAAGAGGCTTGCAATCAACTCCACACGAAAGTCGGAACATCCAGCTCAAAGCATATAGACCCAAAGAACAAGACAAAAGCGCCATTGAGAGTCACCCAGATACATTTGCCAAATATATTTGGGAAAAACTTCGATTCCGAGAATATCTCAGTTGTATGACAAAAAATGAAGAAGGGGGATCCTTTTATCTAGGAATTACCGAAAAAGAAACAAAATATACAAACACATCACCGGACATCTCATTCACTTACAGTAGCTGGGTTCCAGATATTGAAGGATTTGTGTTGAACTTTAGTGAAGATGATTTGAAGAATAGTCTTATGTGTTTGATTCAATCTCATGTCACGATACTACACGTAGATGTGGATGCAGCTTTTAAAGACATTTCACCCGATCTTGTAAAATTTCAGTTTTATAGTTTGGGAAATAGTACTCCTGAAGGCAACAGGTTTGTCCTTGAGATTGCAGTTGGTTATACGGGCGGGATAGTGTTCTATGACAAAGAAGGTCCCCTGGCGTATCACGTTAAAGGAGGGGAGGTTGAAAGAATCACCCCAGATGATTGGTTGTGCAGAGTAACAAAAACATTTGATGATCTGAAATGTAATTCCTCTCCATAGTAAGCAAGAACCTTTTGGTCAGTGGTCAGTGCCCTTTTTTGTACGGTATCCTAATTTCTTTGGACATTGCCTCATTACCGCACACATTCTTCATACATTAATTTTATATTTTGATCAGAAATAATATCAAAATGACATCCAGTTCCGATGCCAATCGTTCGAGTGTTTCAGATGGCACCTTAGACAACCTTTATAAAGGAATGTCTTGTGCTTATCATAAACAAAGTGACGCCAGCAGTGACAGCCATGCTGAAACATCTGACAATGCAAATAATGAGGCTCTAAATGCTGTGTCCGGTGATTATAGTAATGAATCGTCCACTATACGGAGACGCAGACGCAGAACAGATCAAATCCCAGGTTAGATGTCTCCTTCCATTTCTTGTTATAAGAAATAGTACGTAGTTTATAGTAAATAGTGCCTGAAATAGCTTTCATTATCATTTCAACACTGATTACATACATGTCACATTCACGAGTATTTCACCTATATTTAACCTATATTGGTTTGTTTAATCTCCAGTGTTAACTTCTAATGTTAACATTAGTTTTAAATCATGAGCAGGCACTATCGTAGATTATACTATCAAGACATTATTATGTATTATCAGTTCAAATTACATGTAGTTGTCACTTATAAACCGGATAAGTCGAAACTGTTCAAGTCAGGTGTCAACATTCTTTGAACAAGGTTTCACATTAATTATTGATGAATATTGATTGATGAAGTCAAAACAGTTTTCAGACACTGAGAAGAAGTTTGCATGAGAACGAATCAATAATATGTATATGCACAGAATGTTTAAGAGTATCTTCTCATTACTTTATATTAATATGAACCTTTGAAGATCCGGGTTAGAACAGGCCTTCAGCAACCCATAAACCCGTAAATGGCGGCTCTGCTTGTCGTTAGAGGCGACTAAAGGCTTCGGGTGATCAAGTTTGCTGAATTGGTTGACGAATGTCATCGTATCCCCATTGCGTAGATGCTCATGATTTCAATCACTGGATTGTCTGGTCCAGACTCGATTATTTACAAATCACCGTAAAAAAGCTACAATATTGCTGAGTGCGGTGTTAAGCAACAAACAAACAAACGAAATTGTATGAATATGTATATGAACACAAGGTTTCAGCGAAGATTTCATTACTTTTATTATTATGTAAATGTGCACAACGTTTCAGCGTAACGTCTTATCCTTTCGTGATGCCTATACACAATAAGTCGACAGCCATAAAACATTCTGATGGTACAAATAAGATATTGTTTCAATAAAGTATATTTTCCCAAAATCAAGATTCCGGGATACGAAATGAGGGGGTAAATGGGGGAGATTCAGTGTAGGTGTATCATGTAAAAGTGTGCCCTGGTCACTGTAGACTATGTGTTTTCCTTTACAAAAAATACTTCATCGCTAATCTCTGTTCCCCAGATGAAGTAACTGTTGATGAGCATCAGCCGCTACCTTCCAGTAATTACCAGAAGGATTTGTCAATAGACATTATGATGAACATTCAAAAACAACAAGGTAAGACAAAATGAAAATAAGAAGGGAAGATGCTTGATAATGAAGTAATACGAGAGAGTGATTGAAAGAGTATCCTTTGCTTGGTGTAAAGAGTGAGTGAGTATGGTTTTACACCGCTTTTAGCAATATCACGGCGGGGGACACCAGAAATGGGCTTCACACATTGTACCCATGTCGGGAATCGAACCCGCGTTTTCGGTATGACGAGCGAACGCTTTAACCACTAGGCTACCCGACCGCCCCTTAAAACATAAAGAATGGACATAGGGGCACTACTGTTGGGAATTTTGTTTGCTATTTCGCCGAGAAATATGATTTTTGTTTCACTCTGATTGGTCAAATTAAGCCAACTCCATAGTTATTAGTTACGTCACAGTCTGGCATGTCTTTGATTAAGTAATAATATTATGTTGCATGTCGAAGAGAACACGAATCATTTCTATTTCTATTCAGTTGGTAAAGGGGGCACGGTTGGCCCAGTCGTCTAAGACGCCGCGATTCGCTGTGCCGAGTTGCGTCCCTTCGGCACGCCAGAGACCTATGATTGTGGGTTCGAATCCCGCTTCGCCACGATTATGTTTCTATGTTTGTCAGCACCATACCCGTGCTCGTAGGTTTCACCGAAGTGGTAAACGTCTGAGACCTGCATCACTTCGGGCTTTCTTCCCACATTAAGCTGACACGCCACGATATAACTGTAATACTGTTAAAAGCGGCGTTAAACCCAACTCACTCACTCAGTTGGCAGAAAGTATTAAATATATGTGTTGGTGCTGCCAGGTAACATTCTATTCAACATGTTTGACCATACGCTCGTACCTTGCGCATGATGAATGAATAAGATCATTGTGCATTCATACACCTGTACATATACAGATCGCGAGTTTATGTGTTAATGTAGGCAAAATACGCCACGTTGTTTTATCCGTGTCATCATCGTCATTTTCATTTTATTTCGTCGACATTCTTTTTACGGACATTTAACGAGATGAATGTACGTTAAGACCGCCTCCGTGGTCTAGTGGTAGAGCGTCCGCCCGGAGAGCGGAAGGTCCGGGGTTCAATCCCCGGCCGCGTCATACCAAAAGACGTTAAAAGATGGTACTTGTTGTTTCCCTGTCTTGCGCTCGGCATTTAGGGGCTAAAACAAGGACTGGTCGGCTCGGAGTCAGTATACTGTGTCTGAGTTGGGTTTTCATGTTAAACTGCGGCATGGTATCTCAGTGAGCTAGCACTATAAATCGGCATCATTCCGGACTAGTACAAGCAGCCATACAAACACACACACACGTACATGCACGTCGCTATATAAGTGCAATAATCTTGGACGCGACGTTAAACCCAATTTCACCCACCTATGTACGTTAACATGTGGTAATAAATATGTCATGTAGTTTATTCTGAAAAAAAGTATTGTTACCATAATGTCATTTTTCTCTTTCGACAGACACACTACTGAAGGAGATAAGGGAGATCAAAGACACACAGAAGGAGATTCAACGAGATTTAGTGAGATTGAAAGGTAAATGTTGCCTCATTAAAATTTTATCATCTAATGCCCATGCTACTTCCTAATTCACATCACAGCAATCACTCGTTATACCAAGTGCTTGTATTTTGTGCAAACAGTGTGACACGGTGGTCTGAGGTACTGGAATAATAAGTACAGATAGTTGCGATCTGCTTGTCGGTCGTGGCTTCGAATCCCACATGCGCTCCGATTATTATCCTTGGTCAAAGTACCGTACCATGTCAACATAGTCTCATCATGTTCTTTAAGCAGGTTTTCTTTACGTAAATGTATAAAGCGCAACATTCAATGATGACATGATACGAAGTTTGGTTATCTGTTTCCATTTTAGGCGGCAGTAGTCATGGTGACAACAGTGTGACGGGTCTTAACTATGAAAGACGTGCCCGATATTCAGTGAGTATGATCCAATATATTTCCCATAGAGTATGATTCTGCCCAATACAAAGAAAAACAATGGATGTTTGTAAGTCAAGCCGAATATGGCTCATTTAAAAGAACAGTGTCACTTAGATATTTGTAATCAAATAGGGAATTTTTCATCATTCAGACCATTTAAGGACATTTGTATGCGCATATTATATATGTTATTCGTGTATATTTTGCCCGTGAAGATCCGGGTTAGAATAGGTCTTCAGCAACCCATACTCCCCGTAAAAGGCCACTATGCTTGTCGTAAAAGGCGACTAACGGGATCGGATGGTCAGGCTCGCTGACTTGGTTAATGCATGTCATCGATCCCAATTGCCTGGATCGATGCTCATGATGTTAATCACTGGATTGTCTGGTCCAGACTTGATTATTTACAAACCGCCGTCATATAGCTGGAATATTGCAGAGCGATATATATACCAAGAAGCAAAAGACCTTTTATGTACAAGAAATATTTCAACGATTAAGTAGGTCTCATATGAGCTAAAATATGTTGCAGATCCGTCCTCTGAGCACAATATGTACACAAACGTTCACTGAAATTCAAGAAACACCTTTTTCGGGATCATCGTCAGAAGAAACAAACGAAGATGTTTTCAATACCAAACTTTAAGAATGTCATGATTGTGTGAGCACTGCGTAGCACGAACTGTCTATATATATACAGTCATGTATTAGTGTCCAAGCGACACATGTTAAGTAAGTTCATCGCCGATATGAAGCTGTGCAGTTGACAATTAGACGGAAAGTCAAATCATTATTGCTTTCGGAAGTTTGTGAAGTGCTTACGACAATAGTCAATGAGCGTAGCACGGCAACGGTCTTTACGACAACGAAGTTGCAATGCAGTGAAGTTAACAGCACTTATAAACCTATCATGGTGTTGTAACCATCTCCCAGACGACCTTTCTTTTGTAGTAAGACCACTCAGCAAGTTTTACAATTGCTCCTCAGGTTTTACAATTGCTCCCCAGGTTTTACAATTGCAAAACCTGGGGAGCAATTGTAAAACCTGGGGAGCAATTTTTAGCAACTTTATCATCTGACAAAGGGTCACCAAAACGGAAACAAAAGTCATCCTCATCCTTTTCTGCAGAATTTTCATCAATTAACTTACTTTGAGTTAGGAAAATATCGTCATCGTCAGACATCCTCTCTTGTGAACAGTCAACGACACAATGCCATGTGGTACGACGCACGCGGTTCTTTCTGCACGTACAGCCCTCTTCTGGACGTGCAGTCCGCGCAGCGGCCCGCGATAACAACTGTTATAAAGCGTGTCTCGTTATACCGCGCTTATTTGCGACCCGTATACCGCGTAAATATAAGCTCCAAAAATGACATAGATTAATGGATAGCGGTTTATAAGTTTGACAAACCATTCCAACGAAGGAATGGTATGATTGTATAACGGATACGCGTCCTCGGCTTTTCTGTGCCTACCCGGTTATACAATCATACCATTCCTTCGGTGTCATGGTTTCTCCATTACAGATACCATCAATGGAATGTTCATCACAAGTGTTTAACGTTTTGCTACGTATAAGCACACTAACATATAGACAAATTTACGTACCATTAATTATATCGTTTTGTGAAACTTTAACAGGATGAGTTATTTCCTTATAAGCCTCTATATCGCTGAGTGCGCCGTTGAACAACAAACAAACAATCAAACAAATGCATTGTGCCCGAGTCGGGCATTTATGTTATTGCTATTGTCTGTGAACCTGCACTAGCACGTGATAGTGATCACCTCATCTCACATCAATGTCCACGATGCAACAATTTATCTTGCAATTATACAAATAACTTGATATCAATACAACAAATTTTATTATATTTTATTAAAGCACAAACAAATAGCCTTAAAATGATTAAAATTCTGTATTTTTTTCATTTTCATATCGTACATTCATGGAAGTGTGAACATTCTAGATTATACTAACAATTTTTTGGTAAGTTAGCTTGCTTGAACGCCTCTTTGTACCTAACCTCATTTCAGTAATGACATCACCGCGTGATTAAGTTTATAAGATTTTGTCGGCCATAGTGAGTGAGTGAGTATGGTTTTACGCCGCTTTTAGCAATATTCCAGCAATATCACGGCGGGGGACACCAGAAATGGGCTTCACACATTGTACCCATGTCGGGAATCGAACCCGGGTCTTCGGCGTGACGCTTGTCGGCCATAGCATTTAACCACATTGACATAATCGCGGAGCATGGATATGGTGCGCACAAACCTGGAAACATGATCATGGCGAATCGGAGATTCGAACCCACTATCATCAGTTTCGGCCACAGGGAATTGCTACGCCTAAGACTGGTAACCAGGGTAAAATCGAGAAACCATGCTTAAAATATGCATCACTGTAATTTCTGTATGAATAAATTTGCAGTTGAAATTGACATCACCAATACGCTGAAACAGTGGGCGCCATGTCCGTCTTCGTAATTATAGAGTGGGGCGGTCGGGTAGCCTAGTGGTTAAAGCGTTCGTACGTCACGCCGAACACCCGGGTTCGATTCCCGACATGGGTACCATGTGTGAAGCCCATTTCTGGTGTACCCCGCCATGATATGGCTGGAATATTGATAAAAGCGGCGTGTTTTCTTAATGACTATATGTACATAAAATTAAAATAAATTGTCAATGCAATAGAATAACCATTCTGGAGTATCCGCCGAAACAGATTCCATAAGGCGTGATGACTCCAGGTGTTCACCAGGTGTAACCGTGTTGATTAATCCTCCAAAATGAAATCATACATTGTGGCAGTGCAAATGTAAGCGTTATCTTATCAATGAGGTAGTCAAGCATTTCATTAAAGTTTTAGCACTAAACTTAAGATAGCATTTGCTTTGAGTTTTGACAAATTGACCTGTACCTCTGAAGATATATATGTAACTATATCTATGGTCACCATGTTTTGTAAGAAAAGCCACATATCAAATGTATTGACAAAACCTGGTTCTTTTTTAAGATTGTAAAGAGTCCATTGCGATTTTGAGAATCATGTATTAATTCCACTTTTCTCAAATACTTTCTGTGACTATAAAGAAAGTCCTTCATTTATTGTATTGAGGATTATGGTTAATCGATTATGGTTGCAAGACCAAGCAACATCTCTCTCATAATAAAGAATTCGACACCCATATATTCTCTTCCTTATCTCTCTCTTTGTCTTTATACAGGACCTGTGAAGATTCCGGGATAGAATTATTATAGGTCTTCAGCACCCACGCTTGCCGTAAAAGGCGACTATGCTTGTCGTAAGAAACGCCTAACGGGATCGGGTGGTTATGCTCGCTGATGCATGTCATCGATCCCAATTGCGTGGATCAATGCTCATGGTGTCAATCACTGGAATGTCTGGTCCAGACACGATTATTTACAAACCGCCGTCATATAGCTGGAATATTGCTGAGTGCTGCGTTAAACAACAAACCAAACCAAACCAAAAGTCTTTGTACAGATTTTTATGGAGTTGAGGAATCCAGTTCAAAGAGAAATGGACATTTCTTCAGGTTAAAGTTGATGGTTGGTTGGTTGGTTGGTTGTTTAACGCCGCACTCAGCAATATTCCAGCTATATGACGGCGGTCTGTAAATACTCGAGTCTGGACCAGACAATCAAGTGATTAATATCATGAGCATCGATCCACGCAATTGGGATCGATGATATGCATCAACCAAGTCAGCGAGCCTGACCATCCGATCCCGTTAGTCGCCTTTTACGACAAGCATTGTCACCTTAAAGTTTATGGAACTGATGCAATAGAAAAAGCAACATTTCAGTATTCAGTATTGCAATAGTTCACGGGTTTGTATACCCTAGCTTCCTCAATCAGACACGCATTATATCGGTTGTGTGTGGCTTTTGTTTGTCAACTAAAGACCGTGTATAACTGTCAAATGAGCCCTGCTCCGTGCATGAACTTTCTGCTTCCCGTCCGATTGCCTGACATTGAAGGATTTGTAGATCAGATACCACAAGGCTATTGCACATATTGCACACGATGTCAAGCGAGAATCATTGCCGTTTGAGTGATGTAAACTGATCGCTCATTGGCCCTCCCTCGTTTCCTTCTCGCTGGATCAAGGCCTTGCTTGATTCGTTTGCGACAACACCGCAAAGCGGCCCTGTGTATTCACAGGCGATGGAAGAGCTTAACTTATACAAACCCGTAAAGTGTTCACGATGCGGCAGCAAAAGCTGAAAAAAGGCTTGCCGACACACAATATGAAGCGCTAGTAAAATCATGCTTTAACAAACGTTACTGATTGATTGAAAGAATCGTGTATGATGTTTGTCGGTCTTTGTGACAAGATAGTTAATCTCTTCAAGTCCTTTATCAGAGTGATGATTGCCAAAAGACATGTCACTACACAGTGAAGTGGTTTTTAAATCATCAATATTAATCAGAGACATTATTTCGATTTGAAACCTCTGAATAACCCATCCGAATCATGTATGCTCTGCAGTCCTTGTAAAATGCAGTAGCATCTCCTCTAACGATCCGCTCGGCGCCAGTTAAAGGCTTGTGATCACAATGTCTGCATCTGGTTTAACTACCCATGATTCCGAATTGGGTGTTTGAGTTTCCACTGAAAAGTTGGTTTGTGTACCAGCTGTACTCAGAGGACGAACCTGCAACAGTGGAAGTAAACTACTCAACTTTTGATAAGGATACTGGGATACTTTATTCTACTGTAGTACATATAATGAGTAATGAAATAATAAGTGGGGTAAATCAAGAAAATAATAGAAAATATCCCTATCAAAAGGTGAGTAGTATAATATAAACAAAACCTGGCTAGCTCTATCCTGACTGTGTTTTCTTTACAATTAGATGCTTCAAACACAATCTCATTAAAATCAAATCTAAGGTCTCGATGCCGCTAAACAAAGATCTGAGGACATCCCATTTCGGACATCCAATTACGGGTCACGTCAGAACGACCTTTCGCGAACTTTGACCGCCCACTGAAACGACTAACAAGAAGTCGACATCAGCCAATTAGAAAGCAGCTTTCTCGAGCTTTACGGCACTCGTTTCAACCTGGCGACTTCCATTTCAGACTACGCTTGAAAAATATGTTGACACAGTTCTCGATTAAAATTTTGAAAATTGAACAAACGAACATTCCAGAATATCTAATATATGGTTGATTGAATGACAATGCTTCCCACATACTGTGCATCGCCTCCTCCGTTCAAATGTTTATGCCACGGAAGCGGGAGATAATTTTGACGGAATCAGTCGTACGGGCCGAAACTGTCGTTCGGAATACCCCGTGTTAACGTTTTCGAGGTTGCATGATTAGAAAACACATTCAGACTGTCACTTTCATGATCTAGTAAGCGACGCTTTGATTGGCCGGGTGAAAGGTCTTCAGCATCCCATGCTTGCCCTAAAAGGCGACTATGCTTGTCGTAAGAGGCGACTAACGGGATCGGGTGGTCATGCTCGCCGACTTGGTTGATGCATGTCATCGATCCCAATTGCGTGGATCGATGCTTATGTTGTCAATCACTTGATTGTCTGGTCCAGACTCGAATATTTACAGAACGCCGTCACATAGCTGGAATATTGCTGAGTGCGGCGTTAAACCACGACAACAAAAATAAAACATTTACAGGTCCCATTGTAAGCATAGATCTGTAGTTAACGGCAGCGTGGAAAAAACACTCCCTCACTCACTGACAACTACAACCATGGAATCATACTCACTGCATACTGGGCACGTCTCTGGAACGGTTCGTAGTTCAGCGCCATTACGTCACCATCACCACCGCTACCTACACAGAATATCCCCAAGGGGTGTTAAGACTAGGTCCACAATACTGGAGTTTACCAGCCGCAATGTGTATACACACATACACACACCAAAGAAAATTGTACTGCGAGTCCAATAGGATGCAAAGATCTTTTCTGAAAGCGAATCTCATTTAAATCAGATCTTAGTTCTCGTTACCGCCAAACAAAGATCTGAGGACACCCCATTACGGGTCACGTCAGACCGACCTTGCACGAACTTTGACCGACCAATGGAATGACTAACAATAGTCAATCAGAAGGCAGCTTAATCGAGCTTTAAGGGACTAATTTCAAACTGGCGACTACGCTTCGAAACATATTTTGACATATACTCGATTACAAAATGAAAATAAGAAGAAAAAAGAACATTAAGGAATGGCTAATAGATGGTCTAGATTGTCTGAATACAGACATAAAGCCCATAACTGTCGACCGGAATACACTGTGTGGTATTTTTCGAGGTTGCGCGATAAAAAATCATGTTCCAAATGTCACTTTCATGATCTGATAGGCGATGCTGTGATTGGTCAGATGAAAGGTCGTTCTGACATGACCCGCAATGGGATGTCCTCAGATCTTTGTTTAGCGGTAGCGAGAACTAAATTCTGAATTTAATGATATTGTCTGAAAGCCAAATCAAATTTGATTACGTATTCTATTGCTATTCATACAGTCTCATGCCGCCTTAACCCCGTTTGTGGCCTATACTGACGTTAATAGCCTAATCCCTGTCCGTAGCATGTACTCGCCCAGGTTTAATCCCCACCAGTAGCTTCTAATGACGTAGATAGCCTAATCCCTCACCGTAGCATATACTCGCCCAGGTTTAATTCCGTCAGAAGCCTATATTGACCCAGTCAGTTTAATCCCTGTCAGTTGCCTATACTAATCCAGCCAACTTAATCCCTGTCAGTAGCCTATACTGACCCAGGCAGTTTAATCCCTGTCAGTAGCCTATACTGACGCAGGCAGCTTAATCCCTGTCAGTAGCCTATACTGACCCAGGCAGTTTAATCCCTGTCAGTAGCCAATACTGACCAAGGCAGTTTAATCCCTGTCAGTAGCCTATACTGACCCAGGCAGCTTAATCCCTGTCAGTAGCCTATACTTACCCAGTCAGTTTAATCCCTGTCAGTTGCCTATACTAACCCAGTCAACTTAATCCCTGTCAGTAGCCAATACTGACCCAGGCAGTTTAATCCCTGTCAGTAGCCTATAATGACCCAGGCAGTTTAATCCCTGTCAGTTACCTATACTGACCCAGCCAGCTTAATCCCTGTCAGTAGCCTATACTGACCCAGCCAACTTAATCCCTGTCAGTAGCCTATACTGACCCAGGCAGTTTAATCCCTGTCAGTAGCCTATACTGACCCAGGCAGCTTAATCCCTGTCAGTAGCCTATACTTACCCAGGCAGTTTAATCCCTGTCAGTAGCCTATACTGACCCAGGCAGTTTAATCCCTGTCAGTAGCCTATACTGACCCAGGCAGTTTAATCCCTGTCAGTAGCCTATACTGACCCAGGCAGCTTAATCCCTGTCAGTAGCCTATACTGACCCAGGCAGTTTAATCCCTGTCAGTAGCCTATACTGACCCAGGCAGTTTAATCCCTGTCAGTAGCCTATACTGACCCAGGCAGTTTAATCCCTGTCAGTAGCCTATACTGACCCAGGCAGTTTAATCCCTGTCAGTTGCCTATACTGACCCAGGCAGTTTAATCCCTGTCAGTAGCCTATACAGACCCAGGCAGTTTAATCCCTGTCAGTTACCTATACTGACCCAGCCAGCTTAATCCCTGTCAGTAGCCTATACTGACCCAGGCAGCTTAATACCGTCTGCCAGTAGCACATCCTCGATCAGGTGGACTAGTTACTCGGTGACTGCATGTCATCACACTTACATGGCGTTGGTGGCTTGTCTGGCTTGTCTGGACCAATATTTACATACTAACGGCACATTGTTCACTGCGGCGTTAAACAACAAACACACTACAAAAAAGAGAGACTTCGACCAGTGTGAACTGAATGGCGAACCCCCAAAGTGACACAGTTTACCACTTTAGTTGGTTGGTTGGTTGGTTGGTTTGTTGTTTAACGCTGCACTCAGCAATATTCCAGCTATATGACGGCGGTCTGTAAATAATCGAGCCTGGACCAGACAATCCAGTGTGATTGATATCATGAGAATCGATCCACGCATTTGGGATCGATGACATGCATCAACCAAGTCAGCGAGCCTGACCACCCGATGCCGTTGGTCGCCTTTTACGACAAGCATAGTCACCTTTTATGGCAAGCATGGGTTGCTGAAGACCTACTCTACCCCGGAATGTTCACGGGGAAACCATTTTAGTGACCAAGGGACTAAGGGTCATAGTCGGAGCGACAGTGGGATTCGAAACCACGAACTGCGGATCGCAACTGTTTGAACAGCGAATTGCGGTACCTCGGACCACCGTGGCACATCGTGTCCGCACAAATGAAAATCACCTCTGCCAACTTGCACAAAGCGATCTTAGTGCTAAGACTATCGTAAGCCTATGTTAAAGTATGGGAGTTAAGATCATCTTTGTGCTAAGATTGCTTTGTGCAAGTTGGCCCTGATCTAATAAGGGATGGCTATCATGTGAATTAGGAAGCTCAAGTGATAAGATTTTCACGAGACTGTAGGTACCTTTCAATCTCATCAAATCTTGTTGAAGCGTCCTCTGTGTGTCTTTGATCTCCCCTAACTCCTTCAAGAGTGTGTCTGTTGAAAGAAAGAAATAACACCATAGTAATAACACTCATTTCAAAGTAAACCTTATGACATGGTTATCAGTCCGTTGTAAGATTCCAACTATATCATAAGCGTGTGTTCATAAATCAATATCTGTTAGTTAACATAAGTTAACATACATAGAGGAGCACCTTTATGCATTAGTTTGTTGTTTAACGCCGCACTCAGCAATATTCAAGCTACATGACGGCTGTCTGAAAAATAATTGCCTTGTAGTTGGCCTACAACCATTATAAGATCACCATTTCATAAATTATTTCCAAAATGCAGTGTGTCTTGTTAACATTTACTAATGTCACTGATTTCCGCCTAACCTTTAAGTCCATCGAATTGTGTTTGCATTTGGATCTTGATTTGCTCCAACAAATATTTCTGATTACCATCCTGGGGTAGCATCGGTCGCTCACAAATAATGTCCTCATCTTGCCAACAGAAAATAAAACCAAGTGTAAAACGAGAAATGGGAACTTGAATTGTCATAAGCGTTATACATTATCAATTCTTACAGTAGTAGCCTGTATTTCTTCTTCTTTCTTCTTCTTACTATTATTATTATGTGCAGATTAAAATAAGAAATGCAACAAAGAGGATTTGGGTGATCCTGGCACAGTCAGACTGGTTAGGCTCATCATCAGCTCAGGGTCCTTGCCTCCTCTACACGCAACCCAGACAGTGAATGGGACTTCTCCCAGGAAGCGCTGCCTAGTCAGACCCACCCAGAACTTTGCGGAGAATGTGACGACTCACCAACAGTGCAGCCTTCTGCATTACCCAGATTGGCTGTACTCCTGGTAGCAAACCCGGGTACTCTTCAAATGTCAGTCAACAGATTGGGAGGTACCAAACCTAAGGCACTGAGAACAACTGGGAGTCGGACAACTTGGTACTTGGGATGCAAGCGTGAGGTCCGCATATTTGCCATGTTTTTCATGAATCTTGTCAATCACATTGATGTCGAAAGGGACAGAAAATTCAAAAATATAAATGATTTCATTTGATTTATCAAAAAGGACAAGATCAGGTTTGTTGGCCTGGATATGTCTGAGGCTGTATATGGGCCTATTCCAAAGAAATTTGTATTTATCCTTTTCCATGACGCCCTCTACATATTCTGTGTCGTACCATTGATGGACCTCTGTGTCAAAACCACAAGCATGGCGAAGACGGTCATAAAAGGATCGAGTCACTCCATCATGTCGCTTAAGATACTGTGTTTGTGCCAAAGCTGGACATCCACTGACAATGTTTTGGACAGTCTCATTAAATTCATTACATAATCTACATTTCATGTTTACATTTTGAAGCAAAATCACACATTGACAGTTTCGAGTGGGAAGTGACTGGCCTTCTGTTTGACTTTTCAGGCCAGTCGACCTCATCCAAGCGAAGGACTCTGTATGGTTGCTGACCATCTCAACACATACACTCGATGCAGTGGTCGTTTAGATAGCCTCTCCTTGAAAAGCCACAAGCTATTATAATGATTATTATTAATAATAATAATAATATTTTGTCCTCAAAATGATTTAATATCTTCATGCATAATTGTAACAATAATTCGTCAAGCAGTTTCTGTGAACAGCTGACATCAAAGAATTGGTAGCAAAACCTGGCTGGGCTAAACTTTCAATTCTCTGATCATTTTGACATGGATAAGGGTGAACGTGAACAAAATCATGAATATTGCATCTTCACTAGATGTCATAAGTTAATTCCCCAAACGCAATTCTGATGCGAAAGTGGCGCAATGGTGGTGCGATAGTGGTTCGAAAGTATGGCGATCCTTTAAATATTTTGTTCCGGAAATGTCGGGGATAGTTTCTCGAAAGTGTCGCGATAAATACCGCGATAGTGACGCATTAAAGGCGAGAAACTTGTGCGACATTAGGGAAGTTCTGTAATGAAAGTTTCAAATGATAGTATTGCCTTTGAAACCAAATAGTCATGTATCAATCAACATACCGGTATACCGAATGTAATGAAAGGAACCAACCCCACCTGCTTTAGGGTCCGATCTGTTCGTTACTTCAACACATTCGTCGTCTACGGCATTTTCAGCCTCGTATATTCTGTTGTCGAATGATTCAGTGCGCGAGTCGCTGCTCTCTTCACATGTAGATGAGTATCTTCTACTGTATGCACAACGCATACCGGGACCCCGATGAAGGTTGTCCAACGCATCATCTGAATAACTCGAAAGATTTCCCTCTGAACTGGACGTCATTTTGATAGACAAGGTTAGTGCACAAACACCTTACCAATACAAGAATGCGTTAATATGTTCCAGTATGAAGGGCGTGTATTGATGAGGCTAAAATGCCCCCTTAGTGTATTCCCAGGATGAGGAAAGGGACAGTGACACCTGTTTCAAGATCCTTGATAGCGACGGAGATGAATCTCAAATGAGATCAATAAATTTCTGTCACTTTGCACAACCAATCTTCACGGGTTATTCTTTCAACGTCCCCATTTTCTGTAATATGATAAGCTAATGGGCCTTGTTTGTGATAGAACACTATCCCTTCCGTGTAGCCAACTGCAATCTCAAGGACGCATCTGCTGCTCTCTGTCTTCACTGGATAAAAGTGGAATTTTACAAGGTCTGAAGAAATATCTCCAAAAGATTTATCGGAATCTAGTTTGGTTACATGAGATTTAATTAGACATTTGAGACTGTTCTCAAGTTCACGTTTTCCACATTTCAACTCAAATCCTTCAATATTTGGAACCCAACTATTGGAAGTGCGTGGGCCGTCCGTTGATGTCTTGTACTCTCTTTTTGTTACAGCAATTCCTAAATAGAAGGAGCCCCCTTCGTCATTATTTGTCATACAACTGAGATATTCTCGGAATCGAAGTTTTTCCCAAATATATTTGGCAAAGGTATCTGGGTGACTTTCAATGGCGCTTTTGTCTTTTTTTTCGGGTCTATATGCTTTGAGCTGGATGTTTCGACTTTTGTGTGGAGTTGATTGCAAGCCTCTTAATTCCGCAGCTTTTTCGGAGGACGCTTTTCTGTGAGACAAGAGAGACACGATGTTAAGCGTTGATGGTCTTTCGACCTGTAAATCCGAGCAGACCTTAGTTTTGAAATCTACAGTAGCAACACCTTTGGTTTTCTCAACCGATATTAGGATGCAATCTGTGAATTTCTCAAACGTACTTATTTCACAGAGCCATTTCCGTTTGTATGTATCTACAAACAAGGTTCCATCACATATGAAATTGTTCAAACTTTTTTCCAGAAACTCATCCACGCATCCCAAGAAACGGTCACCACATGCTGTCCCGCTGACATGAAGAATGATGATGCCACCTGCTGTGTTTCTGAGTGCAGACACCTTGATCTCGATTTCTCTCAATTTTGTTTTCCTTTGCTCCTGATGTTTCTTTAATTTGCCTTTTAAATCGCGAATGTCAATGTGAACATCGAATAGATTTGGCACCTTTTTCTGTGATTTTTTGTACAGGCCAACAACCTTCTTGCAGGTACTACAATGCCATGACATTCCTGTCTGAAACACAAAAGTTATTTAGAGTTCCAAAGCCACACGTCCTACAGTTACCAGCTAAACATAGATATACTAGATATAAGATAAAATACAAAAGTGAATTATAAGCCGGATTCCAAATGTATTTTCACGTGTACATCTATTTAAGTTGTTTCCCCGAAACTATACAAGTGATAAAGTTTCTGTTCGTTGGTTTTCGTTTTGACGGTCAAGAACGAGAGTTTCATTGTCAGTGACGGGTTTAAAGGAGAGCGATGGAGAATTGCCAAGACTCCGACTGAGGGGGACAAAGGTTACAGTGGCTACGCGGTACATTTAATGTCACCAAAGTGAGGGAAAAACAATGAGACAAATGATAAATTGCTGAAGGTTTTAAATGTTCGGAGACAATTTGTCCACATGTTTATGTTCATGGGAAAATAATTTAAAACATTTCTACCCTAGGAAAGGGTACAATATGTCCCGAACACTTGCTTTCAATGTGCACGTAGTTGAATCAAATGGGGTTTGTTTTTTGTTGTTGTTTAACGTCGCACTCAGCAATATTCCAGCTATATGACGGCGGTCTGTTTGTTTGTTTGTTGTTTAACGTCGCACTCAGCAATATTCCAGCTTTATGACGGCGGTCTGTAAATAATCGAGTCTTGACCAGACAATCTTGCTTACTTGGTTGATGTTTGTCATCGTATCCCAATTGCGTAGATCGATGCTCATGATGTCAATCCCTGGATCGCCAAGTCCAGACTCGTTTATTTACAAACTGCATTCATATGGCTAGAATATTGCTGAGTCAACAATAAATCATCCCAAATAGCAGCCATCTGTCTTCTAATGATATCCGCAACTAATTATTATATGCGTGACTTTCAAACGACCCTCTGGTGAAATTATGACAACATACCCAACTCAGTAACATGTTTTAAATGAATTATATATGCAGGACATGACACATTTAACACTACCTCATATCAATATGAAGAGCGGGCGACACATTGTGTAATCTAATCTTCAAAAACTTGATAACATGTTCTATAGAACCTCGTAAACAAAGATCAAGGTACAACGGGTCGACAGGTATAATATAATGGAACTCTTAGTGTATAGATGTTGTTTGTTGTTTAACGCCGCACTCCAACTCTATTCCAGCTATATGACGGCGGTCTGTAAATATTTGAATCAATCCAGACAATCCAGTGATTGGCATCATGAGCATCGATCCACGCAATTGGGATACGATGACATGCATCAACCAAGTCAGCGAGCCTGACCACCCGATCCCGTTAGTCGCCTGTTACGACAAGCAAAGTCGCTTTTTATGGCAAGCGTGGGTTGCTGAAGACCTATTCTTACCCCGATCTTCACTTGTCCAGTGTATTGATGATGACACAGCTGCCAATGTAACTAATTCTAACCATTCAGGACCCAATTGCACAAAGCCATCTTAGCGCTAAGATTATCGTAAGCCTTTGTTAAAGTATGGGAGTTACGATCATCTTCGCTCCAAGATCGCTTTGTGCAAGTGGGCCAAGGTTTATAAGATAAACACGGACGTGTAATAAAAGTTTTCAGCAACGAAAGGTGACGTAAATAACGTGTTAATACTATACGTTATCATACATGCACAGTATGCTTGTTTGTTTAATTGTTTGGTAATTTGTTGTCTAACGCCGCAATATTCCAGCTATATGACGGCGGTCTCGACCAGACAATTCAGTGATTGAAATAACTGGCATCGATCCAAGCAAATGAGATACGATCATCAGCAATGTCTACAAGCTTGACCCCCGATCTATATAGTTGCCTTTTGACAACGCATGTTGTTGAGGACGTATCTAATTTGTGCAGGGAGGCGGTGAAACACGATTGTAGCGTTCGCACATCGACTCCTACAAAGATACAATGTGTGGGGTCAATTCCCGATGTCCAACGCGTGATATTGCTGTATAATATACCACGTGGGGTTCCGGGTTAGAACAGGCCCCCAATAACTTATGCTGGTCGTACGAGGTTACGCACTGTGACGGTGGTCAGACTCGGTGACTTGATAGATTGCGCGCCATCTCACCCTAACTGTGTGGATCCTTACTGATAATAAGACCGCCTCCGTGGTCTAGTGGTAGAGCGTCCGCCCGGAGACCGCCTCCGTGGTCTAGTGATAGAGCGTCCGCCCGGAGACCGCCTCCGTGGTCTAGTGATAGAGCGTCCGCCCGGAGACCGCCTCCGTGGTCTAGTGGTAGAGCGTCCGCCCGGAGACCGCCTCCGTGGTCTAGTGATAGAGCGTCCGCCCGGAGACCGCCTCCGTGGTCTAGTGATAGAGCGTCCGCCCGGAGACCGCCTCCGTGGTCTAGTGGTAGAGCGTCCGCCCGGAGACCGCCTCCGTGGTCTAGTGATAGAGCGTCCGCCCGGAGACCGCCTCCGTGGTCTAGTGGTAGAGCGTCCGCCCGGAGACCGCCTCCGTGGTCTAGTGGTAGAGCGTCCGCCCGGAGAGCGGAAGGTCCGGGGTTTCATCCCCGACCGCGTCATACCAAAAGACGTTAAAAGATGGTACTTGTTGTTACCCTGTCTGGCGCTCGGCATTAAGGGGCTAAAACAAGGACTGGTCGGCTCGGAGTCAGTATACTGTGTCTGAGTTAAACTGTTATATTAACATGTTAAACTGCGGCATGGTATCTCAGTGAGCTAGCACTATAAATCGGCATCAATCCGGACTAGTACAAGCAGCCACACAAACACACACATACATACATGCACGTCGCTATATAAGTGCAATAATCATGGATGCGACGTTAAACACCATTTCACCTCACCTCACCTCACCTTACTCATAAAATCCTTTAGTAAACCATCTTTTAGTAAATCTTTTATTTACATCCGCCGTCATGTGGTCGGAATATTGCTGAGAGTGGCCTTATAAAACTGGCAAAACTGAAACAGGCTCAACACCTTACAGTTCAGGAGGTAATTTAACCGTATTCTAGCACTGTGGCTACGGGGGGCACGGGTGGCCCAGTCGTTTTAGGCGCCGCGATTGGCTGTGCAGAATTGCGTCCCTTGGGCACGCCAGAAACCTATGATTGTGGGTTCGAATCCCGGTTCGCCCCGATTATGTTTCTAGGTTTTTCAGCACCATACCCGTGCTCGTGGGTTTCACCGAAGTGGTAAACGTCTGAGACCTGCATCACTTCGGGCTTTCCTCCCACATTAAGCTGACACGCCGCGATGTAACTGGAATATTGTTAAAAGCGGCGTTAAACCAAACTCACTCACTCACTCACTCACTCACTGTGGTTACGGGTGAAATTGGGTCAAACGTTCTAGTGCAAATTATTGCCACATCACCACGAAACACAGTTTTATTCAAAACGTCAACGTCAGTCTTGATTACTTCTGCCGAAAAACATTCCGTGGGGAATAAAAAGCAAAATAGTGATACAAATAAGTTCAATGGATCACTTAAAAAGTCAAAGATGACAGACATTTTCGCGAAAAGGGTATGGTAAGTATACATGCATGTCCTGTACCGAGAGCACCCGTAACTCATACATTCTTTTTTATACAAACGTAGGTTGTTGCCATACGACTATGACCTCAAACATTCCAGTATGGACAAGACAATCCAGTGATCAGTATCATGAACAATGACCCACGTCATCGTGGTACGACGCTATACTGTCAGTCAAGTCATCACACCTGAACAACCGATCTATAAAAGTAAGTGCCAGTGAGAAATGTGTTGTGTACAGTGGAGAACTCCCTGAAAAGATTCTAGCATGGGTACATACCTCGTCATCGGATTCTTGAGTATTGTGCATGCACACACTAGGGTCCCGGCAACGAATCAGGCTGCACACGGCTAGTGAACGTGACAAACTGTTCATATCAAATTGATAACTTTATCGACACAAACCTTCCTGGACTGACATGCCTACGTGTGTCAAACGAATAGTCGATATACAAGGAAGTATAGGTTTATCCTTGTTTGTTGTTTAACGCGGCAAATATTCCAGCGGTACGACGGCTTGCGAGGGCACGGGTGACACAGTCGTCTGAGAAGCCACAATTTCCTCTTGAGATCCACGTCCCTTTGAAAGACATGATTGTGGGTTGGAAATGCATATTCGTTCTCAGTATATTTTTAGGTCTGTTTCTTGGTCATTTCCAAAATTTCCACGACAATGATGTTTTATCAATGCAATTTCCAATTTTGATTTGCACCATATAATCCCGTGTTTGTACAGATGAACACTTGATTTGCCTTTGCAGCGGCGTAGATTACAGCCTTCCTCAAACAACTCTTATAATCAATTTGTTAACATATGTTAACTTACATTGATTAACCTGATACCAGCGGAAGAAAGTAAGTTTGCTTCATATTAAATAGAGTAAATGTTAGGTCATTGAAAATATGTCACGGAGCTGTGCTCCAATGATCAGAGGTACAGCGTATACGAAAACATTAATAACGAAAACGTGGTAATAGGTTCACATGTATATTAATAACAGCTAATTGCATTATAGATGACAATAAAGGACCAGATAAACCCAATCTGCGCTGACAAAGATCACTGAGTAATTACATCAGAGCAAATGCACAAGCGGCTTAGCTACGCAACTGTATTACAGTAATAAAAGGAGAGTAGCAACACTTTGACAAGATACCAACCAGATGCCTTACAGCCATTTAAGTCGACTGCGACCAATTATCACCTGAGTCAATTTACTCAACACTCAAATGAATGAATAACATCGGCATGGTTGAATGACAGGAAATACACACAGGGGGCCTTTCCCTAATATAAGTCACTTAGACTACAAAATAGACGAGTACGTCTGAATATCACTTTGAGTGAACAAGGAAATACTAAAATTCCCAAATGGTTAGACAATCACGGGAAGGTTGGTTATCCACGGATTACTAGAAAAACGGCGTATGACACACCTTAGCTACTACGTTTATTCCAATCAACTGGAGTAAGTCAGAACTTAGATCGAACAGTGTCCCGTAACCGGCCAAATGAATCCTGGGGGTAAAGACCCAAGAACCTGACAGATGTACAAATATACTGCACGCGGACCTCAGAGAGGTTAATCTCTTCTGGATAGCCGGGGAATACAATAGTCTGAGGCGCTTCGCCAAACTGGGAAAACACGAATAGCACCTCTAACTACTGTATCTATACTGACGATGTAAGTAAACAAATAAAGCTATCCAGCGGTATCATTAAGGGCATACAACAAGCTATGTACAATTCTTGAGGAGGCAAACATGATCATAAATTCATGAGAAATATCTGAGTGTACATACAAATTCGCCATATTTTTGAAAATGATAGCAACAAAAACATTTTCAATACAAGAATAGTAATGAACACGTAGGGAATAACATACGTCAAGTCAATACATGAAATGAGAGTGCCACTAGATCACAAGAGAATGAAATAGTTGAGCCACTAATTCCCTAACACAAAGTAATGACACCGCACAACGACGACCGCCGGACTTTGCCGAGCAGTGTCGGAATTAAGCCGGGAGCGGAGAGGTCACTAGACCGTGACACGTGCAAAATAACGACCCGGTGACAAAGTGAAATAATAATATTTGGTCATTCGTCTGATCAATGTTTATCATAACAAATTCATTGGCAAAACCCATACCTGGTAACAGAGGGGTGGTGTAACAACTCAATAACAATGTCAATATGGATGTAACCACCAATTGCGTTGGTATAGGCGAGGTAGCGGCGGTGCATTGAAGACACCAGATGATTGAAAAAAGCCTGATGGATGTTGTTTCAAATGTCAACTAAACATTTGCCCATTGGAGCTACCGTTAGCGCCTGGTTCTGGTCCTGTCATAGGCGTCGTTTTATTTCATCCCGGACATGAAGTTCTGGAGCAACAGTCGTCCATAACAATGCAGCAATGTTATACTGCCTACTAAATCTGTTACAACATGTGCAATATGTGGGCGGGCATTTTCCTGCTGCATCATGACGTTACGTCCCTGCGTTTACACAAAGGATAGAACATGATATCGGACGATGTGCCCCGATACCGTACGCCATTCAAATTGCCATGAACAATGATGAGTTGTGATGCCACCCATACCATCAACTTCCATCCCTAAACTGACGACGGGGAGTACACAAGCGTCTCTAAAGCATTGTCCCTTGCACGTACATCAGAACTGTCCAGATCAAACCTGTACTCATCTGTGAACAGTATATTCTCCCAGTCTTGTCTTCTGAACCTCAGATGCGTCTCCATCAAGCTAGGCGTGCCTGACGGTGACGTGGAAGCAAATTGAACGCATCGGTGGATGTCAAGGCCAGATGTTGTGTTCTCTCAACTAGCTGCATGCAGTCTTCCACTATTTGGTCTCAACCCAGGAATTGTCCGGGCTGTTAATGTGCCAGATTGGTGTTGATTCCGTTGACATGGTTGTCTTGTTAGCGTGACGTCACAAGTGGAGGAGCAGCCCGTGGAAATGTCTGGCAACTTCGTTTTGCGCCTTTCCTGTTTGCAGCATACCCACGTCACGTACACGTTGATTTTCAGCAAGCTGTGGCTTTGAGTAAGCGTTATTTACGGTCAAACAACGGTGTTTATATGAGCACCTGATTCCAAAACAATAATTGTGTGCTGTTCACTTTTAAAACTACGTGTATGAGTATGCTCCCAACACAAACGCAAACACTCAAATTGTGCGCTGTGCATTAACATGCAAATTGTGAATCAAGACCTTAATGTTGAGGAGACGTCTTCATGAATATGTATTGAAAGATGCATTATTTAATTCCGGAATATATTTTATGGAGGACAGTTACTTTTGTGAGTATCCATACATTACCGAACAATTATGTTCACTCTTAGGAGCAACCCACCTGCAATGTACACAAGCAAAAGCACAAAGTTGGACCCTTGTGTATGACAGATTAAATTAGAAAATAAGGTACTGTCCAGATTATATTATCAATAAAGGTACTGTCCAAAGATTAGGAAACAGATTTTCAGTAAGTGTCCCGTGATGAAACGTGAGTGACGGCCAACAGGTACCCGGCCCCGTTCTGCCATCTGACAAAGGGAAGCGAATCATCATCTTGCACGCTGGGACTCGTACTAAACGTCTAATAGACGGCTGTGAAGTAGCCTGTGACTAACACAGAAATGAATGGAACGGTATTCTGTGAAAGGTTTAACATGAGTTTCTTTCACGACTGTACAGCCCAAGCGTGAATGCGATGAATAACGCGAGTTACCGCAACAATAACCGGAACTATAACCACAACTGCAAGCAGTTTGAAAGTTTGCAAGAATACCTACACTTCTGTCTGAGACAAATGTGCAACTTATTAAAAAGGTCAGAGTACATAACACACCCACTCAGAAAAAGGTGGTGACATGTTGTCTTGGGCAGAAGTGAGGTGAAATAATGAAGGGTTTAAGGTGAGCCTATTAATAATAACATTGCACTTAACATTGAATGTGCAGACTAACGACAGTGATCAAATGCTAGTTTACGTCATTGAACCATGAGATCTTACCTTTTATATTCCATTTGTTTTTTGCATCAGTTCATGTATGTACCAGTCAATACACTGAATCTACATACATCATTTAATCTGCTTGCATCAGTCTATACATTGAATCTATATGCATCAGTCCATACATCGAATCAGCATCCATCAGTCTATACACTGAATCTGCTTGCATCAGTCCATATATTTAATCTGAATGCATAAGCTCATGCACTGAATATGCATGTGCCAGTCAATACATTGAATCTGTATGCATCAGTCAATACATTGAATCTGTATGCATCAGTCAATACACTGAATCTGTATGCATCAGTCAATACATTGAATCTGGATGCATCAGTCCATGCACTGAATCTTCATCTACCAGTCAATACATTGAATCTGCATGCATCAGTCAATACATTGAATTTGCATGAATCAGTCCATACACTGAATCTGCATGCATCAATCCATACATTTAATCTGCTTGCATCAGTCTATACATTGAATCTATATGCATCAGTCCATACATCGAATCAGCATCCATCAGTCTATACACTGAATCTGCTTGCATCAGTCCATATATTTAATCTGAATGCATAAGCTCATGCACTGAATATGCATGTGCCAGTCAATACATTGAATCTGTATGCATCAGTCAATACATTGAATCTGTATGCATCAGTCAATACACTGAATCTGTATGCATCAGTCAATACATTGAATCTGGATGCATCAGTCCATACATTGAATCAGCATCCACCAGTCCATACACTGAATATGCATGTGCCAGTCAATACATTGAATCTGCACGCATCAGTCAATACATTAAATCTGCATGCATGTGCCAGTCAATACATTGAATCTGTATGCATCAGTCAATACATTGAATCTGTATGCATCAGTCAATACACTGAATCTGTATGCATCAGTCAATACATTGAATCTGGATGCATCAGTCCATGCACTGAATCTTCATCTACCAGTCAATACATTGAATCTGCATGCATCAGTCAATACATTGAATTTGCATGAATCAGTCCATACACTGAATCTGCATGCATCAATCCATACATTTAATCTGCTTGCATCAGTCTATACATTGAATCTATATGCATCAGTCCATACATCGAATCAGCATCCATCAGTCTATACACTGAATCTGCTTGCATCAGTCCATATATTTAATCTGAATGCATCAGCTCATGCACTGAATATGCATGTGCCAGTCAAAACATTGAATCTGTATGCATCAGTCCATACATTGAATCAGCATCCACCAGTCCATACATTGAATATGCATGTGCCAGTCAATACATTGAATCTGCACGCATCAGTCAATACATTAAATCTGCATGCATCAGTCCATACACTGAATCAGCATCCATCAGTCAATACATTGAATCAACATGCATCAGTCCATGCATTGAATCTGCACGCATCAGTCAATACATTGAATCTGCATGCATCAGTCCATGCACTGAGTCTGCATGCATCATTCCATGCATTGAATCTGCACGCATCAGTCAATACATTGAATTTGCATGCATCAGTCCATGCACTGAATCTGCATTCATCTGTCCATGCACAGAATCTTCATGTACCAGCCAATACACTGAATCTGAATGCATCAGTCCATGCATTGAATCAGCTTGCATCAGTCTATACATTGAATATTCATGCATCAATATTGGAGGTTTCTCAATAGGCTGTAATACATTCAATCACTCGCCATGCACTAAACTCGTGTATGCGAGACGGAGAAGAGAAAGACCGTCAAATACCACCCTGGTTCAATACATCAACATGCTACACACGTACGCTATTTTGACCTATAAATAAAACAGCCTAGTACAACAACCCGTAACGCATACCCGCTGTCGTGTTGTGTAACACTGCGAACCAGTTCCTGCCTGACTCGCTGTAATACAAAGGGTGCAAATTTACTTCCTTGTTTCAAATAGCATGTACACCTGTAACTTGGGAGATAAGCTGAGTGATCTTCCCGCGGCTGGTAGACATGACAGCTCTTATTTGGTCAGTGAGACAAGGGAAACATGATATCATCTGAGTGATTTACAAGTTGGCCAACAGTGTCTTTTGTGACACCAATACTTACTTCAACACACACGATGCAAACGTGAGTATGCTTGTCAACGATACATAGTTTACATAGCAAAGAATATTGAACCAAATAGCATATTGTTCATATGTTATACAAGTGTCTATATCTTGAAAGGTAAACAAGTCGTTATAACGTTCATCCATATTCCTGTATGTATGTATGTATGTATGTATGTATGTATGTATGTATGTATGTATGTATGTATACGTATGTTTGTTTATATATACTGAACCGAAAAAGAAACGCCACCCCAAGTAACATTGCATGAAAAGTTGTCATTTAAATATCTGCGTAATTTTGTAAAAGTTTCTAAAATTTAACATTACCTTTTCCGGAACCATTAAATTTAATGATAAAAAAACAAAGCAGATGAGAATAAAACCGATCGCCCAAACGCATCATGGCAACGGCCATGGTACCCCGATGCACGTGAGTTCCGTGCAAATTGAAATACACATGCGTTCCCCCAGTTCTTGCCCTATAAAAATCAACCCAGTTCGGATAACATTCATTCGTTATTGAATTGCTACCACATGCCAAGCCCTTTGACGATTACAAGCTGGACAAACCGCCCGGCAAGTAGCCAATGCATTTCGAGTCCACGTAAGGACCATATACAGGCTCCAGCAACGGTATCAGACAACCAACACTACAGAAGCCCGACCACATGTTGGAAGACCAAGGTTCACCACCCGACGTCAGGATCGTCAGATTGTGCGACAGCATCTTCAAGATCGCTTTGTTACTGCTGCTGAAACTGTTCGACAGACCATTGGGAAACACCAGCGACACATTAGTGCGGACACCGTACGTCGACGATTGACGAGCAGACACCTCTACTGGCACAGGCCACACCGAGGACCCATTCTGACACCACGTCATCGCCGGGACCGTCTTCAGTGGGCAACAAAGCACAAGCATTGGCGCCACCAGCAGTGTAGAAGAGTCCTCTTCTCAGACGAGAGCCGTTACTGCATCTCAACAGCAGATGGCAGAGAGAGAGTCTGGCGACGCCGTGGGAAATGTTATCCGGATGCTTGCGTTGTTGAGGGAGACTCGTGGGGTGGTCCGAGCATCATGGTGTGGGGTGGAATTGGTCTTGTACAGAGGGTCTGTCCTGTGGTCTTACAGAACATCGGTCCTGGGAGAGGCAATGGTGTCACAGCAGCTCGGTACATTGATCAAGTCTTAAGACCACAGGCCATACCTCATTTGGCACGTCGCCGCAACCACGAGTTTCAACATGATAACGCCCGTGCCCCCACTGTGAGAGCAACAAGAGAATTCCTCCAGCAGAATGGCATCAGAACCATGCAGTGGCCTGCCCTCAGTCCCGATTCGAATCCCATTGAGCACCCGTGGGACGAGATTCAAAGACGGCTGAATGACATCCGACCAAGACCGACAACTGCAGCTGAACTGCGTCAGGCGTTCCTCAGAGTGTGGGCTCAAGTGCCTATGTCCTTCATCAACCGCCTCATCCATTCCATATATCGACGTTGCACGGCAGTCATCAATGCACATGGCGCACACACGAGATACTGACTTGTGATACCATTTTCTCAGCGACTAGTGTTGTGTTTCACTTTAAGAACATTTGACACTTTGATTTAAACCTTGATCAGTTTTGCCAAGTTTCATCTTTTTGATATGTCTCAAAGTATGTTCACAGTGTTTGGACAAATAAGGTTTCTCATATATCTATCCATGGTGACGTTTCTTTTGCGGTTCAGTATATGTATGTCTGTGCATATATGTGTGTATGTTTGTGTACGCATGTTTGTATACACTGTAGGTGTGTGTACATGTACATGTATGTGTGTAGATTGGTCGGAAGGTAGGTGTATGTGTATATATGTCTGTATGCTTGTGTACGCATGTGTTTATGTGTTTGTGTATATGTTTATGTATGTGGGGTAGGCACATAGATAGGTGTCTGTATGTGTGTATATATGTGTGTGCATGTATGTGTAGATACACGTAGTTATCAAGGCTATACTTGTTTTACAAACTACTTACATGTTTATATTGTAAAACAACGTCGTGATCTTTAGACTTTTGCTTGTGAAATATGTATTGTACTTTGATCATCTAAACGAAATCAACGTAAGGCATGCTCTGTCAAGGGAAAGCGGAAGTAAATAATATTGTAGATGGCAATCTTAGTGTATAGACAGGTGTTGTGAAGAAACTGGTTGACCCACTTGAAACTAACAACATTATTGATTACCCTTAGTGTGTGACGACTCATGGGTAACGGGTGGCCTAGTCGTCTATAGTGTCGTAATGTGATAAGGAAAGTATCAGAACCCGTTGATCAGGGTTTACTTCTTTACTTCTTATGTAAACAACCATTGGTTTATATAGAATGCGTTTTGTGAGGACATATGCTCACATACATGCATGGAATGAAACGTTAAAACAGTGTACGTTTTACTTAATATTTCTTTTCTACTTCCATGGTACTCAAATTCCAAAAGTTTTACATTGTGTATCAAGTAGCATCAAATCTGAAAGACATGAACTATATTCACAAAGATACCTGTGTTCACAATTTGAACAAAAAAACACTTTTTTCTTTCAGAAAAGAATGTCATGCGAATGCAGTACCTGCAAGGAGGTTAAAGACCTTTACATAGAATCACAGAAAAAAGTGCCAAATTTGTTCGTTGAACACATTGACATAGACGATTTAAAGGGGAAAAGGAAACATAAAGATAAAAAGAAAATAAAACTGAGACTAATCGAGATCAAGTTGTCCGCACTGCGAAATACAGCAGGTGGCAACATCATTCTTCATGTCAACGGGACGGCATGTGGTGACCGTTATTTGGGATGCGTGGATGAGTTTCTGGAAGAAAGTTTGAACAATTTCATATGTGATGGAACCTTGTTTGTAGATACATACCAAAGGAAATGGCTGTGTGAAATAAGTACGTTTGAGAAATTCACAGATTGCATCCTAATATCGGTTGAGAAAACCAAAGGTGTTGCTACTGTAGATTTCAAAACTAAAGTTTGCTCGGATTTAAAAGTCGAAAGACCATCAACACTTAACATCGTGTCTCTCTTGTCTCACGGGAAAAGGTCCTCCGAAAAAGGTGCGGAATTGAGAGGCTTGCAATCAACTCCACACGAAAGTCGGAACATCCAGCTCAAAGCATATAGACCCAACGAGCAAGACAAAAGCAACATTGAGAGTCACCCAGATACCTTTGCCAAATATATTTGGGAAAAACTTCGCTTCCGAGAATATCTCAGTTGCATGACAAAAAATGAAGAAGGGGGATCCTTTTATCTAGGAATTACCGAAAAAGAAATCAAATATACAAACACATCACCGGACAGCTTATGCACTTACAGTAGTTGTGTTCCAGATATTGAAGGATTTGTATTGAACTTTAGCGAAGATGACTTAAAGAAAAGTCTCATGTGTTTGATTCAATCTGATGTCACGATACTACACGTAGATGTGGATGCAGCTTTTAAAGACATTTCACCCGATCTTGTAAAATTTCAGTTTTATAGTTTGGAAAATAGTACTCTTGAAGGCAACAGGTTTGTCCTTGAGATTGCAGTTGGTTATACGGGCGGGATAGTGTTCTATGACAAAGAAGGTCCCCTGGCGTATCACGTTAAAGGAGGGACAGTTGAAAGAATCACCCAAAAAGATTGGTTGTGCAGAGTAACAAAAACATTTGATGATCTTAAATGTGATTCATCTCCACATTAAGCAAGAATCCTATTAACACGTATCAGTGCCCCGTTTCCTCTACGTGAAAACATTAGGTAGCTTAATGTCTATGGACGTCGCCTCATTACTGCATTATCTAACCTTACGTACCTGTTTTGATCAGAAATAATATCAAAATGACATCCAGTTCCGATGCGAATCGTTCGAGTGTTTCAGATGGCACTTTAGACAACCTTCATATAGGAATGTCTTGTGCTTATCATAAGCAAAATGACGCCAGCAGTGATAGCCATGCTGAAGCATCTGACAACGCAGAATCGTCCACCGTATACGTACGCATAAGCAGAACAGATCAAGTCCCAGGTGAGATGCCTCCTTTCATTGCTTGTGATAAATATTGCCGTAAATATTTCGCGATCACTTCAAAACTGGATACTTACATGTAACAGCCACCTTTGCATTTAGCCTGTATTGGTCAGTAGAATAACATTGTGTCCATGTGACGTTTAATGTTAATGTCTAATGTTAACGCCAGTACGAGAGTACTGTGTGTGATTAAACACTCAAGACACCATCCTGTATTATCAGTTCAAACAAGGTGACTCCAATGGACCAGATGAGTCGAAACTGTGCTTGTCATACGTCAGCATTTGTTATCAACGTTTCACATTAATTATTGACGTTTCAAGTCAAAACCTTTACAAGGACATAGATGTTTACAAAGAGTTCTATTGAAGTCAGCTCCTTTGTATTCGTTTGTTTGGTTGTTACGGTGACTGAAGATCTATTCTACTTTATATTAATATGTATATACACAAGGTTTCAGGATAGCTTCTCATTACTTTATATTTTTATGTATATTTACACAACGTTTCAGAGTAGGTCCTCATTACTTTATAGCAGTATGTGCACACAACGCTTCAGAGTAGTTACTTATCCCTTCATCATGCCCTTCCACACTACAGACGTTTTTAGCAACATTCCAGCAATATCACGGCGGGGGACATCAGCAATGGGCTTCACACATTGCGCCCATGTCGGGAATCGAACCCGGGTCGTCGGCGTGGCGAGCGAACGCTTTAACCACTAGGCTACCCGACCGCCCCTACAGACGTTGACATCCATAAAACATGATTCTTATGGCACAAATATGATATTATTTCAATAAAGTATATGTTCCCAACATCAAGATTCAGGGTAAATGTGAGGGTAAATGGGGTAGATTCTGTGTTGGTGTGTCATGTATAAGTGTGCATTGGTCGCTGTAGACTATGTGTTGATTATTTTCATTTACAAAAATACTCCAACGCTAATCTCTGTTACCCAGATGAAGTACCTGAGGATGAGCATCAGCCGCTACCTTCCAGTAATTACCAGAAGGAATTGTCAATAGACATTATGATGAACATTCAAAAACAACAAGGTGAGACAAAATGAGGAGAAAATAAAAACATGATAAAGGTTGAAATAATAAGAAAATTTGTTTGACAAGGAAATGAATATCAGAGTGGTTGAAATAGTAAGTTTTGCTGAGTGTAAAACATTAAGGATGCGCATAAAGGATATTGGGATTATGTTGAATATTTCGCTGAGAATATTATTTTCCCCCTGATTGCTCAAATTACGCGTAGTCCATTGTTTTCATTGCTTGAAAAGTGAACCAAAGCCAAGTTTATTGTCGAATATAATAATTATTGAAGATGACGTACATGTGTGAAAAGAAGAGCGGCGGCGTTATAGCGCGAGACTGACTTAGTAGTGTTATTGTGGCACATGTTTGAAGTAGTCATATTATTATTATGTTAAGTGGCGAAGAGAAACGAATTATTTCTATTCAGTTGGCAGAAGGTTTGTTTGTTTGTTTGTTTGTTTAACGTTGCACTCAGCAATATTCCAGCAACATGACGGAGGTCAGTAAAAAAAATCGAATCTGGATCAGACAATCTTGTGATGGAGCATCGATCCACGCAAAATTAAATATATGTGTTGGTGCTGCCAGGTAAAGTTGTGTTCAACATCAATGACCATACGTTGCGCATGATGAATGAATGTGATCATTGAACACCCATACACCTGTAAATAGACAGTTTCAGAGTATATGTGTTAATATAGGCAAAATATGGTTTTATCCATGTCATCGTCGTCATATTCATTGATTTCCTTTTAGTTAACATGACATTCTTCTTACGGACATTCAACGAGATGAATGAAAGCATAGAAAGAGAGAGCATGCACTGTTCATTCAATGTATGTTAACATGTGTTGATAAATATGTCATGTGGTTTATTTTGCAAATAAGTATTGTTACCATGGTGTCATTGCCTGTTTGACAGACACAATACTGAAGGAGATAAGGGAGATCAAAGACACACAGAAGGAGATTCAACGAGATTTGGTGAGATTGAAAGGTAAAGGGAGTCTCGTTAAAGTCTTGTCATCTAATGCCCATGTTACTCCCCAATACACAGCACATCCATAGCATATCGAGTGGTTGTACTTTGTGCGGACAGTATGAAACGGTGGTCTGGGGTACCGGGATTCTCTGTGCAAATAGTTGCTATCCTCGGGTCGTGGTTTCAAATCCCCCATCCCGCATGACCCGTGAAGATCCGGGGTAGAATAGGTCTTCAGCAACCCATGCTTGCCGTAAAAGGCGACTACGCTTGTCGTAAGAGACGACTAACGGGATCGGGTGGTCAGGCTCGCTGCCTTGGTTGATTCATGTCATCGATCCCAGTTGCGTGGATCCATGCTCATGATATCAATCACTGGATTGTCTGGCCCAGACTCGATTATTTAAAGACCGCCATCATATAGCTGGACAATTGCTTAGTGCGGAGTTACACAACCAACCAACCAAATCCCATATTTGCTACGATAATGTTCTCATTGGTTGCACCAACGTAGTAAACCTAAAAGGGCTGTACCATGACCATACAGTCTCATCATGTTTCGTGCTTGTATTTTGTTCAAACAGTGTGACACGGTGGTCTGAGGTACTGGAATTACAAGTACAGATAGTTGCGATCTGCTTGTCGTGGCTTCGAATCCCACATGCGCTCCGATTATTATCCTTGGTCAAGGTACCGTACCATGTCAACATGGTCTCATCATGTTCTTCAAGCAGGTTTTCTTTACGTAAATGTATAAAGCACAACATTCAGTGATGGACATGATAGGAAGTTTGGCTATCTGTCTTCATTTCAGGCCGCAGTAGTTATGGTGACAGCAGTGTAACGGGTCTTAACTACGAAAGACGTGCCCGATATTCAGTGAGTATGATCCAATATATTTCCCATAGAGTATGATTCTCACCATGATTCAGAAAATAACGTTGACTAAGCCAAGCCGAATACGCCTCAAGTAAAAGAACTCTGTCTCACTTAGATATTTGTGATGTAATCGAATTCATCATTCAGACCATATTAGTACATTCGTGTGCACATATTTTATATGTTATTCATGTCATGAACTTACATGTATATTTTGTTCGATACAAATACCAAGTAGGCATCTGGCGAAAGACCGCGGATAAACAAGCACTATTTCGAAGATGAAGTTCCACGTAGATCTTATATTGGCAAACATCTGTTGCAGATCCGTCCTCTGAGCACAGTATGTACACAAACGACAACTGAAATTCAAGAAGCACCATTTTCGGGATCATCGTCAGAAGAAACAAATGAAGATGTTTTCATTACCAAACTTTAAGAATGTCATGATTGTGTAATCACTCGCAGCACGAACTGTCATATACAGTTATAGTGTCCTAGCGACACATGTTAAGTCAGTTTATCGCCGATATGAAGCTGTGCAGTTGACAATAAGACAAAACGTCAAATCATCAAAGGGTACGGCGTTTAATATCTAACGAAAAGTGAATTAATTCCTGCTTTTGAACGTGTGTGAATTGCTTACGACAATAGTCGCTGCGCGCAGAAACTAAGGGAAATACGGAACGTTCATCACAATTTTTTAACGATTTGCTAAAGACAAATTTAAGTATCATTAATTATATCATTTGTGAAACTTAAACTGGATGCGTTATTTCCCTATATGCTTCTTAAGTATGAATTTAGTGTCAATTGTCCACAGCAGTTCACCCCCATACCTTTTTTTTCTGGACTTTATATAAATTGCTCCAGAATTTTATAATGCCCAACTTGTCTCATACATAATCTATGCACTGCACAGTTTACCAAGCAATTTGTTTCTTACACCTTCTGATCAGTCTCTCAAACAGACCCTGAGACAATATCCAAACAATCCAAAGCAAGTCTGGATTTTAAATAGTTTTGCAAGATATATTTATTCTACTCCAATGAAATTAAGGGATTCTAAAACAAAATCTTAAATATTTCAATTTCGGAGACTAACGGTTAATCTAATACCTTCAGTATTATATAACATGTATGCTTTCACAATTTCTATATTTCTCATTTTAAACATGATATTTCATACCCACGCGAGTATATTTTAATGATCGAAACTGAACACGTCGGTGTTGTTTCCTTTCCATGTAAATTGCTGTTGCATATGGTACTAACCTGATCCAAAGACAACGATCGATGTATAACGTCAGCAGTTCAGCACAAGAAGGAGATTGTACAAGAAATCCAAATCGTTTCACTCAATGTACCCGCAGAAAGGAGTACCCCTTCTGATTCTAATCTGAGTGTGTATGTTGCTATTCATGTATATTTATATTCCTGCGTTTATTTGGTGTTTGTTTGTTGTTTGAAGATAAATGTACTCAGCAATATTCCAGGTTATAAGACGACGTCCTGTAAACTGATTGATATTTATGATCCACGCGGTTGGGGGAACATTGACACGCTATCAAAAGATCACCGAACCTGACCACAGGATACATAAAATCGCCTCTTACGACATGCATAATTTCGTGGGGAAAAAATCCCCATCCCCATAGAGAATTATCTACACGTTCTTTCGCGTGTATGGTACACCTATTCGCTACCCGGCTTTGGGATTATTTCCAAATATACACACACAGAAGCTATATGTTATACTATTTTGAAGTTCAATTGGAAATAAAATATTCATTTTCTTTGCCAAAGTGTTTCTTTGACATGCTTCATGTGGTTGGTATGAACACTTGATTCTGGTTGTCTTAAATTAAATATCAAAGTGGTTCTGAATCATGTTTCAACATCTATCGAACACTGTTTAACATTACTATTGGACATTACGGGGACAGAACATGGACTAGTCGACTCTTAAGTGCAATGTGCCTGCGTGGGACAAGCACTAGCACGTCATGATCACCTCACCTCACCTCACCTCACCTCACCTCACCTCACCTCACCTCACCTATCGAGTGAGGTTTGTTGAATGACTCTTTCAACAGTATTTCAGTTATAAAATCTCGGCGTGTCTTATGGCATGAAATTATGTCGCCCATAGACGTTTACCACTTCGGTGAAACCCTGGAGCACGGATATGGTGCTGACAAACCTGCAAATATGATCATTGGCGAATCGGGGATTCGAACTCAGGATAATAAGTTTCTGACACGCCTTAGTGACGCAACTCTGCACATAGAATTGCGGCGCCTTACGGGTTCAATCGAGAAACCATACCTAAAATATGCATACCTGTAATTTATGTATGAATAATAGAGCGATGGAAGTGCACTGACATCACCAAAACGCCTGCTGTAATAGTGAATGTCATGTCCTTCGTTATTACAGTGGAGAGCACGCATTTGTTTTCTTTCTTACACTAATTTCATAACATCAACCCAGTGTAACTGTGCTGATTAATACACTTTGTTGATATTTATGATTGACAAGACAATTTCAGTAGCATCGACAGTATTTCACGGGTTTATACACACGACGTTCCTCTATCACCCGTGAATACAACTGGCAGATGTATATCGTTGATGGGTGTGTATTGTTTGTCAGTTAATGACACGAGGACGTGTATAACTCACGGATGTCAAATGAGCCCTGCTCCGTGCATTACTTTTCTGCTTCCCGTCCGATTGCCTGACATTGAAGGATATGTAGATCAGATACCACAAGGCTATTGCACATATTGCACACGATGTCAAGCGAGAATCATTGAGGTTTGAGTGCTGTAAACTGATCGCTCATTGGCCCTCCCTCGTTTCCCTCTCGCTGGAACAAGGCCTTCGTTGATTCGTTGATTAAAAAAAGCGACAACATAGTAAAGCGGCCCTTTATTTACGGATGATGGGGGAGTGTAGTGCATACAAACACGTCAAGGATTGATGATGGGGCAACTAAAGCTGAAAGAAGGCGTTCATACACATGAAGCGCTAGTAAAATCATGATTTACTGACGTATCTGATTGACAGAATCGTCTATGATAAGTGAGTGAGTGAGTTTGGTTTAACGCCGCTTTTAACAGTTTTCCAGTTATATCGCGGCGTGTCAACTTAATGTGGGAGGAAAGCCCGAAGTGATGCAGGTCTCAAACGTTTACCACTTCGGTGAAACCCATGAGCACGGATATGGTGCTGACAAACCTAGAAACATAATCAGGGCGAGCCGGGATTCGAGCCCACAATCATAGGTTTTTGGCGTGCCCAAGGGACGCAACTCTGCACAGCGAATCGCGGCGCCTTAGACGACTGGGCCACCCGTGCCCCCCGTCTATGATGAACTTGCAGGTCTGTGTCACCAGGTAGCTGACCTCTTCAAGTTCATATCAGAGATGTGATTGACAAAAGAAATGTCACTACATGGTCATACACAGTGAAGTGGTCCTTAAATCATCAGGGGCGGTCGGGTAGCCTAGCGGTTAAAGCGTCACGCCTAAGACCCGGGTTCGATTCCCGACATGAGTACAACGAGTGAAGCCAATTTCTGGTGTCCACCGCCATGATATTACTGGAATATTGCAAAAAGCGGCGTAAAACCATTCTCACTCACTCACTTAAGTCATCAATGTTAATCAGAAACATTATTTCGATTTGAAACCTCTGAATGACCAATCAGAGTCAGATAGTTGCTTCAGGCATTGTAGAATGCAGTATTAAAACCCCTAACGGTCCTCTCGACGTCAGTTAAAGGCATGTGATCAAAATGTCTGCATCTGGTTTAACAACCCACGATTCCGAGTTTGGCGTTTGAGTTTCCACTGATAAGTTGGTTTGTGTACCAGCTGTACTCAAAGGACGAACCTGCAACAGTGGAGTATACCACTCAATCTTTGACGAGGATAATTCATTCTACTACATGTACCTAGATGGTCCTATGTCCATATTTGACCAAAAATGATGGGTTGTTTTTTCATTTTCTTTCCAAATAGGTTTTTAGGTGACGTTATGAATGACATAATAAATGGGGTGATAATAAATGAGAAAATAACAGAAAATATCCCTATCAAAAGGTGAGGAGTATATAATAAACATAACCCGTATAAGTTTAAAAGTGATGCTCCAAACTAGAATCATTATGAGAAGGGGCATATCACTCATTGGCATGAAAGAATAGCTTCGCTGTAACCAATATTTCTTTACAAGCCACATAAAATGTGAAACTGACAATGATAAGTAATGAGCTGTCTGATAGTGTGACACAAACCGCCAACCGTGCATCGTTGCTGTTACTATCTAATTTCCACTGAATATTGGTTTGTGTGGTCCAGATTCGATCATTTACAGGTCCCATTAGAACGTTATTAACCAAATCCACGCACTAATTTACAACATGGATACAGAAAAGCTCCCTGAAAGTGACACAAAGGTCCATACGGCCTGAGGGAGTGCCTTGTTCGTAATAATGGGGAATATCCTACTTTCCGTGAACATATAAATTATGGAATCACACTCACCGCATATTGGGCACGTCTCTGGTGCGGTTCATAGTGCAAAGCCGTTACACTACCATCACCATCGTTACCTGAAGCTGCAAAGATCACAATACAGGGTTTTACTGGACGTAATATATTGCGCACACAAACTAATGGGGTGCAAAGATATATTCTGACAGCCAATATAATTATACTGCCTAGGCACCCTAGTCCTCACCAGTAGCCTAAACTGACCCAGGAACCCTAATCCCCACCAGAAGCCCAAACTGACGCAGGAACCCTATATCACTGCCAGTAACCTAACCTTACCCAGGCAGCCTAAGCCCTGTCAGTAGCCTATAACTGACCTAGGCACCCTAATCCCTGCTAGAAGCCTATAACTGGGCCAGGCACCCTAACCCCCACTAGTAGCCTAAACTGACCCACTCACAGTAATCACTGCCAGTAGCCTAAACTGACGCAGGCACCCTATATCACTGCCAGTAACCTAACCTGACCCAGCCACCATAATCGCTGCTTGTAGCCTATAACTAACCTAGGCACCGTAATCCCTGCTAGTAGCCTATAACTGACCCAGTCAGCCTAAGCACTGCCAGTAACGTGACCCAGGCAGCCTAAGCCCTGCCAGTAACGTGACCCAGGCAGCCTAAGCCCTGCCATTAACCTAAACTGACCCAGGCACCCTAATCACTGCCAGTAACCTAAACTGACCCAGGCAGCCTAAGCCCTGCCAGTTACCTAAACTGACCCAGGCAGCCTAAGCCCTGCCAGTAACCTAAACTGACCCAGGCAGCCTAAGCCCTGCCAGTTACCTGAACTGACCCAGGCAGCCTAAGCCCAGCCAGTAACCTAATCTGACCCAGGCACCCTATATCCCTGCCAATAACCTAAACTGACCAAGGCACCCTATATCCCTGCCAATAACCTAAACTGACCTAGGAACCCTAATCACTGCCAGTAACCTAAACTGACCAAGGCAGCCTAATCACTGCCAGTAACCTAACCTGACCCAGGCAGTCTAAGCCCTGCCAGTAACCTAACCTGACCAAGGCAGCCTAAGCCCTGCCAGTAACCTAACCTGACCCAGGCAGCCTAATCACTGCTAGTAACCTAAAGTGACCCAGGCAGCCTAAGCCCTGCCAGTAACCTAACCTGACCAAGGAAGCCTAATCACTGCCAGTAACCTAACCTGACCCAGGCAGCCTAATCACTGCCAGTAACCTAAACTGACCAAGGCAGCCTAAGCCCTGCCAGTTACCTAAACTGACCCAGGCAGCCTAATCACTGCCAGTAACCTAACCTGACCCAGGCAGCCTAAGCCCTGCCAGTAACCTAACCTGACCAAGGAAGCCTAAGCCCAACAAGTAACCTAAACTGACCCAGGCAGCCTAAGCCCTGCCAGTAACCTAACCTGACCAAGGCAGCCTAAGCCCTGCCAGTAACCTAACCTGACCCAGGCAGCCTAATCACTGCTAGTAACCTAAAGTGACCCAGGCAGCCTAAGCCCTGCCAGTAACCTAACCTGACCAAGGAAGCCTAATCACTGCCAGTAACCTAACCTGACCAAGGCAGCCTAATCACTGCCAGTAACCTAAACTGACCCAGGCAGCCTAAGCCCTGCCAGTTACCTAAACTGACCCAGGCAGCCTAATCACTGCCAGTAACCTAACCTGACCCAGGCAGCCTAAGCCCTGCCAGTAACCTAACCTGACCCAGGCAGCCTAAGCCCAACAAGTAACCTAAACTGACCCAGGCAGCCTAAGCCCTGCCAGTAACCTAACCTGACCCAGGCAGCCTAAGCCCTGCCAGTAACCTAAACTGACCCAGGCAGCCTAAGCCCTGCCAGCAACCTTAACTGACCCAGGCACCCTTATCACTGCCAGCAACCTAACCTGACCCAGGCACCCTTATCCCTGCCAGTTACATATACTCACCCAGGTACCCTAATCTCTGTCTGTAGAATATACTAACCCAGGTGGCCTAATCTCTGCCCGTATCTTATACTGAGCCAGGCAGCTTAATATGTCAGTAGCCAGTAGCCTATACTGGCCCAGGTAGCTTTACCCCTGTCAGTATTTATACAGGTGGTCAGACATGGTTGATAGCAATCCAACGGCGTGGGTGGTTGCTCGTTACATCAATCACTGGATTGTCTGGTCCAGACACGAATATTGAAAGACCGCCGTCGTTTTGCGGGAACATTGCTGATTGCGACGTTCAACACGAAACAGACAACGAAGAAGAATGAGTGTTTGACCAGTATGTCAACTTCAATGAGAAAAGACAAAACTGACGCAGTTCAGTGCTTTCTGTAAGGATCATAATCGGAACGAATCTGGGATTCGAAACCACGATCTGCGCATCGCACCTACCTTGAAATCCGATCGATCAGAATGACACAAATATACTGTTTGTGCAAAGGAAAATTACTTTACAAGTCTTACAAGTGATGAGATGGTGGTCATTCGACGACAATGCCTTAATCGGACAAAACTGTACCTTTCAATCTCACCAAATCTCGTTGAATCTCCCTCTGCGTGTCTCTGATACCCCTTATCTCCTTCAGCAGTGTGTCTGTCGAGACACAAAAAACATCACGGTAACAAAACATATTTTTAAAATAAAAGCGATAATATATTCCATAATCACAAGAAATCAAGAGTCCGTTGTACGATTCCAGCTAGGTCATTAGCGTGAGTTTATAAATCAATGGCAATTAGTTACCACATGTTAACATACATAGAGGTGCCGTACATGTATAAACATTAATGGAAAATGCATCTTCTCTCTTCCTTCCATCTTTCATGTCCTCACTTGGTTGATGCATGTCATTCCTAATTGCGTGGATCGATGCTCATGATGTCAATCACTGGTTTGTCTGTACCGGACTCGGTTATTTACAGACCGCCGTCATATAGCTGGCATATTGCTGAGTGCGGCGTTAAACAACAAACAAACAAACAAACAAACAAACAAACAAACAAACAAAAGATGTTAATTCATGTGTAGTAGTCCCACTTGTGTAATCTTGGATACAATAAATTGTATTTCTAGGATGTGTTCAAATCTTCATTAATCAATATCATATGCACCTACATTGCGCTGTCCTCACACAACATGACGATATAACAGAAATACCGCTCAAAGCAGTGTTAAACCAAATTCTGAAAGCTCAAACTCTAATTCCCGTATTTAAAGAATTATTTCTCTAAAAAAACGGATAATTATTGAGGCAATAAACGACAATAGCCATGTGAATACAGTGTTGTGTTGAAACACTCAAATCGACTCTCTCGGTTGTATTCCAACGTATTACGTGTTACGTACTGACTAGTAGTAAGCCTACAACCACTACAAAGTTACAATTTCATAACTGTTTTCCAAAGAGGAGTATCTCCTGTTGACCATCATCACTTCACTAATGTATCTGATTTCTGCCTCACCCTTGACTCCATCGAATTGTGTTTGCATCTGGATCCTGATTTGCTCCAACAAATATTTCTGATTACCATCTGGGGGTAGCATCGCTTGTTCACCAATGTCCTCATCTTGCCAACAGAAAAGAAGACCATGAAGTGCTTTGTCAAACGAGACATATGAACTTGAATTGTCATAAGCCTTAACCATTATTATTAGTAGTAGCAGTAGTTTGTTTCTTTGGTTTTTTTGTTGGTTGTTTAACGCCGCACGCAGCAATATTCCAGCTATATGACGGCGGTCTGTAAATAATCGAGTCTGTACCAGACATTCCAGAGATTGATATCATGAGCATCGACCAACGCAATCGGGATCGATGACATGCATCAACCAAGTCAGCGAGTTGTGTGGCGATCCTCTAAACACTTTGTCTTGAAAGTATGTCGAAAGTGTTGCGATATTACCTCGATAGTGAGGCATTGAAGACCGGAAACATTTACCTCATTAGGGGAAACCATTATGGAATGGAATGTATGTATCAAATGCGGAAATAAGGATTCAAAAGTTATCAAATAGTTATGCAGCAATCCACATTTAACGAATGCAATGAAAGGAAACACCCACCTGTTTTAGGATCAGATCTGTTCGTCTCTATGGGTGACGTGTCTTCACCACATATGTCGGTTACTTCACTCTCAGCCTCGTTTATTGTGTATTCGAACGTTTCACCTGGTGACTCGCTGCTGTCTTCACATGTAGATGAGCATATTGTGTATGAACAACGCATACCAGGACCCTTATAAAGGTTGTCCAACGCATCATCTGAATAACTCGAACGATTCGTCTCTGAACTGGACGTCATTTTGATAGACAAAATGGCCAAAACTGAAGCTGTTGTCCTTAATGTATTCCCAAGATGGGGAAAGGGACACTGCACCTGTGTTAGGGTCCTGGATAGAAACAGGGATCAATTCAGATCATTAAAGCTTTCTGTTATTGAGCACAACCAATCTTCACGAGCTATTGTTTCAACGGCCCCCCTATCTGTAAGATAAAGAGCCTTGTTTGTTATAGGTCACTATCTCTTCCGTGTAGTCAGCTACAATCTCAAGGACGCACCTTGCTGCTTTCTGTCTTCAATGGATAAAACTGTAGTTTTACAAGGTCTGGAGATATATCTCCAAAAGATTTATCAAAACTTAGTTTTGTTATATGAGATATAATTACAAATTTTAGACTGTTCTCAAGTTCATGTTTTCCACATTTTAACTCAAATCCTTCTATTTCTGGAACCAAACTACTGTAAATGCGTGAACCGTCCTTTGATGTCTTGTACTATCTATTTGTTTCAGCAATTAGTAAATAGGAGCCTCCTTCTTCATTATTTGTCATACAACTGAGATATTCTCGGAATCGAAGTTTTCCACAAATATACTTGGCAAATGTATCTTGGTGACTTTCAGTGCTGCTTTTGTCTTGTTCTTTGGGTCTATATGCTTTGAGTTGGATGTTCCAACTTTCGTATGGAGTTGGTTGCAAGCCTCTTAATTCAGCTTCTTTTTCGGAGGATCTTTTCCTGTGACACAAGAGAGACACGATGGTAAGAGTTAATGGTCTTTCGACCTTTAAATCCGAACAAACGTTTTTTGAAATCAACAGTAGCAACGCCTTTATTTTTCTCTACCGATATCAGGATGCAATCTGTGAATGTCATAAACGTGATTATTTCACTCACACACACACACACACACACACACACACACACACACACACACACACACACACACAAACACACACACACACTTCCGTTTGTATGTATCTACAAGCAAGGCTCCCGCACATATGAAATTGTTCAAACATACTTCCAGAAACTCATCAACGCATCACAAGAAACTGTCCATCACATGATGTCCCGCTGACATGAAGAGTAATCTTGCCACCTGCTGTATTTCGCAGTGCGGCCAGATTGACCTCGATTCCTCTCAGTTTTATTTTATTTTTATTTTTATCTTTATGGTTCCCTTTGCCTCTTAAATCGTCCATGTCAATGTGATCAAACAATAGATTCGGCACGTTTTCCTGTGATTTTAAGTACACGCCAACAACCTTCTTGCACTTCCTCCACATTACATGCTTGTCTGAGCGAACAATTGGCTATTTAGATTCCCAAAGCCATACGTTCACGGTTGACCAGCTGAACGTAAAGATATAATAAAAGTTGAATTATAAGGTCGATTTAAAATGGACTTTTTCCACGTTTACATCTAATAAAGTAGTTAGTTTTTTTCAAAACTATACAAAGGATAAAGTTTTGATTTAAAATGGGTTTTTTTTCAACGTTTACATCTAATAGAGTAGTCAGTTTTTTCAAAACTATACAAAGGATAAAGTTTTGTTCGGTCGTTCGTTCGTTCGAGGACCCGTGAAGATTCCGGGGTAGAATAGGTCTTCAGCAACCTATTCTTGCCGTAAAAGGCGACTATGCTTGTCGTAAAAGGCGACTAACGGGATCGGGTGGTCAGGCTCGCTGACTTGGTTGATGCATGTCATCGATCCTAATTGCGTGGATCGATGCTCATGATATCATTCGCTGGATTGCCTGGTCCAGACTCGATTATTTACAGACCGCCGTCATAAAGCTGTAATATTGCTGAGTGCGGCGTTAAACAACAAACCAACCAACCAAATCGTTCGTTCGAGAGAATGCTTGAATTTGTCTGGTAAAACAAAGGTTTAAGGAACAGCAATGAAGGATCGCCGAGACTACTACTGAGGGGGCCAAGGGTCCAGTAGTCACACAGTACCTATTGTGTATCAAAGGTGAGTGACAAAGCATGAGCCAAATTCGTAAATGATGAACGTTTGGATGTGCAATGTGTGGAGACAATTTGTCCAAATGTTTATGTTCAGAGGAAAAGATTTTGGAAGCAGTCTACCTAAAAAGGAGAAAATCTTCGGAAATAGACCAGTATATTATCGCATCAACGAGAAACGTCCACCAAACCACCGTGAGTCTACAGGCGTGTGTTCATGTATGCAGTCTACCTATAAAGGCTCAAAAGAATCCCTAATACCTTGCTCAAAAATTGCACGATGTGACGAATGGACGAAGTTGAGGGGTACACAGTATATAAATGTCATATCAAATAGCAAACATCTGTTTGTATTGCTTCTAAAACGTTAAAATACATTTCCACGATCTCCAACCTTCCCCCACACGTTCAATTAAATTCTTAATAAAGTTATACCACCGTCCTATCAAGTAACCATATAATACTAAACCGACAACTAATTATCATATTTGTGACTATCAAACGACCGTCTGGTGGAATTATCAACATATCCCAATCTCAAATAAACTGTTCAAATGAATTATGTATTCCGGGGTTGATCTATTTAACACTTCCTTATAACAGGGCGAAGAACGAACATCACGATTCTAATCTGGAAATGAAACTTCATATCATGTATTATTGTCACGCGTAAACAAAGATCCGGGTACAAATTGTCGATAGTCATATTGTAATGAAAGTCATGGTTCATAGACGTTAACAGGGGGCACGGGACGGGGTGGCCCAGTCGTCTCAGGCGCCGCGATTCGCTGTGCAGAGTTGCGTCCTATGGGCACGCCAGAAACCTATGGTTGTTGGTTCGAATCCCGGTTCGCCCCAATTATGTTTCTAGGTTAGTCAGCACCATACCCATGCTCGAGGGTTTCACCGAAGTGGTAAACGTCTGAGACCTGCATCACTTCGGGCTTTGCTCCTACATAAAGCTGACACGCCGTGATATAACTGGAATACTGTTAAAAGTGGCGTTAAACGCAACTCACTCACTCACTCATAGATGTTGACACTGGCGCCAATATAGCTACTTCTAATCTGAAACACCCTTTTTTAAGATAAACACGGACGTTTTTTATAAAAGTTTCCGGTAAAAACTTTCTTTTCGTCATGAAGGTGTAATCGTCTGACTATTTTTGAAAAAGTTACGTTAATGACGTGTAAATACTACACCAAGTTGTCATGGATACAATGTTTATTTTATTGTTTGTTAATTTGTTCTTACATATTACATCTTTATCACGGTGGCCTGAAAATAATCTTGGCTGGTCCAGAAAATTCAGTTATTGACATCATGAGCATCAATCCATGCAACTGAGGTACGATGACATGCACACATCCAAGTCGCCACCCGACCACCCGATCTTTATAGTCGCCTATTAGGAACATCGTATGTTGTTGGGAATGTATATGCAGGGCAGAGTTCTCGGCGTGCAACGCGTGATATTTAGAGTTCTCGGCGTGCAACGCGTGATATTTCTGTGTAATATACCACGTGGGGATTCGGGGTTAGAATAGGCCCCGAACCATCCTATACTGGTCGTAAGAGGCGACCAAATGCATCGATAGTCAAGACTCGGTTACTTGATTGATTTCGTGCCATCGCACGCCGACGGGGTGGATCGATACATATTTGTCTGGTCTAGACTCGTATATCCGGAATATTGCTGAGAGTAGCCTTAATCCACCAACGAAAGGGTAATACTGATCCAACATGTATAAGATGTAGCGGGAAGTATTTTTACCTTCCTCTGTATCAGGCTCGACATCTTATAGTTCAGGGCCCCGTTCCACAAAGCGATCTTAACACTACGACTACCGTAAGCCAGTGTTTAAAGTATGGGACATACGATCACCATAGCGCTAAGATGGCTTTATGGAACGTGGCCCTAGCACTATGTTACTTTGACCACCATTATAGTCCAATTATGTTGCCACACCACGATATTTAGTTGTAATGATTAATAGTTAATGTGATTTAACGCCAGATAATATTCCGCTATCTGCCTTAATAAATCAAATAGGGCTAAAATCAAAATAGTAATAATTACATGAATGGATCACTGACAGGTATTCGCGAAAAGATAAAAATGTCCCACTCGACCGTAGAACCCACCACTCACTATTTTCACAAACAATTAGTGTTTGTTGCGGCCTGTAAACAATCAAGTATGGATAATGCAATGATCAGTATCATGAGCAGCTCCACGTCGTCGGAGTACGACGCCACGTTGTCAACCAAGTCAATCATCTGACCATCCGATCCATTTATGTCAGCGTCAGTGTCTCAGCAGATGGAAACTCACTTTAAATGTCATAGTATAAGTACTTACCTCTACACCGGAACTTTTAGCATCGTGCATACATACACTAGGGTCCCGGCAACTAATTTGACTGCCCTATGTAAGTGAAGAAAAACTGTGAAAAGGAAATAACATTTTATAATTACAATCTTTCCTTGTATGACTGCCTACATCTGTCAAACGTGCATTCGACACAAGGAAGTGTGTCCTTGTTTGTTGTTTAACGCGGCAATTATCCCAGCTGTGTGACGGTGATCTAAACATCAATGTGCGATTTTAACCCTTCGACTGTTGTCGCTTTGTGTAACGGTGACCTATACGTTTGCCAACATTTTATTTGATGTGCCCTGCACCAGTCTAGATGATAAAGGAGAACACACATGTATTTGGTTCTCTGAGACACTCACAGAGGGCACATATGACCTACTCGTCTGAGGTGCCGCGGGGGCACGGGTGGCCCAGTCGTCTAAGGCGCCGCGATTCGCTGTGCAGAGTTGCGTCCCTTGGACACGCCAGAAACCTATGATTGTGGGTTCGAATCCCGGTTCGCCCCGATTATGTTTCTAGGTTTGTCAGCACCATACCCGTGCTCGAGGGTTTCACCGAAGTGGTAAACGTCTTGAGACCTGCATCACTTCGGGCTTTCCTCCCACATTAAGCTGACGCGCCGCGATATAACTGGAATACTGTTAAAAGCGGCGTTAAACCCAACTCACTCACTCACTCACTCACACTTAGGTGCCGCAATTTCCAGTTCAGATCTATTTCCCATAGGTGTACAAGAAACCTATAGGTTTCGAATCCGATATTCACCCTGAATATATGTCTTGGTCTATTTTAGGTCTTTTACAAAATTTGGTGACCAAAATGCGAAATGCAATTCTCAATTGCGTAGAGGGGCTGTGGGGTAGCCTCTTGGTTAAAGCGTTCGCTCGTCACGCTTAAGACCCGGGTTCGAATCCCCACATTGGTAAAATGTGTGAAGCCCATTTCTGGTGTCCCCGCCGTGATATTGCTGTAATATTGCTAAAAGCGGCGTAATACCATACTCACTAAAGATCGGTACTCATCGTGTCAATCACTGGATTGTCAGGTCCACTCTTGATTACTTACAGACCGCCGCCATATAGACGAGTGCGGCGTTAAAATGCAACTATCAATCACTCGAATACTTTTATTTTCTGTGTAATTCCGGTAAGGCAAGACATGCTTTCATTTTTCGCGAACACCTAGTGTCATCACTGATTTTCGGTGATCCATTCATTTAATTAGTCATAGTTACTTAGAAGAGTTTCCCACCCATAATGTAGTTTTTCAACAACCCGATTCTTTATCTTTATTGTTTGCACAATTCCTTGTCTCTTCCTTCGCCTTCTTTGACATTGGCACTTGTTCGTTCACCCTTGCAAAATGGTTGGACGGATCTTTCGTTTGCGGTCGGGTAGCCTAGTGGTTAAAGCGTTCGCTCGTCACAGCGAAGACCCGGGTTCGATTCCCGACATGGGTAAAATGTGTGAAGCCCATTTCTGGTGTCCCCCGTCGTGATATTGCTGGAATATTGCTAAAAAACCATACTCACTCTTTCGTTCGAGTTTAAATTTGACCACGACTTTCTTCATGTGGGGGCTTCCAACCTTCTGCCTGACAACTCGTTCTGTCTCACAATATTGAAGTCAGTAGGTCAGAGAAGTGGAATATTATCAGTGCCAGCTTACCTGATAATAAATACATTTGTAATTCAAGTGATTCCGTGGTATTTGATTGGCTAAGGGAGAAATCTTTTGCGCGTAAGTTTCCATAAGCCTAAACAAATTGACCGGCCGAGTAGCGGAGTACTTTCGAAGATTGTTGCATATTTGCGCTGAACGATGTCATTGATTTCGTATAGTGAGGTGAGGTGAAATAGGGTTTAACGTCGCGTCCAAGATTATGGCACTTATATAGCGACGTGCATGCACGTGTGTGTGTTTGTGTGGCTGCTTGTACTAGTCCGGACTAATGCCAATTTATAGTGCTAGCTCACTGAGATACCATGCCGCAGTTTAACATGAATACCCCACTCAGACACAGTATACTGACTCCGAGCCGACCAGTCCTTGTTTTAGCCCCTTAATGCCGAGCGCCAGACAGGGTAACAACAAGTACCATCTCTTAACGTCTTTTGGTATGACGCGGTCGGGGATCAAACCCAGGACCTTCCGCTCTCCGGGCGGACGCTCTACCGTTAGATTTGATTTCGTATAGTTGTCTACAAGGAAATAGGTGAATAAACATGAAATGACGTGAATAATGTGAAATTATTATTGTTGAATTATCGATTCATAAGAACTGACTAACTGACCGCAAGTAACAGTAGCTTAACCATGCCACAGTTGTTACAAGCAATGTGACCAGGTCAAGGACATATAAGCGATGGTCCCGAAGCGATATTTCAAGTAAGAACTTAACAAGGGTAGACAGGATCTTTTTTCATTTATTAATTACAGTTTCATATATTCAAATTTTACCAATCAAGATACTCAATTTAGTACGGACAAAAGCAATATAATTCATGAAATAGTGTATTAAACATGGCATTATAAATGTACATGTTTTTAAATGAGCACATTTACACACATGTGTGTCTGGCCGCTCTTAACCTTGATACGATACTTGATGCGACCGCGACTGTTCGAATAACACACGTTCATTAACCTGAACATTAACCCCGATAGCGTCAAGACGAACTCTAAACGTCCAGCTTGTTTTAACAAATTTATTTCACAGAATGTGTGAAACTGGATTGGTAAACAGGTAAGGACTCATGTCAATACCGCTCCAGCTACCATACAAATGTCGTCAATTATAATGTACAGTCAAGGTTAAGTAATAATGTAATTATTTTGAATAACGACGCTGTAAGCAAAATCGGTAACATAAGAGATTAAACGATAGTTTGCATTTAGATACAGTTTTGAAATCTGCCAGAGGCTGATATGAAATTATTAACAAATTTTAGTATTTGTAAATTAATCTTTAGATGTAGAGTTTAGATTATAAACTTTGGAGTAAAAATACAAGTGTTTTCTTATGCCGGTGCAGTTGGTACAGGTAAAGAAACAGTCAAGTGCATCTTCATGGTGGTAGCCACAAGAACAGTTTGGATGTGCTGATATAAACATTTTAAACCTGTCAGCAAAGAGGTCACTATAGTCAAGTCTCAGGCGACATTGCACAATTTGGTTAAACCTAGAGCTATGGTTTAAATCTTGTTTGTTGCAAAGCTTTTCATCCCCTTTTATCATTCTTTTAAAGTCTTTCAGTGTTCTGACTTCAGTATATGCAGTAGTCAAGGAATTCCATAGTTTGACTGTATCAGGAAGAAACGATTTCGCATATCTTGCACGTCAAGCTTATATACAACAATTGAATGAATATCATCAATTAAATTGAATTTAGTTCACTTGTCTGTTAAAACTCAGGTGAACTTAGTTCACTATCTTTAACGTTAGCTTAAATTTAGAAAACGTACAACTTATAACAAATTCTTGCTTATTGCATTTACCGACGTAACGACGTACACCGTTTTCAAGTTGGAGTATCATTAACTTCGCTCACTTGGGCCTGTGAGATGGCCCCTACACTACTCTATTTCATTACCAATCAACACGTTTCAATGGTTTACCTACCTTAGACACCAGGAAGTCCCCATGTTGACACACAATCAACCATACCGCCGAAAAGTCACCACTCAATCCAATTTATCCAATCCAGAATTACTTCTAAAACAGCTTCGATTATAATTATAGACGCTTACAACATGTACATCTTTGTGTACTGGGCGATCTTTCGGGTAATATGCTTTTAAACTTTTTCTCAATTTCATACATATGTTGAATACTGTTACGTTTGTAATGTGATACCGTCAATGACGTCATCATGTAGGTTATCTTTACTTATATAGTTTGTTTGTTTTGTTTGTTTGTTGTTTAAAGCCGCATTCAGCAATATTCCAGCTATGTGACGGCGGTCTAAATAATCGAGTCTGGACCAGCCAATCCAGTGATTAATATCATGAGCAGTTGGGATCGATGACATGCATTAACCATGTCAGCGCGCCTGACCACCCGATCCCTATAGTCGCCTCTTAAAACAAGCATATTCGCTTTTTTCGGCAAGCATGGGTTGCTGAAGACATATTCTACCCCGGATATTCACGGGTCTATCTTTAATATAATGTAGTAACAAATTTCCTTATTCTAAGGAATTGAGGGATCTATTAATATATGCTGTACACCGTGTGTATTGGCGCGTGATCAAGATCAGGATGTTTAATATTGTACTCAAGGCCTCCGGCCCATATATAAAACAAGAGAACAAATAGATTATAACAGTGAGAACAACACAGCTGCAGAAATGCGCTGCTTACAAACCATCTGTGCAGATAATGTTACAAAGTGGGTGTACATAAATATTTTACGAAGTGACGTCACGATACTATAAAATTCTTGTGCCGACAAAGTGCACGGTGAACAAATAGTGATTACCTAAACATGGTTTTTCCATCATTAGTGATCAACAAAGATTTAAATGAATTGTTTGATATGCATGACTTTGAACTTGACGGATGACAAAGTAGAGATAATTAATGGATAACAACTTCTTTTTTTAGTGATACCTAGATATTTACATCAATACAAATTTGGTAAACGCAGGTATTCTGTGGAATATATGCTTCCCTTAAATCATAAAAACAGTACAAACAAGCAGTATATGAAATTCATCCTCTATACAAGTTTCACATTTGTAGATTTGTAGCATTTTACCCTTCAGGCCAATATTTTGTAAACAGAGCCATACTTTATGCCGATTAAAAGAATCAAACGCTTTCTTAAAGTCAACGAATGCTACATAAAACAGATATTTCTGATCAATGACAAAGTGTAAAAATGTGGTCAGTTGTGGAGTAATGTTTTGGAAAACCATCTTAAGTTTCAGGAATTCTGTCGCTCATATTTGCCCAAAGCGTAAGTCTTTTATTTAAAATACATGTAAAGTCTTTACTAAGTATACTATTCAGGGGGATTCCTGTATAGGTATCTTGATTATTAGTGCCCCCTTTCTATAGAGAGATACAATGATAGATTTCGACCACATATTAGTGAAACGGTCACTTGAATATATTTTATTAAACCATTTCGACAAAACCTGCAGTATTATTTCCTCAGAACATTTAGGAATTTCGACACGTGGCGCTGCAATGGCTGAAAGAGCGATGTATGAAACTGGAGTGAGTTGGGTTTAACGCCGCTTTTAACAGTAGTCCAGTTATATCACGGCGTGTCAGCTTAATGTGGGAGGAAAGCCCGAAGTGATGCAGGTCTCAGACGTTTACCACTTCGGTGAAACCCACGAGCACGGGTATGGTGCTGACAAACCTAGAAACATAATCGGGGCGAACCGATCTCATATAATGTCCTAACATATCCCAAACTAGTTAGTCCACCTTTGAAACATCGTTGCATTTTTATGATAAATATCGGAAACTTCATATTTTGAAAACTGATGATACGCCCCACTTCGGAAATAGACCAGTAGATTATCGCATCAACGAGAAACGCCTTCCGAAAACCGTGTCTACAGACGCGTGTTTGTGTAAGCAACCAATCAGATTCAAGTATTCTTGAAATTTGGTTAAAGTGAATAGAAAACTAATAGAAACTCACGCCAATCAACAATTTTCGTGGAATTCATGAACATTTCAAAACTGGTATCATTGTCTTTAAAAAAAAAACATGAGTCTATCGTCGTATGTTTGTGTAAGCAACCAATGAGATACAAGTCTTCTTCAAATTTGGTTAAAGTGAATAGAAAACTAATAGACACTCAGCAGTTTTCGTGGAATTCATGAACATTTCGAAACTGGGATCACCGTCGAGTTGATCCTTGTTGTTTGCTATATCGCACATAAATAATTGCTGAACTATGCACTTGGTTGTTTCTAGAATTTTTTATTTATTTTTGGAAATGTGTATTGTATTATGCACACACACAACATTCCACAGAGTGTAATCAAAACAGTCGATAACCACTTTGAGAGGCATTTAGAAGTTGGAGTACTAAGTAAGGATAAGATATGGATTAACAACTTCTTTATTACAAGAAGTAATTGCAATAAATAAGTTGTTTTATCCACATGTCTTATCCTTACTTAGTCGATAACCAGCTCAGCCTGGCAATAAATCACGTTATGAGTTGTTTTGTGTTGTTTCGTATACCAATGCTGCAATTCAGTGTAAACTTAGGTGTAAGTGCGTGCACATGTGATTAAAATTAAGTAATATTTATCTTCTTAATGGCCGTGACTGTGCATATTATCCAAAATTCTGAATACCGTGGAAATAAAGAGTTTAATTTTACCAGACAGCGAAGTCATGTTTACGGTGCGTTTGCCAGCAGTTTTGCTGCAGTTATCATCACATAACATTTTTTTATTACACAATACATAGGCAGGTGAGGTTCCGATTTGTATCCAGAACGACTTCCACAACTACCTCGGAGTCTGATGCTTTGCATGAGGACACCATTTTTTTATTTCAAATGTGCTAAAAAGGCCCTTATAATACCCCGTCCTATGAAAAACAGTTTTAAATGTGATAATACCCTGTGCACCTCGTATGCAAACATAATGCATTCTGTACATTGTATATGAAAAGTATGGATTGTAATGATGATGTTGTCCAGTGTGACATCAATATTACTGATGAACAATACCACGGGTGTATTAAATAAAAACAACAGAACCTTTCCATAATCACAAGAAATATATGCAAAGAGCAGAATCCATTGTATGTTTCCGACTTTATCATGAGCGTGCATCGCCGTGACATCCCTCGTTGAGATCGTCTGACGTCAGGTATCCACTTTCAACTTCCCTTCTACTTTCTGCTTTCCCGGCTTTTCCTCCGTCGGGATGTTCCTGTCACAGAATAGAATTCAATTTGGCATTGGAATGGCACATCATTAGTTCGCATTATGTTTATTTGATAATCGTCAGTTTCTTGTTATGTATTTTAACCACGTTGCATCTGAGTAAGTGGGTCGGTTTGGTTTAACACCACTTTAAACAGTATTCAACTTATATCACGACGTACCAGCTTATAGTTAACTTGGGAGGAAAGCCCGAAGTGATGCAGCTTCAGACAGTTCTGCTTGTTGTTTTGTTGTTTAACGCCGCATTCAGCAATATTCCATCTATGACGGCGGTCTGTAAAAAATCGAGTCTGGACCAGACAATCCAGTGATTGATGTCATGAGTATCGCAATTGGGATACGATGACATGCATCAACCAAGTCAGCGAGCCTGACCACCCGATCCCATTAGTCGCCTCTTACGACAAACAAAGTCGCCTTTTACAGCAAGCATAGGTTGCTGACGGCCTTTTCTAACCCGAATCTTCACGGTACCACGATCAAAAGGACGCATTTCTGCACAGAGAACTATGGTTCCATATACGCATGCACGCACGTACGCATGCACACATGCGATAATATATAACGGAAAAAAGTAACTGCTTCATACAGAGCTCAATACAAATAAATCTATACTGAAATAAGGTTTCTTCCAATGCATAATCATGAACACATCTCCTCAACTTTCAGGTCGTGGTTCCAACTTTGCAACTTGAGCTACAGGTCCCGACGCCAAGGCATGCCCAGCTTGATGCAAATCTGAGGGCGGTGCAAGGGTCTACAAACATCCAGGAGAACGTTTATAGCGACGCTTGCATTACTCAACGCCGTCAGTTTGGAGGTGGAAGTGTAATGGTGTGGGGTGGCATCACAACTCTTGAGGCAATACAACTCATCATTGCAATTTAAATGGCGTGCGCTACTGGGAAGACATCGTTCGAGATCTTGTTCTACTCTTGAAGCAGGATAATGCCAGCCGACATGTTGCACCTGTTGTAACAGACGTTTTGAGGCATGTTCGTTCAGAACATACCTGGAATGAGAGGAAACGAAGCCTTCAACAGGACCAGAACCAGCCGGAAATGCTGGCTCAGTTGGGCGTGTCTTTGGTTGGCATTTGGGAAATCATCCCCCAGGATATTTTCAATCATCTGGTGTCTTCAATACAATGGTGGTCACACCCGATATTAACATGGTTAATAGAGTTGTTATGCCACCCCTCTTCTCCTCACCCCTCACTCTGTCTCCTCTTTACTGTATTGTACGTGAACTTGTTATGATAAAACATTGATCAGACGAATGACCAAATATACTGAACACCAAAAGAAACGCGAATCGAGAAGGTATAGGATGTATTTTGTTTCAGCTGGTATAAACATAATAATAATGGATACAACACAATTCATTAGCAATAAGAGTCAGTTCTCTGGACATCAGACATCTTCTGTATCCATCAACACAACATCACGTGACCATGCTGAAGTCAACTGAAGTATGGGTACACCTCAATACCTGGTATGGCCCCCATTTGCATTCACAAGCGCGACACACCGTCTGTGCATGGAGTGAATAAGACGGTTGATAGTGTTCATGGGGATGTGACGCCACACCTGCAAGATGGTCACCTTGAGCTGTGCAGCTATCCTTGGCCACGGATGCGCCATGTTCAAACGTCTCTGCACTCTATCCCACAAGCGTTCAATAGGGTTGAGATCAGGACTAAGAGCCGGCCAGGGCATGGTGTTGATATTGTGCTGTTGCAAGAAAGCTTGAGTAATCCTAGCGGTGTGGGGACGAGCGTTATCCTGTTGAAATTGGAAGTTGCCATGTCTTGCAAAAAACGATACAACCTGGGGCCTCAACACCTGATCGATGTAACACTGAGCAGTGACACCATTGCCCCTACCAGATCCAACGTTCTGAAGGATTACAAGGTCAGTTCTCTGATTTAACCATATTCCACCCAAAACCATGACACTAGGACCACCCCACGAGTTCCGTTCAAGGACACACTGGTCATGGTAGCGCTCACCGCGACGTCGCCATACTCTAACACGTCCATCGGCACGATCAATACAATACCGACTTTCATCAGAGAACAGAACTCTTCTCCACTGCTGATGACGCCAATTCAAGCGTGCTTGGGCCCACTGTAGTCTCAGGAGACGGTGACGTTGAGTGAGAACAGGACCTTGTGATGGTCGCCTACACTGAAGCCCTCTGTCACGAAGTCGCCATCTTACTGCGTTGGAACTTACAGCCCTCCCGTGGTTTCGAACGACGTTCCTAGCAGTTTCACTGGCCGACAGGAAACGTTCTTGCAGATGTGACCTGTGAACGTGACGGTCCTGACGTTGTGTTGTCACACGTGGTCTGCCGGTACGATGCCTGTCTCTGGTGCTGATGGTTGTCTGGAATCTTTCCTGCAGACGGTAGATGGTGGAAACGTGGACGTTAAAGGTGTTTGCAACTCTCTGAACACTCTCACCAGCTTGAAGTTGCCCAATAGCTTTCTCTCGATCGATCTGTGACAGTCGTGGCATTGTCACTGACGTTGATGAGTTAAAGATGATTCACAGTGACACTTTCATATCTTTTAAAGACAGCATCTTCACGGAAAGTTTTTGCGGCATAAGCAGCACGTGCATTACGTGCGTATCCATCCCACACTGACTTCAACGTCGGTGCGTTTGAGCGCTGTGGATTAAGAATTCACTGCCCTTAACTCTGGTTAGGGTCATTTTGAAACAATTAAAGCCCATTACAATGGAACCATAGCAGCCAACCGTTTTCACAACCATTTTCCATATTAAATAGGAACTTGAAGATTTCGCGTTTCTTTTGGTGTTCAGTATTTTATGTTTTGATATAATCACATAACATTTGTACACTTTTATATGAATCACGTTTACTTTTTCCCGCTAGTATATATCGATTTTGAAAACAAATTGGAATATTTAATACACCTACCGTCATGGATATGAAAGTACCCTGACGCCTATTGGATTGAGCCCTTGCGTTGGAATTTGTAGCTGAATGTCGTCGTAATTGGACTTCTAAAAGCAGAAAAAAATGCTTAACGAGGAGTGATCAAACATATCTGATACTAACAATAATGAACTGCGTCGATGGAGTTGGGTTGATAGTTATTTTTCAACGAAATCCCATCCGAAGTCCACACACTTCTACCACTATGCTGGCGTGTCCAGATCCCACAGCTGTTTATTAACCGGATTTCGATTTTGGTGCGCGATTTTGTTTGGACTATGCATAGACTCGTGAGTCCAGCCAAAATGTATTTCCATAATACCAGCCTAGTTCGGCAGGTGTGGAAACTGGACTTTTAAAGTCAGTTAACTCGCTTGCTTCGGGAAGATGTACACGGCAGATATGACGTAATAATCCTTGCCTGACAATTACATTTTTTGTACTCAATTTTTGGAAGCGATGGAAATGTTATGGTGCCACTTCTGGTGAGTGAGTGAGTGTCGTTTTACGCCACTTTTAGCAATATTCCAGCAATATCACGGCGGGGGACACCAGAAATAGGCTTCACATATTGCACCCATGTCGGGAATCGAACCAGGGTATTCTGCGTGACGAGCGAACGCTTTTACCACTAGGCTACCCGACCGCCCCCACTTCTGGGGAATACGTGTGATGTTCAATGAGTTTATGCCATTCAAACGCAGATTGCCACCTTGCCAGCTGATGGAACAGACTTTACCTCTTTCGTCTGAGGAGACGAAGGATGTTTCCACATCTTTGACTGTTTAAGTCACCTGCTGATAGTGGTGAACCCAAGACTGTTTGTTCCGTAGTAACAAACAGCTGAACAAATCCGCTTTGTCTGCTTCGCGAGAAATTCTCACGAGAAATGATGAACCTGGGTCGTTTCTGATCAGGCGTTAGAGGGTTTTAGACCCCAGCGTGATGAAACCTTCGTCATGCCCAGTTCATTCCTCAGAATGTTCTTAACTCCCTCATGAGATACGGTATTGGCTATGTGACGTGTCCTATTGGTCGTCGATCAGGCATAATATTATCAAATATTATAAATGCTTCTGATGGACTTTGGTCTTCAAGATTTATCAATATATGACACATTAATTACTGATGACATGTTATTTCGTGTCAACAGGACATACAGAGGTAATCACGTGAGTGTCTTTTGGGAAGCTAAATATTCAGCTTAATGTGTGAGAAAAGTGTAAAATGATGTGAGTCGAAGACGTTTACTTGCGAACCACGAGTGTTTGTTTGTTTGTTTGTTTGTTTGTTGTTTAACGCCGCAATATTCCATCTATATGACTGCGTAAATAGTTGAATACAATGACATGGACCAACCAAGTCAGTGGGCCTGACCACTCAATCCCATAAGTCGCCTCTTACGACAAGCATAGTTGCCTTTAACGGCAAACATGTGTTGCTGAAGACCTATTCTAATCCGGATCTTCACGGTACCACGATCATCTGATTCTGGTAAATCAAGAAGGGAGGCAAGTCTGCACAGGGAACTGAGGTGCCACAGACCGCTAACAATCAAATACTCCTCAAAGGTCAATACATGAAATCATAGAAAGTCAAATTTCGTGTCTTTGACAGTGTTTATCCAACTTATGGAAAGCAACTCAATGAAAGCAGGCAATTGGCTGCAAGCCACGTGTAAAAGCCAGTAAAATTCCAGTTTCCACCCTTGCCGAACTAGGCTGGTATTATGGACTTACATTTTCGCTGGACTAGCGAGTCCATGCATAGTCCAATTAAAAACGAAATCCGGTTCGTAAACTGACATGCAGATTTCGGTCGATTGCAGGATTTGCAAAGCATGTGCACTCCTTACTCGTCGTCAACAGATATTTCTTTCTAAATCTTTAATGTTTTTAATCAAGGTGCTCACGTGATCTGATGCACTTCGCGATGTAAGACTCGTTTTATCACAATATAGATCTTGATTATCGATCATATGGTCTTGACTGGGCTCCGCCATTTTGTTTGAAGCAAATGCATGTGATACGAGAGTTCGAATCTGATTGATCCATGGCAGAGCCATAGAAGGGGCATAACTCGTAATAGCCACTTGTGACGCTACGATCGAGCCCAAGAATTCCAGCCTAGTTCGGCAAGGGTGGAAACTGTAGTTTTAAAGTCAGTTAACTCTCTTGCCTCGGGAAGATGGGGAACCCCATTCGCTTTTTATTTATTTATGTACTATTTATCATTAAACAACCAGAATAAAAGTTTCCTCACGAGTCAAAGTAGAATGTTTTATCATTAAGTTTCTATAATTAACATCAAACGCTTTAGGAAATTCAAAATGGAGAGAATGCAATCCTCCATATTATTGTTGTTACTGTTCATAGTGATATATTAAGGAAACGTTTCATGTCATACCCGCAAAATCGTTTCAGGCAATCAGTTTCCCAGTTTAGAATACAACAATTATTGATGAACTATCTCTCTCACCTTTTCCTTGATCATGATGTACCTGAAATAAAAACATGTTGCTTATTCAATAAAACGTTCCAGTTGCAAACTTATTCAATATATAATAGTGAATGAGTGAGTTTAGATTTAACATCACATCGGCAATATTTCAGCAATATCGTGACGAAGAAATATATAAAGAAATCAGTCTTTTATCATAAAAGCTAATAACACGAGAATGCAGTTAATAGTTATTATTTACACAGAACCATCCATCAAATTTAAGAAATAAAATCATTTTTGCACAGTTGCATCAGGTATGTATGTACATAACTGACCTCTTCTGTGAATCTGAAGGTTCCCACGCTGTTTAAGAAACTTCCAATGACTGCTTCGTACTTTTTCGTGTCCATGTAAAGTGAATCTGGTATTGCAAACATTTTGGCATCAGCTTCAAACTCTTCAAGTCTGCGCTCCATTAGATTGCTTTGTCTCTCCTCTAATACCCCGTGGCTTGCGACGAAATTTGGAGTGGAATGTTCTCTGACAATAGACGTGACTGTTCTTGTAACGAGGTTATTGTAAACTTTATCTTGTTTGGTCATTTCATCTCGCACGATTGTCAACACCAACGGAATTCGGCTTGGTGAAAATACTATGAGATCGCAAATGATATTGTCGAGACGAATACTCTTCAGTGAAGCACCCACTGTGGCCATTAATGACACTCCAAAGTAAATCAGCGACTCACAAGATTTAGGTGAGAAAATTCCTTTAACTTCCTTCCATATCCCTGGGCAACTTTTTTGCGGTTCAAAGTTGGCTGGGTAAACGTACAGGCCTCCTGGAAGAAAGCAAAGGTATGTGTAAAACTAGAAATTGATTTTGACATTGCTAAGGATTCCTGTAGGGCGAATGGAAGGTACACATATCATGCTTTCATGTAGCTTGTAAAAGGGCATGACTATGTATATTTAACATTAACTCACCTCAAAACTGAAGGATTTCGAAAATCCTCATCTTTGTTGGCGTTGCAGTTATGTGTAGTTATTTATATTTTCCATACTTAATCTTTGAAACATTGAACTCAGTCAGCCTTTTGAACCGTGAACCATAATCAGTTTTCATTTTGGCAAAAAATTCTTAAAATGGCACAAAGATTCATTGACAACAAATATTCCTCGAAAAGAGTGAAAGTATCCATTATTTTTCATTAATATTTTGATGCTTCGAGCCATAGACATTTAACACAAGTAGTCAGTGTTCCATACAAAGCATCTTCTAATTTCTTTAGTCCCTTTCAAGATGAATATTGTAAACTATTGCAGTTACAATCCCTTGTTAAACCTGATTTACTTGTACTGTCTTTGTCTCCAAACAACAACTATAATACCTACCTACATGCTTACCTCGTGTTGAAGATACTAATGGACACAAGCTAGAATATTGCTGAGTGCAGCGTTAAAAACAAACAAACAAACACAAAGTTTGCTCTGCTTTCATACAAACGTATTATTGACATTCCAGATTCTTAAATAATTGTACCTCTTATATCCACAGTTGTTTTTGGAGCATCATAAGGGTCATCCGCATGTGTACAATATGAACTATGGCTTCCAGTTGCCACATCTGAAATGTAAAGAGAAATCTATTCAAAGTGCATGATTATGATCTTTTCCTCGTTATTTGCATATTTTATCCCGGACAGACAGGAAAAAACCTTGATACAAGTTCGGTGTAAAAGTCAACTCAATGTTGTTCATGGGGTCGATTTCTGGTGAGACTATCAATCTCTGATCGGTCTGGTTCTTGCTCTCAGTTGGTTGGTTGGTTTGTTGTTTAACGCCGCACTCAGCAATATTCCAGCTATATGACGGCGGTCTGTAAATAATCGAGTCTAACCAGACAATCCAGTGATTGATAGCATGAGCATCAATCCGCGCATTTGGGATCGATGACATGCATCAACCAAGTCAGCGAGCCTGACCACCCGATCCCGTTAGTCGCCTTTTACGACAAGCATAGCCACCTTGTACGGTAAGCATGGGTTGCTGAAGCCCTATTCTACCCCGGAATCTTCACGGGTCTTGCTCTCAGTACTTATATTACTTCAGCTGCGGTGATTCATGAATACGACAGGGTGGGTTAATATGACTGACCATCACGTCAGACGCCGTTCACTCTCGTTTATAACAATTAAAGTAATGAGTATCATTCAGCTTTGACGAAAACTATATATGATCATTTGCATAGATTTTAATAAACCATGATCAGATACGATTTTTTTTACGAAATTGCAGCATATCTTTTAATTTCAATTGAATGTGTATTGTCTCAACCCATTTCGTCATATCATCCTGCGTTGTCGTTAAGATATAAAGGATATTTCATGTGTCGAGTGAAATATCATGTTTCTCTCATCGAGTGACGGGGGAAAGGAGATATTATGACGAGTGACGTGGCCACGAGTGAAAATATCTTCTCCCACGGTCACTAGAGGAGAGAAATGTGATATTTCTCGAGACATATGAAATATCCTATTTATTATATACTTTTTGTGAAGATGTCTACCGGAAAATCAAGTCATTTCATTAAAAACGTAAAACCTTGAAACGTAATTTCTCCCTACACAGGGACAGGGACGGTTCACCACCCCTAGTATTTGCGATTTCAAAAGTAGTTTGGTGTTTGCAAAATCTTAAACAATATAAACAAAAGTATCAAAAAATATTTAGGGTCACGAAAATTCTTGATCATACATTTAGATATGAATAAATACAAAATCAACTTTAACAAAAAATATTCTTGAAAACTAGCAGACCGTTGTTGGAAGCGAAAGAATACACACTCGTCAAGTAACTAAAATGGGGCTTTGCGAAATGAACAGTCTCGATTGACGAGTTAAATGAAAAATTTACAGTTTAAAACGAAACATTTTAGAGAGAAGAACAGACGACAAGAAGTTATATGAACTCCAAAAATGACCATCTGACATTATTTTGCCTTGTCAATGTGGAACTAAAGTAAAAAGGGCGTCAACAGTTTGTGTACAGGCTTGACACTTAGGATAAAGGGAGATAATTTAAGGGGAGGCAACTCTTGTATGACAATAGTTTTGTCAAAGTGTTATGTTCACTGCAGTGAAATATCAAGTGTTATGTTCACTGCAGCGAAATGTGAAGTGTTATGTTCACTGCAGTGAAATATCAAGTGTTATGTTCACTGCAGTGAAATAGCAAGTGTTATGTTCACTGCAATGGAAATACCACTTTTCTCAACTTAAGAAAACTCTGTCTTTTACAATAAAGTATATAATAAAACGAGCACAAATATGATTTTCCGAAATTATATACTTCATGGCCATACATACCATATATCGAGGTTACAAACAGTTAACTCAATATCAATGCATTATCTTATTTTGAAAATTAGTCACATTGAATGAACCGATCAGTCTGATGAATGTTGTTAATATCACTATGTATTATATATTCAACATCAACACTGGTCATCCCCAAACAAGCTGAAATCAGAGGTTTAACCACGCCAAAACAGGAATAAGGTAAATAAATGCAATGCAACATAAACAAACATACTTTGATGACCAAATGCCTCTTGACAATTCATTGTTGTGTTTCTGTCACACAGCGATTCATCCGAGTCAGAACTCTCTATTGAATAAATACATTTTATTCCAGCACATATTCCATCAACATCAATGTCTGATGCGTCGGAAGACCCTTCAAAATCATTCTCCTCCAAAGCGGTCATTTTTGTAGAAAATATGTAAAACGTTTTCTTCGTCTGTATTCAAGTATTCGTCTGTAACTTAAAGCTTCCAAGTACAATGTCAGCTTCACTCCTTTCACGATGCAGCAGACATACTTCTACATGGATTGTTTTGTGTGTTGAGTCATCTTACATAGCCAGTCAACAAGCGACATCCTGCGTGGTGATCCATTTTCTGTCATTTCATATGTTTCTGGACCAAGTTTATCATAGAATAAAATACCATTCACATGTCCAATGGCTATTTCCAGCACGACTTTGTTGTCCTTGATGTCATAGAACTCAACCTCAATCAGATCTGGTACTGAAGGGTGACAGTTTATGATGCCTTTGTCTTCAATAAGCACAACCTCTTCCCGAATGATTGAGTGCAAACTCTTTTTGACAAGGGAACGATCCACTTGAAGAGTAAATCCGCATATATGTGGAACACGGCTGTTGTATTCAGAACGTGTTTCAGATGTTTGTAGAGAATATTGGCATTTTTCTTCAGTTATCCCTACATAGTAAGAACCGCCCGTTGCAATTTTTGAAATAGAACTTAAATACTCTCTAAATCTCAATTTTGCCCAAATGTATCTAGCGAGCACCTCTGCATCTGTAAGAAGATTTGGGGGAGCTTTTTTATCCAGTTGTGGATCACATGTTTTCAGTTGAATGCTTCTGCTCTCAAATGGTATTTCTGCTATTCCTTTCAAAACTGGTTTCACTGCTTTCGACCTCTTTATTAACAGTTCAAATATATTGAAGCTGGACGGTTTCTCAATTTGCAAATCCGAACCGATTCTAGTTTTGAAGTCAACAGTCGCAACACCCGTTGTTTTGACGACAGTTATCACAAGGAAGTCTTTAAAGTTCTCAGCACCTTCTATTTTATGGAACCAGCTTCTTGTGTAGGTGTCAGTAAATAGTTTTCCATCACAGATTAGCTTTTTCAAACTATCTTCAATGAATTCGTCAAAGGTGCCAAGAAATCTGTCTTCATCTGCTAATCCACTGAGATGCACCAGCAATATTCCACCTTGGGTGTTCCGAAGTGCTGACAATATTATTTCAATTTCCTTTATTTTCTCCTGTTTCTTGGTGTTTGATTTTTTCTTTCCTGTTATGTCATCACATATATCTATATGAGTCAGAAGGGCATTCGGTTCAGTTAATGAAGATGACCGAAATATTTTCAGAGCTCTCTTGCAACGTTTGCACTGTGTCTGAAAGATAGGATAAACATGTTCAGTTCTGGCTATTTCCGTTGAAGGAGGATTTATGCTAAACTTATATAAAATTGTCATGCCCATTATAGTCGCCTGCAAGATAATTATATTTTGCGTTGATAAAAATGTATTATTTGTCTTAGTGACCAACTAATGACAAACATTGTCAGATATAGCCCTATTGATGACAACAAATGTCCTATCTAACCTGGATTGCCCAGTCGTCTAAGGCTCAGCAATTAACTGTGTGGGGTTGCGTTTCTTTTGACGTGCCTCAAAACCTATGATCTTGGGTTCGAATCCGAAATTCTCCTTGATTATGTTCAAGTGATCGATATGACTGAGATACTGTTAAAACGGCGTTAAGCCTAACTCACTTGCTCGAACTTGGGTCGGCACTGAGTGGACTATGACACTTCTACAAATTAACATGCAATAAATGGAATAACGGCATTAAACCAAAACCCACATACACACTGACATGTTCACTCATAAATGGTTGACAAAACAACATTAACACTTACATTCACAGTAGAACTCACGTTTTCAGTTATTTTTTCCTCAGATGACTTTCTATCTGTAACGACAAAATAATGGACATTATGTGTAATGTAATTACTACAAAATACATATGGTATTTCTGTAATGTTGTCAGACAAATATCAGATTTCCAAAATGTGCCACAATCTTTTCCATTTTTAGAAGCCAAAAAAGAAAACCTGTTGAATGTGTTTCAGGGTGGGTTAAGTCATTGCGTGATGTCGTCATTGGTAGTATGCAAAAACTGAAAAGAGGAACCACAATTGGAATAAAACCATTTTATCCCAGCCAGCTGTCATCCACAGTCTGGCTGCCTTACATGAAAAGTTTGTAGTTGTTCCCACTGACAAGGCCTCAAATAGTATAATCATTATGTGGAAGCATCACTTCATTAATTGTTTGATCCAAGAACTTGATATAAGTGAGTCAGACATATCAAATAATGCCACATATTAGGTCAGTATGATAACCGATTAAGACATCTGCCAAAACCATGCATCAGTACTATCAACTTTAGGCTTGACATGTCCATTCCTCTTTTGTACTGGATTTCAAAGCTCCATAGTAATCCGTATAAAGAGAGACATATTGCTGGGTCCCATAAATGTACCACCAAATCTCCTTCTCACAGATTACCCCTAATCCTTTATGCAATCAAGGAAGTGCTTTCTTTATAGTCACAGAAATCTTTTGAGACAAGTGGAATTAATACCATGTGGAAACTCAAAAACTTGGATTTGGATTTGCTCAAAGGACTTTTTACAATATAGAAAAGAACCAGGTTTAATTCTGTCAAAACAAATTGAGTAAAAACTTCAGTCCTTGATCAGTTGGGCTTTTTGTACAAAACGCGGTGACCATAGATATAGTTACATACTAGGGCCATTCAATATATAACCAGCCTAACCTATTTGCTACTGCTCCTCACTTCTTCTTTTTCCACATAACCACCATTGAGGTCTATGCACTTTGTCCAGCGATGTGTGAGAGCTAAAAGCCCGTTGTGATAGAAACCATGGGGTTGTTCGTGTAACCACCCCTCCACTGCTGTCGTGAGTTCATCATCGGACCGGAAATGACGTCCACGCAGTTCTTTCTTCAAGTTTGGGAAGAGAAAGTAGTCGCTTGGTGCCAGGTCTGGTGAGTAAGGTGTATGAGGCAATACTTTGAACCCGTTCCGCTTCATTGCGGCAACCGCAAGTCGACAGGTGTGCACTGTGGCATTATCATGTTTGAGCAGCACACCTTTTGTGATCTTTCCACGACGTTTGGCAAGAATAGCAGTCCGCAAACGGTCCAGGAGATCGGAGTAGTTCTCTCAAGTAATAGTCTGGCCACGTGGCAAGTAGTCAATGAGCAAGACCCCTTTGGTATCCAAAAAGATGGTTGCCATGACTTTGCCAGGCGATGTTTGAGTCTTAAACTTTTTGGGACTGGGTGAAGCAAAGCCAGTCCACTGCTTACTCTGTTCTTTGGTTTCTTGGTCATAGTGGTGTACCCAGGTTTCATCACCAGTAACAATTCTCTCCATAAAGTTGTCTGCATCCCGACTGCATTGCGTCAAAAGTGCCTGACACATTGACGCACGCACAGCCTTCTGATCATCACTCAGACATTTCGGGAACCATCGGGCAGACAGCTTCCTCATACCCAGACGATCATGCAAAATGGTATGGACACTTCCCTCTGAAATGTCCAAGGCCTTGGCCATTTCTGACACATTCGTTCGCCTGTCATTGACAACCAGTTGTCTCACAGCTTCACTGGTTTGGTCATTGGTCACCTCTACAGGCCTGCCAGGGCGTGGCTCATCTTCCAGGTTCACCCGACCCCTCTTAAATTCTGCAACCCAGAATTTGACCTCTGCATACGAAGGTGCACTGTCACCATAAACATCTGACAATTCATCATTTATCTCATTTCCCGGTTTCCCTTTTAAGTAGAGGTACCTTATAACAGCCCTGTATTCAACCTTTGACGAAAATTTCTTTATAGATCACGTGTGTGACTTCAAATACAATTTCCTCAGTGAAATATGTCTATGCACGTGACATACATTTGTGCACAGCACGTGACAGGCATGCAACCGTTAAGATCTGATAAATAGCTTAGGCTGGTTATATATTGAATGGCGCTCGTATCTATCTTCAGAGGTTCAGGTCAATTTGTCAAAAATGAAAACAAATGCCATCTGAAGTTTACTGAGCAAACACTATGTGAAATGCTGGATTTCCTCATAACATCTATGTCAATTTAGAGGGTAAGACATTTTGGCAAGAAGTTGGCATCCCATGGGCGCCACTTGTAGTTCTGTTTCTTTACGCATATAAATCAGAATTTCTGCTCGGATTGGTAAAATCAAAATAAGACCAACTTAAGCTTCAGGTATATCGACGATCTGATATCATTCAATAACCATCAAATATCCAATTCCCTTCCACTGACTTACCCAACTGAACTAGAAATTAAGGAGATCAGAGAGACGGCCTCATCTGTTTCATATTCAAATCTCTGCGTAAATATTCAGAGTGCCAAAACATTCTCCACAAGTCTGTATGACAGGGCTCCAGCCCTTGGTGTCAACGTTTCACAACTTTTGAGGTACAATCCAGCAAGCTCTTTCAAAGATTTCAAAGAGCGACAAACGACTCTTTCTCAGAAGATGTTTGATAAAGGTTACAAGTCCTCAGTAAAGCTTTCAAAAGGTTTTATGGCAGACATGTGGAGGACAATGTTAAGCACCACCGGATTAAAACACTGATACTTAGAAAATGTCCTCAGCAACCGTCCGAGCATTGTTTTGCACCTTCATACACGTTTGCACGTGTAAATGACACATTGTAAGCTGTATCGTGGTGCACGCGAATCTACACGTGGTCGATTTATACCGTTGTGTAAAAGGGTCAAACGGAAATTTCATCTCAAGTCATTAACAGTCTTAAAACAAAAGGTACTGTCATAGTGAAACGTCATCTTACAGAAAATTAAGATGGCAGCCTTGGGTTGGCACATGATTGGAATGTCATGTCGTGCCATCGCCAGGGATCTCAACGTCAGCTTTAGCAGTATAAATCGTCTGTTCCAGAAAAATGGCCAAATAGTGGAGGTCAAGGACAGCCCAAGGTCAGGAACGCCAAGGAAGACAACACAACGAGTAACAGGGTCATAATTCATATCACTTCGACATGGAACAGCACCATTCTCAGGCGCCACTTGAATGCAGGGATACGTCTCACAACGTGTACGTGATAAGACTTTGCAGAGAATATCGCCAAGACATCGCCAGGAGAATTAACGGATCCATTTGTCTGACGAAAGTCGCTACCTTCTACACATGACTGATATAACGTGTATGAAGACGTCAATACACATTCTATGATGAACATAACATTTGCCCCGCAAATGGTGATGGTTCTCATGGTTTGGGGTTATATATGTTGTCTTATGTCTGCAAACTGGAATCGATATATTTTCGAGGAAACCTAAATGGGAACGTTACCTCAACGAAATCCTTGGGAACAGTGTGATCCCACATTTTCACAATCGCCCCTCTTCGTTCATGAACTGTATTCATAGATGAACGACGCGCAATGTTGAACCATTTGCGTTGGAATGCGTTCACCACTTTACCTTTGCCGGCAAGATATCCAGATGCCCAAACAATTGGGCACTTGTGGGAACGTCGTGTGACCCACTTCTACATACTTTACAGGAACTTGAATGCGACCTTCTTGAGGACCGAAACAACATCCCCATGTTACGAATTCAGCATTTAGTGACCCCTATGGGTAGGCCTGTTGTAAACGGGTGTTTTCAGAACACATGGTCCTTACACCAGATATTGACACTTACAAAGAGAGTGTTTGTAAGAAAGTTCGTTAACATTTTTCATTTAACCAACTTCAGTTGTGTGAAAACATTTGATTTTCCAACTTTGTCTACCACTATTCCACGGTATATAAGGAAACGCCTCCTCATTCCTTGAACCATGGGGTATTTTTACCTAGGTTAAAACCTAGGTGACCATAGATCTATCTCTTTAATTTGTTAAAGATGTCTTAGCAGGATTACAACAACCACGGCCTCAGTAAATCTTCCAGATAGTTTTTATGGACATGTGGATGACATATTTTGCCGTGTGTGTTTTTTACAGGTAAACATTTGACTTGCCTTTGCATGTGGTGGTGGTGAGGTGAAATTGGGTTTAACGTCACTTTCAGGATTATTGCACTTATATAACAAAACAACAAGTACCATCTTTAAACCTCTTTTGGTATGTGGCGGACGGGGATCGAACCAACGACTTTCTGCTCTCCGGGCAGGCGTTCTATCTATTAGCCCATACAGGTGGTCACCTTTGCATGCGTATATATTTATGAGACTATTACCTTTTTTCTCGGCCATTTTGGTTCAAGTGTTGGAGTGCCATGTTTGTAGATGAAAAATATTAATCCTGAAAAAGGAAACGGAATATGAAACAACAGGCGAACAATTATACATATAGTTCAAAGGATGAAGGATGAACTCATGGTCATGTTTTGGAATGGGAAGTCCACCTCATTTTATTTGGTGGTCACGATATGATGTCGTAGAAAGTATTCAAATGTCCAATTGAATGTGCTGAAATCACACGCTTCGTAATCGGCTTCAGAAACCTATTTGGGGTGGTCATCTGAAGTCATCGGCGCAGTGGCCTAGTCTTTGCAGCAGCCTTTATCTACTATGTAATATCAATACAGGATCTTGATGTCGATTGAACTTTCCTATCTGATGATAAATTATCTAATTTCAAAACCCAAGCCGACACTCGTCACTCGATATATAAACGTAAATCTTCAATATGATATGTCGTATGTGGTTTATATGCCTGATGTTGTTTTTATCACGTTTAATATATATATATACAGTAAACTACGGTTATAACGAACACGCTTATAACGAACTGACGGATATAACGAACTTACTTATTTGGTCCCGACTATTTGCTGTAGTAATGCTGTATATATACTTATAACGAACTACGGTTATAACGAACTAAAATTAGTAGTCCCCTTGAGTTCGTTATAACCGTACTTTACTGTATTGACAGTAGCGGGTGACTTCGCCTAGGTGAACACTACCAAGCTGACTGTCGTTCATTTCCCGATGAACGTCAGTATGTCACGTGATTACGTTGTCAATCGCGCGGAGACATACATAACTACTTTCGGGGAATTCCTCAATGTCAAAAAATAACATTAAAAATAATTAGGGAAAACTGAGAGCGACATCGATTTAGGCTATCATGTATATGTCGGGTCCCCGAAATGAAGCGTCCATTCGAAGCTATAACAGAGAATGCTCGACTTACCAAAAGAAATCACCGAGCTCCACACTATCGTGTCTCAGTAAATCCAACCACGCCGCCTCAAGCGGTAATCCCCGTCATCGGCAGCCAAAGTATGACTCAAACACACACCAGAAGTTCACAGAACGTTATTATGTATCCATTTTCAGCATGAGCCGGGTCTGTATTTCTTTCCAATGCTAACATTACTAGGTGCAACTTGTATTTCAAGCGAATGGCATTGTGGTAGCCGCCATTTTCTGCCGTTTGTAAAACCATGGGATGTCACTCCAAATGGAAATGTTTGGGACGGGTGACGTCAAGACGTCACGACTCTCCGCGTTGATATAGTTCGCTTTCAATAATGAAAGTTTGATGTCTAATGGATTGTTTTGTTATGATTTATGAATCTGTCAATATAAGGATTGAAGTGGTATTTGTTGACGTTCATCTGTTGATGAAGACAGTGCTTCACTTGAGCAAATTCCATGATGCGCGAAGCACTGTCTTCATCAGCTGATGAACGTCAACAAATACAACTTCAATACTTAAGTGGTATTTTTAGTGATTTCGTACAAGGCTTGGCTTTGTGTTTACATCGTTATGTTCCAATCATGTATTATTAACTTAAATGGCTAAGTGTGACTCTTCCCTTCTCTCTGTGTAACAGCTATTCATCCGTTTTGTTTTATGCGGATTGTTGATTTCGTACGATTATCTTGTTGAAATGGTGAACACGTGTGTAGCTCGAACTCTAAGATACAGTAATGTTTGCTTTCATAGGTTTTGTCTTGTCTGTCCTTCGGAGATAAATGGGCCAAGTTCGTTTGGTAAAAATGACCCAAGTGGCAGCCAAAGAAACTTTCGCGATTGTGTTCAGAGCATTTATATAGGGAATGTTATAAGTGCCACAGTCTGTACACAGCCCTTTATACTTTATCTACATAGATGAAACTTACATCTACGGACATGATACTGTCATCTACGTAGATCATACTTTCATCTACGTAGGTGATACTTATGTCTACGTACATGATACTGTCATATACGTAGATCATACTTCCATCTACGTAGGTGAAACATATCTACGTACATGATACTGTCATCTACGTACATGATACTGTCATATACGTAGATCATACTTCCATCTACGTAGGTGAAACTTATATCTACGTACATGATACTGTCATCTACGTAGATGATACTTTAATCTACGTAGATGATACTTTCATCTACGTAGAAGATACTTTTATCTACGTAGATGATACTTTCATCTACGTAGAAGATTCTTTCAACTACGTTGATGATACTTTCATCTACGTAGATGGTACTTATATCTACGTACATGATACTGTCATCTACGTAGATGATACTTTCATCTACGTAGATGATACTTTCATCTACGTAGATGATACTTTCATCTACGTAGAAGATACTTTCATCTACGTAGAAGATTCTTTCAACTACGTTGATGATACTTTCATCTACGTAGATGGTACTTATATCTACGTAGATGATACTTTCATCTACGTAGAAGATACTTTCATCTACGTAGAAGATTCTTTCAACTACGTTGATGATACTTTCATCTACGTAGATGGTACTTATATCAACGTACATGATACTGCCATATACGTAGGTAACCCTTACATCTACGGACATGATACTTTCATCTACGTAGATGAAACTTATATCTACGTACATGGTACTGTCATATACGTAGGTGATACATATATCTGCGGACATGATACTTACATCTACGGACATGATACTTTCATCTACGAAGATGATACTTTCATCTACGTAGAAGATTCTTCCAACTACGTTGATGATACTTTCATCTACGTAGATGGTACTTATATCTACGTACATGAAACTGTCATATACGTAGGTGACACTTACATCTACGGCATGATACTTTCATCCTCGTAGATGATACTTATATGTACGTACATGATATTGTCATATACGTAGGTGATACTTATATCTTCGGACATGATACTTACATCTACGGACATGATACTTTCATCTTCGTAGATGATAATTTCATCTACGTAGGTGATACTTATATCTACGTACATGATACTGTCATATCCGTAGGTGATACTTATATCTACGGACATGATACTTTTATATACGTAGGTGATACTTATATCTACGTACATGATACTGTCATATACGTAGGTGATACTTATATCTCAGTACATGATACTGTCATATACGTAGATGATACTTATATCTACGTACATGATACTGTCATATACGTAGATGATACTTATATCTACGTACATGATACTGTCATATACGTAGGTGATACTTATATCTACGTACATGATACTTTCATACATGTAGATGATACTTATATCTACGGATATGATACCTTCATCTACGAAGAAGATACTTTCATCTACGTGTGTGATATTATTATCGTTGGTGTCGTTCCAAGACAGTGATAATGTCTTGTGAAGTTGCGACTCAAGTGCAATTTTGCACTATTTGTATTATGTTGATACGTGAACGTGTATGCCATCGCCCAAGGATGGTCTAAATATATCTGTTGATTTGCCAACACCAAACAATTTAGCAACGGTTCTGTATTCTTACGTAGATGCTATTCAGTAAACAGCAATACCAACTTTTATGTGCTGACATTTGTGTACAGATTAAATCAAACACATGTTATTTCGTGCGAAGATTTCTGTAAGATATCTCTCATCTCATTCGACTTTGATTGGAAAACAACATTTGCATGTGTAAAGTCGTGAACAGACTGATGAATGTGTGCCTTATACCATTTACATACTCTGTTTACACACCATAGTTATTTTTCATGTGGACGCATAGTAAATTTACACATACACATTTATGTATACATACAAAAGTTTAAAATTACTTATGTGAGTAAATGTTGTGCATGTTTACGGGGTTTAATAAGGCGCTACAGTTTACTGTGCAAAGTTGCATTGTTTGGGTGTGCCAGAGACCAACTACCATGGGTTGGCTTCCCAGATTCAGCCTGTGTATGCACTAAGTCTCCACATGAAAGTGTCTTGATATAACTGAAATACAGTTCAAATCGACGTTCAGCTAAAGATAATGACTTGTATTTTATGACAGTGAATTGGCAATTTTGTCCGGATCATATCATTTATCTTTTCTACGTGATGTCATCCAGTATCAGATAAAGTAATTTGCAAAGGAATGTTAAACGTATGGCTCCAATCCATCAAAGGATATAACGTAAAGATCTTACTCACTTTCCTTGTCACATGTAGAAATTCATTTCAAACAGTCGATACTGTTATCCGCCTTCATGTTGAAAGACACAGGGAGGTATCACGCATGTGACTACTGGTATCATTCTGAACTCAATACTCAAGGTGGGTCTCTGTATTGAATGTCCACTGCATTAACCTACGTCCTGTTTGCCTAACGCAGGTATATGTACAGGTACATACCAAAGATTTGTTTAAGGACTGTGTAATGTACACAAAGCATATGGTACTTCTATCTGTGTTATCGAAGCATGAGTCGGGTTTTTTTTGGCAAGCCTCCAAAATGTAGTCGTTATCTTCCGAAGTGAGATAATTGGTTTGACTCGTCGAGTGCTGCGTGCTTTTCATGCGAGTAATAGGTAACGTGACAGTCTTGCTTACATGTATATAAATTCAAGAAATACCTTTAACGGTATTACATATATTTTATGTAAAAATTGTGCCAGTTTTAACATATGGGTCAGAAATATTGGGGTTCCACCCATCAACCAATATTCAGAATGTACATGATAGATTTTGTAAATTAATGTTAAATTTGAGACAACCCATTCCAAATATTATGGCCAGGGGGGAACTGGGTCGATATTCTTAAAAGGTAAATCAGCAAGTTTATCCTATTAGATATTGGATAAGATAACTTTTCCAGCAAAATAATCCTATTATTAAACATATGTATTTTTACCAATATGGGTTAACCGAAAAGGGAATTGACTGTTGGGCTTTGAGTGTTACGAAAATGCTATTTAGATTTGGTTTTGGAAATGTTTGGGTCCAACAAGATAACATTTGTAGTCAACAGTTTTTGAAAGAGTTTCAGCAAAGGTGTTGTTGATAAATAAGTTGTATTTTGAGAAATTATATATATATTCCAGTTTATATCTTTTCAAGAATATTAAGACAGAAAATATGTTTGAAGATTATATATCTGTTGTAAATGTTAAACCATTTAGAATTATCTTTATCTCGGCTTCGTAGCTCATCTCTTGATTTAATGGTTTCTAGAGGTAGAAAGTTGCATTATGCATTGTTCCCACTGTAGAAAATGAATATCATTTTTGTTGCATTTGTCCATTCAATTAAGATTTTAAGCACCATCTTCCCAACTATTACATTGTACATCCTACAGAAAGAAAGTTTGACCAGCTTTTAACATCTCGTAATGTTCATATTATTCAAGCCGTGGCTAAATATACCTGTCTAGCGTTTAAAAAACGCAGTAATGTTTTTGAAAAAAATAACAAAGCTGTTGAAAGCCTCCAAGAGAAATGTACAAAGATGTTGTTTTCATATTGTATACTGGGCCAAGGGCCTTTTTACAGAAATAAAGGCATACCTAAATGAATATACAGTATAGATGTAAGATGAGGGAGTTGTATCGAGAGTTAATAATAAGACTACACTTGTATGTCTAGCATTAGATTACAACTCCGTCACCTATGTGTGCATTACAAACAATCCGTTGTCGATTATCAGTTTATGTCTCTGTTTATTGCGCTGTGTCATAGCGTCCCGCTTGCCTTGTTCGCTGATTGTAACAATGATGTCTGGCGTTTCGACGAATATAGCTCCGAATTAGCAATTTCGTCCGGATCGTAACTTTTTCTACGTAATGTCTTTAGTATTAAAAGTAGAACTCCAATCAGTCGAGGACAGAATGTAAACTTACCTTGTCAGAGGTAGGTTCTTTTCAAACAGTCGATTCTATTACCCTCCTCCATGTTGATATATACCGAGAGCTAATAATACATGCTGTTGTAACTCACTACTCCCCGTGTACAAGGTCCAATGCAATAACCTACTTCCTGGTTGCTTGCTAAACATAAAGATAACGCATCCTTGTATAGCATGTGACTGGTAATTTATTATAAGGAGTGTGTTATGCAGGATAACGGTGTCAACAATATATATAGCTGTAATATTCAAACATTCATGAGCACCAGGTGATCTTGTCTTTGCGATCATTCGGATATGAAAACAGTATTAATATTAAAGTCAGGTGCATTGATTTTGGTATATGTTACAGAGAATTGAAGATGGGTACTTAAGATACTACTAATTAAGACATGTAAATACATATGATCTAAAAAATCAAAAGGATAATTCATACTAACCAACGAGCTACGAAAAGAGGAGTTAATTCATGATGAAAGCCCGGGCATTTCATGATGGAAACATAATGCGTAAATTCCAAGTTTCAAGTAGATTATTTTATATATCACTCATTATCATGTTAAGAAAAAAATGAAGAAAAAACGTATGGCATGTAAACCCTAGAGGACAATGCCATGACGTCAATCTGTTTTACAGATGACGTAATGTCTTAAATTTGTGACGTCATTAACCAATGGATGACTTCGCAGCATATTGTTCTCAACAATGGAACAATGTGACGATATATCGCTTCAGCAGACCAATCAGCATAACAAATGTATAACATGCACATGTGCATATGAAGGAAGGTTGTTACATTCGGCCTTTTCACCCTTATGCGCAGGAAACACTCAAGAAAAGTAGTGGATTGTAAAATAAACATGTTACGATCGGTCGTCAGAAGAAATTTCAGCTTTGAAAAATGACTTCCAGAGTTGAGCAGTTCCGGAACCAAAACCTAATGCCCCCACACCCCCGAAACATTGCACGTGGACCGTGCACGTTGGTTGAAGGTCATTCTTGATTTTGACACTGCCTTAAACTCTTTTAGAACCTTAGTATTGCCGATATTCATTATTCACAGCAACACGTAAGATCTACAATCTTGCTCAGTCTATAAAAATGCAGTATTTGTGTACAGATTGGGAAGGCGATAACTCTCTTGCCCACCACGCATGATTCGTAGCTGACTATCTCCAGCAGCAACACATAGCCTAACAATCCCACCATAGAAAACGCCTGGGATATGATCAAGTACGCCGACGTCAATGACCACCCTCTACGGTAGCAAAATTGGCGCTACGTGGACAATAACCCCCATTAGACACTGGGAGACTGATTCGGACCATGCCGCGCCGTATAAACGAATATTTTACCCATCGTTGGGGCCTGACCCTTTATTGATCAAATCATCTTAAACTGTCAGTTTTTGACTACACACCCCTGTCGCCTTTCTTGGTTATTTGCACCCTTACCATACACCGCGGTAACCTCCCAAAACCCCTACATCCCATTTCCCCTACAGCTCCTGGGACCTGTTGTACCGTGATAATTGTTTCTTCCTATTGTTATTTTTGTAATTTCTAAAAATTGTCTTCTCATCATACAGGCATCTTTCATTACACTTACATTAATTCTTTTTTTTTAAACTTTCCTTTAAGTCCCCTAATCCCCTAAAGCTCTACCCCTTTCATTTCTACTACCTCTACTCCAGACCTTAATCTCTCCTTTAGGTGAGTTCATAATGCCAGACAGGTAAATGCCGCGTGTTGTTTTAACTAATTGTAGGGGAACTGGGTTGTAGGGGAAATGGGATGTAGGGGTTTTGGGAGATAACCTACACCGCCATTATGTTCTGTTGATTGGGATATTACACCTAGTCCTTCCTCTTTGTCATCCATCCATTACGGTCACGCGATACCTCTTTGTATTTCTGCAGTCATCTGTTATTTTTGAATATCATTTACCTTTTTAGTCATGATTCTTGCTCATAATTTGTTTGATCCAGGTTACAACAATCATTGCGTAAGTGAAACTGTCACAAAGGTTTATGATGTATCAATACAAAATGATGTCCGATGCAATTCCCTCTTTTAACTTGAACCATATGTAATGCAGTTTTCAATCGAACAATTGACTTGGTTTTGCATGTGTTTGTGATGGGCGACAGCGGTGGATACGTTCACATTTTCCGGAACACCTGGTGTCACCACTTTGTCATAGTGACATGCTTATAATATATTCGGAATCGCACTATTGACTCCATGGATTTATGGTTTTGGGGGGAGATTTCTTATGGATATGGAAATGTTTTTGTCGCATTATTTTATATACATATAAGTTCATAATCAATGTCATGATGTGATCTCGTCAATGTGTGAAAGGGGTATAATTCAAACCTGGTCCTTTTGGTTTGGGGCGTGGATTAAATGTGAATATCGGGTATGTCATTGACTTTGCGTTGATTGTTTCTTTTTCCCGTCAACCCCTGAAAACACAATCAATAACCTTGATCTGTATTATAAGGGTAATGCATGTTAGCAGTACTATATATTCAGCAAACATTGGGCGTATCCCCTCTAATGATAAGCCCCCACCGTGGAGGACCCTTATCCCTCAGTGCTATCTATCTATTAATGTCAAGTAACACCTCCTTACGTGGACGGATCTTACGTATGAACATGTTGGTGTACTGTGCCACTGACATTGTACCACGTCTTGTCATACCCCTACCTACAAAACCAGATCATGGTCAATCAGGGAGACCGGCCCAGATCATCGACAGTAGCGGACGGATTATACGGTTAGTCATCGGCTACGGATGTCAAATCACCAGCAACAAATGCTGACGATGAAGAATCGCTGTACGACTCCCTGTCTGTGTGGGAGGGTCAGAGCGTGTCTCCGCACCGGGAACATTGATAACTTGGTCCTGGTGTGCGTTCTGTTACGTGCTCACCATGACGTGTACCATCTCCTGTCGCGCGACTGAGCAACCAAACGAAGGCAACGTGTGCTCTTGGACACTAACATACCCATCTCAGCTTAAATGTAATATTTTCGACTATCACATCTTCACTGAACATACAGATTTCTCTTTCTGGGTCGAGTAAATGACAGCCAGTTCAGCTTTAATATATTAATATATTCACGAATCTGAAAATCCTTTTGTCTGTTGTCCTGTTGACAACTAAAAGAACAATAAACACTTCACATTCGTTTTCATAGAACACATGTTTATTTTTTACGTGTACATGCGAGAAAACATCGGAAAAATGTGTTCTGTTAAAAATGTTAAGCCACCATCTACGTTTAGCATCAGCATTAAAAAACATCAAACAAACAGATTAACAATCACACTGGTACAGATAATATTTGTAAAAGTTCGCAAAGGCAAGCAATACAAAGATGCTATGTACAAGATTAGGTAAATGCGTATTCAACACAAAATGCAGTATATTGTAAGTTATCATAATCCACCAAGTGATGAGTATGCAGGTTTGTGCATGGGTAGTACAATGTGTGATATCCACATTATATATTATATAAATGTAGTTTCAATAATATTGATATCATAAGGATCTGCCAAACTACCTCCGCTATTTATTTCTATAATACTGCCATGATCATGTAAAATTGTCATGACTTTGTCCGTATGCAAAACAAATAAAAATTGGACCCAATAGCATTACTCTTACCCGGGACATAATGTCTTTAACATTTATGTAGATGGTACATTGATGTTGAATCTAAGAGGCGACCAACGGGATTGGGTGATCAGGCTCTCTGACTTTGTTGATACATGTCATCGTATCCCATCTGCATATATCGATGTTCTAGATGTCAATCACTGGATTGTCTGGTCCAGACTCGATTAATAAACGGACGCCGTCACAGAGCTGGAATATTGCTGAGTGCGGCGTTAAGCAACACTCAAACAAAGTTTAATTAAAATCTTGTCACTTATAATGTCCATCCCAAGCGAATCGGTGACGTGTGTGACAGTTCTGGTCTTAGATATGATTTTGCAGTACAAAAACCCTTCGTAAGTATCCATCAGTGCACGCACATAATAATCAAATTGTCTATGTTCCACACGGAGGGATAGATTTTTAAATCAAATCTAACCATAAAATATTTTGAAATTAATCATTTGTTTCATTCTATGATTATAAATTATGTTGTTAGCTTTTTGTCGTACATGACGTTCAAAACCAAACAGCTGGTCAAAATACCTTTGTTTACAAAAACAGGAGCTTCCAGATGTTAATGGCAGAAAAATGTCTTTGGAAATTTACCCTAAGCTTCAATTAATCCCATGTCATCATACACCTCCGTATAGCGGTACGAAGAGGGGGTATGATTTTACCAGTACTGTAATGCATTAAACAATATTCCAGTTATTTCGGGGGCACGGGTGGCCCAGTCGTCTAAGGCGCCGCGATTCGCTGTGCAGAGTTGCGTCCCTTGGGCACGCCAGAAACCTATGATTGTGGGTTCGAATCCCGGTTCGCCCCGATTATGTTTCTAGGTTTGTCAGCACCATACCCGTGCTCGTGGATTTCACCGAAGTGGTAAACGTCTCAGACCTGCATCACTGCAGGCTTTCCTCCCACATTAAGCAGACACGCCGCGATGTAACTGGAATACTGTTAAAAGCGGCGTTAAACCCAACTTACTCACTCACTCACTCCAGTTATTTCACGGCGTGTCAGCTTGATGTGGGAGGAAAACCCGAATTTATGCAGGTCTCAGACGTTTTCCACTTTGGTCAAACACACGAGCACGGGTACAGTGCTGACAAGGGTGAATTTGTCATTCGAAGCCACGATCACACATTTAGGTTTGTGGTACTGGGCGTATCTCTGAACAGGCTTAACATTGAATATAGACAAGAGAAGGCTTATCTCTGTATATATATATATATATATATACATACAGATATATATATATATATATATATATATATATATATATATATATATATATATATATATATATATACACACACAAAAATGAGGTAAATGTTCACTCGGTGTACATGTAATATATAATAAAATAATAAAGTCCACGTTAGTCCATCATCTTCTTTATATCAGTTTGAATCATAGTACTCTCCCTGTCTCATGACAGCTCTTCAGTGACAGCGAAAGTACTATGATGGAAACTGATAATAAAGAAGATGATGGACTAACGTGGACTTTATTATTTTATTATATATATATATATATATATATATATATATATATATATATATATATATATATATATATATATATATATATATATATACACTAAACCAAATTAAAAACTTCACAATCCTAAAATTTAACATTTTGACCAGTTATCTTTGTTGGCCCTTATTGTGTATTTAAACAGTAATGGCCACGTATTGTCTTCAGATAACATCCGTTTTTGTGCAGGTGAATCGATCAAAATCATGTGCACAGCACTATTGTGGCAAAAGTTGTTTTTCACGTGCAACTGGTCACGTAGCCATAATACCGCACGTGTTTTAAGCCATACTTGTTAGCAGTCATTAACAAAAAAAAGAAAAAACACAAGAAAACAAAAGTCTTTACGGCCATTTGTCATGCCACGCCTTTCAAATGTGCAACGTGAACGTGCTATCGGCATGTTGCAGACGGGAACGTCCGCAGCTGAAGTCGCAAGGACGATGGGTTGTAGTCGACGGACTGTTTTTGATTTACAGACGCGTCTACAGAAAACGGGTACCACCGCTGATCGCCCTCGGCCAGGTCGACCACGTGTGACGTCACATGCAGAGGATCGTCAGATTGTCTTACGTCACCCCCGTAACCGATTTTTGACGGCTACATCAACCAGAAATGAACTGTTTAGGTGTAGACTGAGTGCGCAAACTGTTCGAAAGCGTCTGAGAACTGCTCACCTTCAAGCACGACGGCCATACTGCGGGCCGATTCTGACTCAATTACACAGACGTCAACGTCAATTGTGGGCACAGCGACACTAACGATGCACTCAGGGGAATTGGAATCAAGTCGTCTTCAGTGATGAATCCCGATTTAATCTTCGATTTACTGATGGTAGGGCGAGGTTGTGGAGGCGCCGTCATGAACGTTACGCCCAGTGTTATGTACAGGAAGTTGACAGATTTCGAGGCGGAAGTGTCATGGTGTGGGGTGCTTTCTGTGGCAATGCACGTTCCAGGCTTCTTGTCATCCGTGGCAACCTCAATGCTGCTGCTTACCGCGTCCAGGTACTGGCACCAGAACTTCTGCCTTTTATGGCAGCACATGGACCCGGTTTGATCTTCCAACACGACAATGCCAGACCCCATACAGCAATTTTGACAAGGAATTTCCTCCAGAATGCGGGAGTCAACGTCATGGACTGGCCGTCAAGGTCTCCCGACCTCAATCCCATCGAACACGTCTGGGATGCTCTTGGCAGAAGTCTGCGCACTCTCCAGAACCAACCACAGAATTTGCAAGATCTTGACACCATTTTGCAGCAAAAATGGCGTCGTCTTCCCAAACATGTGTTCACAAGCATCACAAGGTCCATGCGGAGGCGTTGTGTGGCAGTTGTCAACGCACATGGTGGCCATACACGCTACTGAACTTGTGTGCCATCAGATTCTTGTGCTTGGGACTTATGATTTAAACTGTTGATGTTATTACCGAATACCGTAGGTGCTTGGAACAAATTATGTTTACCACCGTTAATTAAAATCCTTTATTGGACATTAATGATTAAAAAATACATTCTCTGATACATTTGTCCGTTGTCCGTTGAGAGAGAGAGAGAGTGAGAGTGAGAGTGCGAGTCAGAATGTGACAATTTCCTACTTTTAGTCAGCCTTCACCTGAATATATATATATATATATATATGTATGTATGTATGTATGTATGTATGTATGTATATGTATGTATATATATGTATATATATGATATAACTCGTTGTCTTTTGTATGCAAGACATAACACTCTCCATCTAATCTTCACCAGATCCATTACCTCCAGAGCTTCCTTTGTCGTGCACGAATGCATATCCGTCATGTGGTACCTGCAGCTGTTGACCGTGTAACTGTGTAAGTACTTGGCTGTCCAAATACGTGTCCAATGAAGAGTGCCTTGCGGTCTGTAACTGAGTAAGTAATTTGAGGTTAACACCCCTTTGAACACTATAAGTAATAGTGAGTGAAGACGTGGTTTGGTTTAAACGCAACCCTGAACAGTATTCCAGTTATATCGCGGCGTGTCGGCCTTATGTGGGAGGAAAGCCCGAAGTGATGCAGGTCTCAGACGTTGACCACTTTGGTGAAACCCACGGGCACGGGTATGGCGCTGACAAACGCAGAAACATAATCGGGGCATACCGGTATTCGAAGACACGATCATCGGTTTCGGGCGTGCACATCGAATTTCGGCACCTTAAACCACTGGCACACCCGTGCCCCCTGAAACTTAAGGACATCAGTTGAATAATCAATTTTTTTATATTACTTTTTCTTTTCTGATTATTCTGGTTAAACGTGGTTTGTTTTCTTGTTGATAATTCAGTACTTATTGTAAATTTATAGCTAAAGCTTGTGGCCTTTGAATACACTTCTTCTTCTAACGCAACAATCCCTTATATGTGCCAAACAAAATGCGACATGGATATGAAAAGTAACTTCCACCTTCCACTTTCGTATGATCTTAAACTGAAATGTCATATCGGGTAATCAAATTTGGATTTCGGATCCATTTATTGTTTCACTTACGCTTGGTCGCCGACTGCGAGGTTTCTTGCCACTTTCGTCATTACCGCCTGGAAAATAATAAAAAATTAATAATTATATCTTATAACGCATGTCACATAATCACAAATCACATGCGCGGTGTTAAACAGCCAACCAACCATCCAACAAATCACATGCATTATAAATCTTAAAACATATCACAAGTTAAATAAATTCATAACGTCAGCACCAGAGAATAATTAGTCTCGAATATGTATCTGCCGAAACAGATTCCAAAGGCAAAATAGTGGCTATTTGGGTATCTGAAGGTTTCTGAGTTGCTTTCATATAATTTTTTATCTAGCATGTTCAGTTTGAGTGATCTAATCTCGCACTCGTGTTCATTCAGTGACAAAACCCTGAACGCTGAACATGTGTCATCTGTTTTCAGTGATCCATTCATATAAGTTGCATCACTAGTTTGCCTTTCCCCTCTGGAATTTTTGACGGCTACATCAACCAGAAATGAACTGTTTAGGGGTAGACTGAGTGCGCAAACTGTTCGAAAGCGTCTGAGAACTGCTCACCTTCAAGCACGACGGCCATACTGCGGGCCGATTCTGACTTAATTACACAGACGTCAACGTCAATTGTGGGCACAGCGACACTAACGATGGACTCAGGGGAATTGGAATCAAGTCGTCTTCAGTGATGAATCCCGATTTAATCTTCGATTTGCTGATGGTAGGGCGAGGGTGTGGAGGCGCCGTCATGAACGTTACGCCCAGTGTTGTGTACAGGAAGTTGACAGATTTCGAGGCGGAAGTGTCATGGTGTGGGGTGCTTTCTGTGGCAATGCACGTTCCAGGCTTCTTGTCATCCGTGGCAACCTCAATGCTGCTGCTTACCGCGTCCAGGTACTGGCACCAGAACTTCTGCCTTTTATGGCAGCACATGGACCCGGTTTGATCTTCCAACACGACAATGCCAGACCCCATACAGCAGTTCTGACAAGGAATTTCCTTCAGAATGCGGGAGTCAACGTCATGGACTGGCCGTCAAGGTCTCCCGACCTCAATCCCATCGAACACGTCTGGGATGCTCTTGGCAGAAGTCTGCGCACTCTCCAGAACCAACCACAGAATTTGCAAGATCTTGGCACCATTTTGCAGCAACAATGGCGTCGTCTTCCCAATCATATGTTCACAAGCATCACAAGGTCCATGCGGAGGCGTTGTGTGGCAGTTGTCAACGCACATGGTGGCCATACACGCTATTGAACTTGTGTGCCATCAGATTCTTGTGCTTGGGACTTATGATTTAAACTGTTGATGTTATTACCGAATACCGTAGGTGCTTGGAACAAATTATGGTTACCACCGTTAATTAAAATCCTTTATTTGACATGAATGATTAAAAAATACCTTCTCTGATACATTTGTCCGTTGTCCGTTGAGAGAGAGAGAGTGAGAGTGCGAGTCAGAATGTGACAATTTCCTAGTTTTAGTCAGCCTTCACCTGAATATATATTATGCAAGACATAACACTCTCCATCTAATCTTCATCAGTTCCATTACCTCCAGAGCTTCCTTTGTCGTGCACGAATGCATATCCGCAATGCGGTGCCTGCAGCTGTAGACTGTGTACCTGTGTAAGTACTTGGCTGCCCAAAGACGTGTCCAATGAAGAGTGCCTTGCGGTCTGTAACTGAGTAAGTAATTTGAGGTTATCACCCCTTTTTTACACTATAAGTAATAGTGAGTGAAGACGTGGGTTTGGTTTAAACGCAACCCTGAACAGTATTCCAGTTATATCGCGGCGTGTCAGCTTAATGTGGGAGGAAAGCCCGAAGTGATGCAGGTCTCAGACGTTGACCACTTTGGTGAAACCCACGAGCACGGGTTTGCGCTGACAAACGCAGAAACATAATCGGGGCATACCGGTATTCGAAGACACGATCACCGGTTTCGGGCGTGCACATCGAATTTCGGCACCTTAAACCACTGGCACACCCGTGCCCCCTGAAATTTAAGGACATCAGTTGAATAATAATACTTTCTTATATTACTTTTTCTTTTCTGATTATTCTGGTTAAACGTGGTTTGTTTTCTTGTTGATAATTCAGTACTTAATGTCAATTTATAGCTAAAGCTTGTGGCCTTTGAATACACTTCTTCTTCTAACGCAACAGTCCCTTATATGTGCCAAACAAAATGCGACATGGATATGAAAAGCAACTTCCACCTTCCACTTTCGTATGATCTTAAACTGAAATGTCATATCGGGTAATCAAATTTGGATTTTGAATCCATTTATTGTTTACTTACGCTTGGTCGCCGACTGCGAGGTTTCTTGCCACTTTCGTCATTACCGCCTGGAAAATAATAAAAAATTAATAATTATATCTTATAACGCATGTCACATAATCACAAATCACATGCGCGGTGTTAAACAGCCAACCAACCATCCAACAAATCACATGCATTATAAATCTTAAAACATATCACAAGTTAAATAAATTCATAACGTCAGCACCAGAGAATAATCAGTCTCGAATATGTATCTGCCGAAAGAGATTCCAAAGGCAAAATAGTGGCTATTTGGGCTTCTGAAGGTTTCTGAGTTGCTTTCATACAATTTTGTATCTAGAATGATCAGTTTGAGTGATCTAATCTCGCACTCGTGTTCATTCAGTGACAAACCCTGAACGCTGAACATGTGTCATCTATTTTCAGTGATCCATTCATATAAGTTGCATCACTTTGCCTTTCCCCTCTGGCATCTGTTTCGGCACATAAGCAAAACTGATTACGCTCTGGCGTTGATGTATATAATTGAAAATCGCAAGTGAAACCAAGAAACTTCGATCTCACCACGGACATGGCAGATGGACACAGTTCGAATGTATTGTGTCTGTAGTAGATCTATGTACAACTAATAAAGAATACATGAAGGGTTCGATTTGCTTTAGAACTTCTTAACAACATCTAGTCAATCTGACGGGAAAATATTTGTTAAATGACTGAACCATTTTGAAGTTCTGTAAATTGACTAAGTAAAAATTTCAGTCATTTTACACATTGACGGTAAAATATTTACACAGCTTACCTTCAATCCTCACCAACTGCTTCATGATCTGCTCATGATTTACTCGACCCTCCTCTCGAAGCGAGTCTGAAAATGTTAACGATGACAAGATTAATGCTTTTCGTGGGTGTATTTTGCATGCTGTTTTACCTGCTTAACCAGATATTTTTTGTAATTAAAACACCTTGCTACAACATATTTTTTTGTGGCAGACACTTTCTTTCAGAAGCATTATTATTTTGTTCAAGCATTTTCTGGGACAATTCTTTTTTCGATAAATTCCCGGACTTAGGCAACAGGGTCGGGTTGTCAGGCTCTACGAGGTTCGCGGCATCGAACCCCGACGGTATGGAACATGGGATATTGTTAATAATATCAGTGGTTGGTTTATCAGGCCCAGACCCTATAATTTACAGACCACAGTTATACAGCTGGAATGTTGCTGAACATATGCATAATCATCAGCTGCCTTTCCTTAAAGAACACCCTTGTTAGAAAACCTCTTACCTACGGAAGCCTTGACATCCAAGATCTGGCGCTGCAAGTCCTTGAGGATGGGAAGGAGGTCCTTCTGATCAAAATCCATTTGAGGCATCGGTTTGTGATCTTGTATGAGAAAGTGGATTTATTGAAATAAACTGCATTACATACTTACACTTATGTTACCAACAGAATGCTCATGTCGCTATTTTATTACCACCCTGGTAAATGGATCAGTGTGACCTGGATTTTCAGTCTCAATTCCATGGGGAGTATACAACCCAAACTGCCTGTGAGGCGGTAGAAGGTAAACAGTCACCCTGCTATTTCATCCTGCTAGGTAGTCATTCACCTCTGGTTTCACAGAGGCAAATCTCAAACAAAGTCACTTGCTTTCAGTGTGTGCGTGTGTGTGAAGGAGGGGGAACAGAAATCTCACGAGTCAAACTTCCGAACGCGGTGTACACGGAAACAAAAGCCACTACCTCAAGGAGTTCCTGGTTCAAATCTTTGTCTGGAAATCAGCGATCACTGAATGCCTACCAAGCTTAAAACACCAAACTTGCTTTAAACCTGCATTGCTAATCAGCAATATCTTGATTTTTACCAAACATAAAATCCGGTTTTATATCGGTAATCATGCTTTTCTTCATAAATGGCTAAGTACTCATTTTTATGTGTGCTCACTTCGGACTTTTAAAAGGATATGTACTACTCGAAAAAAGTTAAAAAACACCCACTTAATTTGCCAATAGTTAATCTGCCATGGTCACGGCAGCTTAACCATACTCAAATGAGGAAAACGGATGTTCTTTAACTTCTTATGGGTAGTATATAAGGATGAGAAAATGTCAAATATAACTGACCACCCTACAGAATCTACAGAACAGATCAGGTCACAGTATCCCATGCTTGTGTAAGAATCGACTACTTAGCATCAGGTGGTTACAATGTGTGGTCGTACTGACTGCGTGTCAACGTTAAAGTGTCTCAATGACTTGGGTACTGTATGGGTATTGTACTTGCCAAGATATAGAAGATGAATACCATTTTTGCTAGTCTGTCCATTGTATGCAAATATCAGAAAAGAATACATACAAAAATATTTTTATCTGAATCCTAGAATAGACAAATTTTATATCCTCATGTCATCTCAAAATGAAACAGTCACAAAATATCTTTCAATGTATATATATGATGCAATGAACATCAGATCCTCTGCATTATAGATGTGATATTTTGTTACGATATAAGTAATTCCTATTGCACCCATTGCTACTGTATGTATATATGTACTATAGCCCTATGGCCTTTTCAGTACTTGAAATAAAGATTAATTGACATGGATACTTGCTCGTGATGTCCAGTATCGATTTTATGTAAACTGCCGGGCAAAAGAAAGTATACGCTCGAAAATTGGTTTTGACTCAAACATTACAAACGCTATAAAACGCTGAAAACAGTCGCCGAAAACCTACAAACTTAAGGTCTAAAACACAAATATGATACCCGTCGAATAATCATTTCTTGTTGGTTTTTTTTAGTCACCATCAAACATGGGTGTATACTTTCTTTTGCAGTTTACATGTACATGCTGCAGTGATATAGCTCGATAATTGCTGACTTCCACTTAAAATCACATTTCAAATCCTAAAATATGAAAATTACCTGATTCGGAATCTTTATCGTCACGTCTCTTACTCCGTTCATTAATATCTCCAAGGAGAATTGCATCACCAGGACCAGAAACCCCATCACAATCAGAGTTACAGCGGGCTTGAGACTCTGAATCACTGCTGCCATAGGTAGACGAGTATGTCTTAGTGTATTCACAGCGAATGCTCTCATGAAGGTTGCCAGTATGTATGTCAGAATCGGTCCCATCTGAGTTTGAAGCCATTTTAATGCACTCAAAACAATGTGTGCCGTCCCAATCTTGATCCTTTCCTTATGGAGATCGCAGAGTAGAATGTTTCACTTTGATAACTGAGTTCAGTCCGTTTATATATAAGTTCTGACTCTCCTTATTGAAGTGCTGACATTGTTTAATCAATGTGTATTGACATGCAAATGTCATCTAACGTACTCCTCATTCTCAGTAACCAATCCTCTTTGGTCAATCTTTCAACATTTCCTGTCGACACTATTTGATAAGCTTCCGGGCCTTGCTTGTCAAAGAACACAATTCCTCCCGCCAAACTACCAACTGCAATTTCAAGAACGTATTTGTCCCTTGCTACATTGTAGAATTTGAATTTTACTAGTTCTTTTGGAATGTCCATAAAGGAACTATTGGCAAAATATATGGTAGCACCAGATGTTATAACACGAATGAGTTGTCTCTGTAGCTCTTCCACATCAAACTGTAGCTCAAAACCTTCAATATGTGGAACAAGGCTTTCATACTTTTCTTCACCATGTGTCGTGAAGGTATTCTTCTTTTCGGTAATGCCTAAATAATAAGAACCACCATCTTCGATTTTCGTCATGCAACTCAGATATTCTCGAAAACGAAGTTTATCCCAAACATAGTTTGCAAATCTCTCTGGATCGTTGTCTATAATCTTTCTGTCGTCTTCCTTTGGTTTGAATGTTTTTAGTTGTACATGTCGACTTTCATAGGGTACTGGTTCGATCCCTCTAAATTCTGCAGCTTTCACTCGTGGTGAGACCGAATCACACAAAAGGGACCTAATATTTAGTGCTGATGGTCGTTCAACCTTAAGATCTGAACAAACTTTGGTTTTGAAATCAACCGTGGCAACACCTTTGGTTTCAGTTACAGATATAACGATGAAATCTCTGTAATTCTCAAAGGTTGGTAATTTCCATAACCAGTGTCGCTCGTATGCGTCAACAAATAACTGTCCATCACAGATCAAATTGTTCAGACTTTCTTCAAGAAACTCATCAAAATAGCCAAGGAAACGATCACTACATGCTTGTCCACTGATATGAATTATCAGTTTGCCACCAGATGTGTTTCGTAGTGCTGACAAGCAAACTTGGATGGTCCTGAGTGCCGTTTTCGCATTAGGGTTGTGTTTTCGTTTGCCCCTCAAGTCAGAATAACACAGGTGTTGAATCAATACATGCGGTACTCTTGCTTGTGTCCTTGTGTACAGTTTCCCAACCTTTTTGCATGCGCCACATGACATACTAATCTGAAAGAGGGAAGGACTCATTAAATTGAAATAAAAATTTAGTTTATGTATTTGTTAAGTAACGCCGTAATATGACAGAAATATATTATCGCTACTTTGCAAGGCAAGCCGGTGGTTGAAATTATAATCAACGATTCACGCCGTCGGGCAATCGATGGCACGAAGTCACTCCACCAATCCATCTGGCCGCCTTTAACCAAATGAATACGTTCCTGGTTTCAGAGGCTGATTTAGAGGAGGGTGACTTCATGTTATCCATTTATTACTTACATTCAGTACAAGAGCTCGTTATTGGTCTGTTTGTGTAATATACAATCCTGGGACACAGTGTAAGTAAGGAGATGTCTGTAATACTGTACCGGGACCGTATGTCATTGTAACCGATTGTATGCACTCAGCATACGTTATCTCCTTGTGCTTTCATGCGTGTCAGTGAAAAGATGACGTACAACGGTAAGGGAAAATATGCATCCCTCATCCCTGTGCCCTCCTGGAAAAGATATATCCACCTTACTGCGTGAAATGGGTATATATTACTGCGGACAGGTCGTGGTGAAGAGGCAAATGGTACAGAAAGTGCCCCTGAAAGATTGGGGTTGAATATTTATGGAAATATGCTCCCCACTCTCCCAGGAAAGCTAACTCCGCCGCAGTGAGTGTGAGTGAGTGAGTTGGGTTTAACGCCACTTTTAACAGTATTCCAGTTATATCGCGGCGTATCAGCTTAATGTGGGAGGAAAGACAGATGTGATGCAGGTCTCAGACGTTTACTACTTCGGTGAAACCCAAGACCAAGAAACATAATTGGGGCGAATCGGGATTCGAACCCACAATCATAGATTTCTGGCGTGCCCAAGGAACGTAACTCTGCACAGCGAATCGCGGCGCCTTAGACGACTGGGCCACCCGTGCCCCCTCCTCTTGACTGGTCCATTGTCATACGAGCAGAGGTTTCTTTTGCCTGATGTGAAAGCAAAGGGCACTCCCTGTGGGGCTGGTGTGTGAATGGAAGTTAGAGAGGACTGTTTGAGAAACCTACAGGGACAGTTCTAGACTAACGCTACGTCTCTGAAAATATATAATTTTGATAGAAATAAACAACCCACTGACATGGGATACTCGGGCTATGGTTATTTCAGTAACGGCTGGGTGGAAGGGAAAATAATATGGCTCCAGGAATGTGAGACAGTCTAGGGGAATTGGGGAGAGAGATTATAGACCCGAGGGATCGACAACAAGTGAAACACCGACCTGTAAAACAGCAGGAGAACAAAGTACCTTCGGAACCCTTCAGTATCACCATAATGCACCGCGGCAGATCACAAGATAAGGCACAAGAGTCTAGCAAAAAGGACATATCCCTGTACGATAACGAACCTCCCAACCGCCCCGGCCTTTCCACTGTCGCTGTCTGTACACCCCCCTTAGCCTATTTACATTATTCATGAGAGCGTGACACAGACCTACATTACGTCCCCGGGTGCATGAACGAGTCGTTTCTCAAGTGGTTTTCTGACGATAGCATGAACAGCCTTGACATTCAGTAGAGGACAAAAGGGTTGGTGTTGCGTTGCTCGAACAAAAACCGATGAACCTTGACATTGATGACATGATGCGTTGTCGACTTGCTTTCAGTGTGTGCGTGTGTGTGAAGGAGGGGGAACAGAAATCTCACGAGTCAAACTTCCGAACGCGGTGTACACGGAAACAAAAGCCACTACCTCAAGGAGTTCCTGGTTCAAATCTTTGTCTGGAAATCAGCGATCACTGAATGCCTACCAAGCTTAAAACACCAAACTTGCTTTAAACCTGCATTGCTAATCAGCAATATCTTGATTTTTACCAAACATAAAATCCGGTTTTATATCGGTAATCATGCTTTTCTTCATAAATGGCTAAGTACTCATTTTTATGTGTGCTCACTTCGGACTTTTAAAAGGATATGTACTACTCGAAAAAAGTTAAAAAAACACCCACTTAATTTGCCAATAGTTAATCTGCCATGGTCACGGCAGCTTAACCATACTCAAATGAGGAAAACGGATGTTCTTTAACTTCTTATGGGTAGTATATAAGGATGAGAAAATGTCAAATATTCAGTAGAGGACAAAAGGGTTGGTGTTGCGTTGCTCGAACAAAAACCGATGAACCTTGACATTGATGACATGATGCGTTGTCGACTTGTCTTCGATGACAATCAATTCATTGACGTTTAAGTTACTACGAAACAATAACAAGTGAGTGAGTGAGTATGGTTTTGCGCCGCTTTTAGCAATATTCCAGCAATGTCACGGCGGGGGACACCAGAAATGGGCTTCACACATTGTACCCATGTCGGGACGAACCCGGGTCTTCGGCGTGACAAGCGAACGCTTTAACCACTAGGCTACCCGATCGCCCCCACTGAAAAGGGAGGATATAACAAATCCATGAACCCCTCGGTCGCATCGGACGACAAGAAGTCAAGGCACAAAATTTGGTGCTTCTGTTGCCGTGTATGGATGAGCTGGTCGAGGGTTCGAATCCCAAATTTACCCTGACAATGCCACTTGGCTTTCAGGTCATATCAAGCAGGCGCAATGGGGAAGTCGCTATAAATAGTATACGTGCAACAATCTTCAACGCGACTTTAAACCCCATTTCACCACCTTCACCTGGTAAGCTGGGACAAAACATACTGTTCAAAGCGGCGTTTACCCCAACTCACTCTCTCCTCCAATTCCTCTCGGCGGTACGGAGAAGCGCGGGTAGACAAGCTTCCCCAAGGTTTCGAAAAGTGTTTTGTTTAGACATGGTACATCGATCCGCTGCTGTAGGTTCGAACCCAGATTCGACCTGAGTATAACTCTTGGTTTGTCAGCACCAAACTCGTGATCAACAGTTTCACTATAAGTATCCACAACCTGCATCTCTTCGGGCTTTCCTGACACACCAAGCTGACGCACTGGGATATAACTGGAACATTGTTAAAAGCGGCGTTAAATGATGATGACTGAATGTTGTTTAATCCACAGTCAACTACATTATGTACAGCAATGTAATCCATAAACAAGGGACTTTGGGACAGACCATTAAGTAGTTTTTAACATGTACAACGAGCCATAAGTCGGGGTATAACACTCTATCAGTCAGGACCTCGTTCCTCAAAGTGATTTTAGCGCTACGATTGTCGTAAGTTCATATCATAGTATTGGAGTTTCAATTTTAACGCTGATTGCTTTGTGGGTCATATTTGGGAGTCATTCGGTGATATTCTTAATTGGTTATTACGGTATTCCTCGACGCTATATGGCTGAAAAATGTCGATGCGGCGTTACATTTTAAATCGCTCAGTATTACGGATTTGTAGCGTTTTCTAACACAGCGGTTAATTATGGAATGAGTCAAACAAGGTTCATGGATTTCCGATACCTTCGTATTGATAAACAACTGTCGTATACTCTATGTATTGGATGTTGAACGGGACATTGTTGCGCCATACTCGTTGGTTTCAACAGCGTTGCAAACCTCGTCAAACTACGTCACTTCGGGCTTCCCTACCACATTCAGCAGACGCTCTGATATGCGTTAAACCAACGCATTCAATTATATGCTGGCTGTACTTGATGTTGGATCGTACTCGATGTGGATGCACCCAAGCTGTGCCTTGGACATCGTAGCACACTTTATCCACATCCTGATGTACACTAGTGATGATTGTCAGAGCAGTTAATCAGGGTCCTGTCCCACAAAGCGATCTTAGCGCTAAGGTGAACTCCCATACTTTAGCAGTCTTACGAGATAGGGTGGAGTGGGAGTGTGTGGTGTGTGTGTGTGTGTGTGGAGGGGGGGTATGGATTTTGTATGATTTTCGGCTACAGCTGCAAGACCAGATATGGTTTTGTTTAATTAAAACTATTAGCCTGAATATTACCTATTTAAGAAGAGACAGCTTACAACAACGTATTTTTAGTGGCCTAACTATTTTTTCAAGCATTGTAAGAGACCATTTATTTGTTTCGCTAAATATAAATATTGATTCGGATGAAAGTCTTTACAGCATTCAGAAGTTGGATATAATAATGGCAAGGAAAATTATAACCTCTTTATTATACATACACAACCCGTTATAAGTAGATTCATATATGTGAAGTCAGCTGTGACAGAATTAAAGTTGGTATACATTTCAGAGGGAGTTGACGGGCATGACAGTTGTTATAGGAGCGTTAGAACAAAGTAGTGACATGAGCAAAAGGTTAAGTTAAATGATACTTTTGATTGTAGAATTAATTAAATTTAAATGACCCATGCACTTGGGAGAAAGACTAATTATCTGTATCTGATCTAACTTCATTTGTACATTTGTACATATATATCGTCTTGTATAACCCTGTCATCCTTCTAAACTAGGGACAAGAAGTACCTTGTGCATATATAATACAAGAGCTACATTCCTTATCACAATATGGAGGGGCGGTCGGGTAGCCTAGTGGTTAAAGCGTTCGCTCGTCACGCCGAAGACCCGGGTTCGATTCCCGAAATGGGTACAATGTGTGAAGCTCATTTCTGGTGTCCCCCGCCGTGATATTGCTGGAATATTGCTAAAAGCGGCGTAAAATCATACTCACTCACTCGCAATATGGATATCGAGCCGAGCCCATTTTCCGAGTACGGCAAAGGAATGGTTAATTTTTACAAACTTTATGTTTTATTATATATGAATACAATGTTAGACACAATCATAGGTTTCTGGCGTGCTCAAGGGACACAACTCTGCACAGCGAATCGCGGCGCCTTAGACGTCTGAGCCACCCGTACCCCCCAAACCTTTAACAAATGCTTTACAACAGTTATAGCGTGCCTTCAACACGAACTATCCGATGATTGTGCGTCCGCTTCTTTGAATCGACAACGCTGCTTCTCTCGACATGTTCTTGAATGGGATTTAATCAGGAGTCTTTGTGTTCCTGGTATATTGGCTTGTTTGTACTCATGTTTACTTGTATACTTGCTGTATGAAAACATAATTATATTGTACTTACTCTCTCAACTTCTAAACTGCCCGTGACCATGTACCTGTACCACTCTCTCTACCTCCAAGCTATCCGTGGTAATATTGTAGCTTATCACGTTACCACTCTCTCTCTCCTTATCGTCATATTGTACCTGTATCACGTTACCACTCTCTCTCTCCTTATCGTCATATTGTACCTGTATCACGCTACCACTCTCTCTCCTTATCGTCATATTGTACCTGTATCACGTTACCACTCTCTCTCCTTATCGTCATTTTGTACCTGTATCACGTTACCACTCTCTCTCTCCTTATCGTCATATTGTACCTGTATCACGTTACCACTCTCTCTCTCCTTATCGTCATATTGTACCTGTATCACGTTACCACTCTCTCTCTCCTTATCGTCATATTGTACCTGTATCACGTTACCACTCTCTCTCCTTATCGTCATATTGTACCTGTATCACGTTACCACTCTCTCTCTCCTTATCGTCATATTGTACCTGTATCACGCTATCACTCTCTCTGTCCGTGGTCATATTGTACCTGTATCACGTTACCACTCTCTCTGGCCGTGGTCATATTGAACCTGTACCACTCTCTCTACCTCCTCTCTCTCTCTCTCTCTCTCTCTCTCTCTCTCTCTCTCTCTCTCTCTCTCTCTCTCTCTCTCTCTCTCTATCTATCTCTCTCTATCTCTCTTCGTGGTACCTGTATCAGGCGACCACACTCTCTACCTATCGTCATATTGTTCCTATACCACGCTACAACTCTCACTCTGCCAATCGTTAAATTGTACCTGTATCACGCTACCACTCTCTCTATCCGTGGTCATATTGTACCTGTATCACTCTACCACTCTCTCTATCCGTGGTCATATTGTACCTGTATCACGCTACAACTCTCTCTATGCGTGGTAATATTGAACCTGTATGACTCTCCCACTCTCTCTATCCGTGGTCATATTGTACCTGTATCACGTTACCACTCTCTCTATCCGTGGTCATATTGTACCTGTATCACGTTACCACTCTCTCTCCTTATCGTCATATTGTACCTGTATCACGTTACCACTCTCTCTATCCGTGGGCATATTGTACCTGTATCACGTTACCACTCTCTCTCCTCATCGTCATATTGTACCTGTATCACGTTACCACTCTCTCTCCTCATCGTCATATTGTACCTGTATCACGTTACCACTCTCTCTCCTTATCGTCATATTGTACCTGTATCACGTTACCACTCTCTCTATCCGTGGGCATATTGTACCTGTATCACGTTACCACTCTCTCTCCTTATCGTCATATTGTACCTGTATCACGTTACCACTCTCTCTATCCGTGTGCATATTGTACCTGTATCACGTTACCGCTCTCTCTGCCCATCTTCATATCGCTCTCCTTATCGTCATATTGTACCTGTATCACGTTAACACTCTCTCTA